TCCCGCATCTTTAGACTTTCTAAAGAAATACCCTGATGGTCCTGACAGGAGGGATGGCACCATTCATTTGTGGAGTGGGTCTGGTGACAGAGAACATTCTTTGAGGCACACTTAAGTGCCTGTTATATTGGTGAGCAAGAACAGGGTGGGGCATAAAATGACCCACAGCATTTCTAAATCTGGGTGGTAAGTGCTATTATCTTGGGGTTCTCTGCTGATAACATTCTGCCTTGGAAGAGCCTATGGCAGGCAACAGAACTTTTCCTTTTCCTTTTTTTAAAAAGACTTTATTTTTAAGTAATCTCTACACCCAAATGGGGCTTGAACTCACAACCCTGAGATCAAGAGTCAAGGCTCTATGCACTGAGCTACCTAGGCACCCCCAGATTTTGTTTTTTTTAAACTATTCAATGTTTCATTCCTAGGCTTCCTGGTGGAATCCTTTAGGAAGCAAACTAAGGGGACTCTGATTATGCTCCAAAGATTAAAATCCAAACAAAAACCACACGATTTTCTGTAGAAAACTTAGACTCAGTGCTACTAGTTTGCCCTGATCCAAAGTGCTTTTGTGAAGCAAATGCTACTGTAATAGAACAGTAGGGGGTATAATCCCCATCAGGAATTGTGAGACCGGACAGTTTTACATGAAGAGCCTGTCTATAAAAAAATAAAACAAAGTCAATTTTTCAGAGAAAGCGAGGTGCCTAACACTTCAGAGAAAGGCGAGGAGCCTTTGGCACACGGTGCCCCAAATCCTGCCTGACAGTGTGTAGGAGGTACTCAACAAGCATGTTTTGAGTATTTAGCATACTCTGGGCCCAGAGCATGGTGGGTACTGCAAATCAGGTGCCCAGCAAGAATGTTTTATTTGGCCCACAGAGCATTTGTCAAAAAGCTGTGATAATGTTTTGGAAGCTTCACTTAGCAGGCTGAATTTCTGACTTCTTTTTAGAAATCAGGAGGTTTGTCAACCATGGTCTACGTTTCCACGTAGCAACAGTGAGCTAGAGCTGAGCAGAGGCTACCCCCATTCCTCTGGCTGGACATGACCTTTCCTTCTATCTGGGTCAAATCCTTCATTTGTTTCCCCTGTTTGGCTTCTGTGGGCATTTTTCTTTGGGCATTTTCTTTTGCAACAGTCAAAGCACAAAGAAGACTGGTCCCTGTCCTCAGGAGATTACCAGTTAGCACGAAAGACACACAAATAAGGACATACTGACATCATAGTGCTAGGACAGGAGAGCATAGTGTGGGTGTGGAAGCCTAGTAGACTTCCCAAGAAGAGAACTCCATAATGGAATCTTAGAGCACTCATTTAGGGGTTGGCCAAGAGAACGGTGGGGATTATGGGAGGTCCTTGGGAAACTTCAGGCAGAGGGGGCAGCATTTAGAAAGAAATGAGTAAGTGAGCAAAGTGGGTTCAATACTGGAAAGTGGAGAGTGACGACAAGTGACACTCTAGAGACAGTCAAAAGACCAACTGGGGAAAGTCTTGTCTATACTAAATAATTTGGACCTTATTGTGAAGACAGTGAGATCTACTGAACGACTTTAAGCAGGAGAATGACATTGTCTTACTTCTATGTTGACACACACTCAGGTGAGGCATAAATTAACTTCGGATGGGCATCCCTCTAGTGTTTGAGAATTGAGCAGATAGTGAAAATAAAAAGCCTACCTAATAATCCGCCTCCATATATTGACAGGATGTAGCTTGAAATAGTGTAAAAGCCCATGTTACTTATTGTAACGAACCCTCAGACTAATAGAGGAAACAGATGTAAATCTGTGTAAGATTCCAACAAAACTCATGACACACCGTAAAGGGCAAACTTGTGCAACTTGATTTTCCTATTGCATAATCATATAAAGAATGTATTCATGAGGACTTTCTGGGATATCTGGCCAACATTTTTTTTTAATCACAAAAAGGATAACAGATTTTTAAAATAAGGATGTCTATGGACTTTTTTTTAAAAGCAGGGACTGTTTCTTTCTTGTTTATTGTTTTGTCCTTTCTGGTCATGAGACTCTAAAAAGGTTATTTAACTTCTCTGGGTCTCAGTTACTTTATCTGTAAAGTGGGTATAATAATAGTACCTACCTCATTGAGATGTTAAGCAGGTGAGTATATATGTAAAGCATTTAAATTAGCACCTGGTACATACTAAGTGCTTTATCAATGCTATTTATTATTATAATTATTATTATTTATTAATCATATCCTCAGGATTTAGAACAAATGCTCAGTACAAAATACACAATTAAAGAGGGTTTGAAGTTGAATTTGAAGGTCCTAAAAACAAACTAGACACCAAAGCAGGGGGTTGGGTAATTCAGAAACAAGGATGTGGTTGCTAGAACTAGGGTATAAAGCCAGTACTTGGTTCCAAGAAGCAGGGATGGGTCCAGACTCCTGATTTGGGTCGTAAGGTAACCTCAAGTTCTGAAACCAGGCTATGAACCCAGAACCAGCACCCAGACTTGTCCCAGGCACTGGTAGAGGAAGTTGAGTAACAGTGCCAAATAAATATGAAGGCCAAATAACACCCACCATGGGGAGAAGTCAAGAGGCGATGAATCAGGCAAGATATTGGAAGTGTACGGTAATAACTAATAGACAAAGGGTTTTATTATTTATAGTTGCAGTGGTTAAAAAGATCCAGCCACGTCATTAAGCTGAAATCATTACATATTTCTAAGTCCATTTCTTTAAGACAGGGAATGGAAAAATCGATTCTGTCAGGAAGTGTTATAAACTAGTTTTCCTGTTGGATTTTGCTAGGTTCTAAGAAGTTTTTTTTTTTTTTTCATTCTGCTTTAGTACCAAACTCAAAAATACTGCGTAATTTTTTTTCCTTTTTAAAGATGAAGGTATAATTAACACACAGTAAAATACACCCTTGTCAGTGTATAGTTCTATGAGTTTTGACAGACACCCAGTCACCTAACCACTGTTACAATCAACACAAAGGACAGTTCCATCACCTCCCAAAATTCCTTCATGTCCTTTGCGAGATAATCTCTTATAGTCAATTCTTCCTCTAGCGCCAGCTCCTGATAACACTTTTTTCTATCACTATAGTTTGACTCTTTCTAAAATGTCAGGTAATCGGAATGCTATAATACATAGCCCTTGGAGTCTGTCTTCATACACTTAGCATCTGTATTTGAGTTTTATCTATGCGGTTGTGCTTATCAGTAGTTCACTCCTCTTTTGTTTGAGTATGATTCCCTCATGTGGATGGATTTATCCACTGTCTATCCTGTCACTAAATGAAGGACATTTAAGTTGTTTCCAGTTTTTGCTAATAATGAATAAAGCTACTGTTGACATTCATAAATAGGTATTTGGGTAAATACCTAGGAGTGCCATGGCTGGGTCATATCATAGATGTATGTTTAATTTTATAAAAAATGGCCAGTTTTCCAAAGTGGCTGTACCATTTTATGATCCCGCCAGCCATGTTTTGATTTTGAACAATTCTTATAGAATTCCATCCAAAGAATGGCTCCCCATTTTCTATGGAGTAAAATACCCCAAGTACTCCACTTGTCGTTCCACGTCTTCCTTTTGGCCACGGGAGAACCTGTCTTCTTCCCAGTCAAATGTCACTGCTCTTCACATGAACTCCTGGGTACAGTCAGACTCAGACCCATGACCCCTGACCATGCTCGGTGCTTCCCCACATGCATGTTTTTGTCTCTATCATTTGCCAACCGGCATGTTCAACTTTGGTTACTGAAATCTTATGTACAGCCCGCTATTGCCATCTTTGCATTCCTCAAGAATCGCTTCTGCTCTCCAAAAAAGGCAAGTCAATGAAAGATGTTGATAGAGGAGACCAATAAAACAGGGAAGCACAAGCGCTTGTCTCTGTGCCATCCTCCCCAGATTCCCAGATGCCACGTGGCAGGAGAAAGCTAAGGAGGAGTCCCGAGCAAGCAAAAGTTCATTAAGAGCAGCTCTCGTTTTCCTTATTTTTTAAAAAAGGTGACTACTCCCCAAATAACTAGAACTGGATGGGGTAAAGTGAATCCTCATTATTTGGGATTGCCTGGGAAACAAAAGCTTTTTCCATGCATGCGCCACTGGGCTGGTTTTTGGTGCTATTCAAGACTTCTCCCTGCCTTCAAGATTTTTTTACATCTGTATATGTATACATGCACATGGGACCTTTGCAAAGAAGAGGAACCGAAAAGCAAATTCCTTCACAGCCCAGAAAGCATCGACTTCCTATAAAAGAGATAATGTACGTGAGATGGATTGTTTTTCCTTCCCTAAATAGCTTTGAGTCTGCTTAGATGCAGCGAGGCGTCTCTCCCCGGGCCATACGCAACGTGTCTGCTCTCTTTCCATTTCTGGAGGAGCTGATGCAATTCCAAGGCGTTGGGCTGGGCCACTGCTCCGTTCTTGGGCTACAGTTAAATAGTGTTCCAGCGTGGTTGCTTCTGCAGCGCCTGGCAATCCTAGCAATCTTGCCGCCTGCAGCTCCAGAAAAATGAGCCTGCAGCCACCAGCTCCGAGGGCCATTATCTGAATGGGCCCTGAATGCCAGTCTGGAACGCTCACACCTCTTAGGCCGCCCAGAAGGAGCCGGCTGATTTGAACACTACTCTCCCTCGGTCCTGTACTTCGGCTCCATCTCCAGACCAGGGATCTCATGATTGAAATGAAAAAAAAGAAAGGAAGCTGACTCCGTCCCCGCTGCCAAGTGGCTGTTCCCACCCTGTCAACTCCAGCCGGACCGTCCGTAGATGTTCAAAAGCTGCATCCTCAGCCCCTTCCCCTGATAAGACAAAGGCCCGCCTGACAAGCCTTACCCAAGACCCTCTCTGGATCCTTCTCTGCAGTCTCCCAGTTTTAAAAACGCTGTCTTGGCTTTTAGCCAAGTCTCAACACCGTGCCCGTCCCCAGCCCCGCCGACTGGCCCTCCGGCCCCGGGGTCTGGAAAACAGCCCCGGGTGACAGCCAGGAAGCTCGCCCGGGCCGGACTCACCTGGCCGGTGGAGAAGAGCCGGAGCGCCTGGCTGCCTCTCCACAGCATGCTGGAAGGGAGCCCTCGGGCGGGCCGCGCGACAGCGAGGGCTCAGCCTGGACGCGGCCTGCAGCCTGTGAGCGCCGGGCGGCCGCAGTTGCGGCTCGCAGGGTCCGCGAGTCTCGGGACCCGCCTACGGCCCGCCCCTCAACTGGCACGGCCCCGCCTTCTCAGCTGGCGGGGCTCGGATGGCCAATCCCCTGCTTCTGGGCGGGGCCCCAGTTCGGAGCCACGCTAGTACCTAGCGGGAGGGGCGGCTTCCAGTCTCGGCCCGGGTTCTTAGCAGCTGGGGGTCTTCTACCAGTTGCTCAAACCCTGTGAGGTATACAGGGATTTGCCTTACTAATGGTGGATCTGACATCCCAAGTCATGGCCATAACATCGCCCTGAGGAGGCAAAGATACGAAAGATAAGGGTGGAGACACCTGGCTATGTAGGATCCTGATACCTATCTTGTAAGCTAATAAAAGGATTTTAAGAAAGACTGTGTATAAAGCATTTGGCAAAGTGCCTGGCACAGAGCTGGTCCCCAATAGATGACAGACAGATAGATACCCACCCTTTCCCCTTATCTCTCTAGAAAGAATGCTCAGACATGCTTTAGCTAAGCGCTAGTTGCAAACAGAACTCCTTAGCCTGGCATTCAAGGCCATTGGCAATTTGGCTTTTTTTTTTTTTTTTCCCCCTTTCTCATTTTCTTGCTGCTCCTTTGCACATGTAATTTAGCTTAACTCTCTAGTATATGCTGATTCTTCCCTGGACAATGATTCCCTGAAAAGCTTATCATCTGTCATTTGTCACCATCTCAGCATGACCAAATTCCTTCTTTTAAGGTATAACTCAAGGGCTGCCTCCTGGAGGCATTTTTCCTGATTTTCTCCTCCCTTAACCCCCTTATTTCCCCTAAGGAATCTTTCACTCCTCTGAAACGAGAAAGATTTTTGATTATGCGTCTCTTCTGACATCTCATTCTCTTATTGGTGTTTGTGTACCTATCATCTGCTCTACTGGAAGCTTCTCGCAGGTTGAGTCCATGTCTAATTTATCAGGATTTACAATATCTAGCACTTAGCAGAGCTCAAAAAGTACTTGTTGAAAGAGAGAATGAATGAATGAATGGATGTGTTTAAGAAGGAGAGAGAAAATAAATCCTTAAAGCCTGGAGAATGGCAGCAAACATGGAGTTTTGCTCTGGAAATTGCCCTTTGCCAATTCAGCCCATTTCCCTAAGAGCATTTTGTGACTTTTGGCTAGCTTCCTTTAAGCTTCCAAATGCTAATAATCATTTTATTTGTTGTGATCTGTGTATACTGGGAGAGGTGGGCAAGAAGTGTGGTTTTTTTCTGAGTAGGGGTTCCATAGTTATATTCTCCAACTCCCAACTTCAGGAAATGTAGACCTTATGTCTATCCACATATAATGAAATATTAATGATGTCTAAGATTTTCTTCTGTAAGAATTAAAGATATTGTTCTCTTGATAACTAGTGGTTAGACCAGAGGCAATTCAAGTTTGACAAACAGAAAAGCCCTGCCAACCTAGATTTCTAGACACAGCAAAAATGAAGGTGAAATAAAGTCATTTTTGTGTCTCCCTAAAAAAAAGTTGAGAGAATCTGAGGCAGGAAAACTTCCAGATTCATTCTATGAGCCTAGCATTACCCTGATACCAAAACCAGACCAAGACATGACAAGAGAAGAAAATCACAGGCCAATATCTCTGATGAACATAGATGCAAAAATCCTCAACAAAATACTAGCAAGCCAAATTCAACAATATCTTAAAAAAAATCATTCAGCATGGTTAAGTGGGTTTTATTCAAGGGCTACAAGGGTGGTTCAATATTTGCAAATCAATTAATGTAATACATCACATTAACAGGAGTAAGGATAAAAACCACACAATTATCTCAAATACATGCAGAAAAAGCATTTGACAAAATACAGCATCCACTCAGGACAAAAACTTTCAACAAAGTGGGTTTAGAGGGACTATACCTCAATACAATAAAGGCCATATATAAAAAAAAGCTCATAAACATTATACTCAATGGTGAAAAACTCTAAGCTTTTCCTCTAGGATAAGGAGTAAGACAAGGGTGTCCACTCTCCTCACTTTCATTCAACATACTACTGGAAGTCCAAGGTGCAGTAATCAGACAAGAAGAAGAAATAAAAGGCATCCAAATTGGTAAGGAAGAAGTAAAACGGTCACTATTTGTAGATGACATGATACTATATATAGAAAACCCTAATGACTGTATATAATGACAATATATAACTACCAAATTAACAGAGTGTAAAATTATCAAGGTAATATGTAGAATTATTTTTAAAAATCAGTTGAAAAGAAGGCGAGAAAGGAGAGAGAAAGAAACAGAATAGCTGGGGGAAAAAATGAAAAGAAATTAGTAAAATGTTAGGGTTAAGTCTAAATGTACCAGTAATTGCAGTAAATGAAAATGGGCTAAACTCTTTAATTAAAAGGCAAAGATTGTCATTGCTTCAAAAACAAAATTCTTATGAGAGCCATAAAATAAAAAGATTCAGATAGGATGATTTTTTAAAACCCACCCAAACACTAAAAAGAAAAAATCATAATATTGTAATAAATAATTATTTGCTCTAGTACTTGGCAAATAGCAACAGTGTGATCTGCTTGACTGCAAATGACCAAATGACTGGCTGGTGTACAAACTAGGTATTGCTTTTTCGACCTACCATCTAAAATCCACTTCTCAGGATAACTATCCTCCCTTCCATGTGAGGATGTGCTTCTCCCCCTGTCTTAGGCCTTGTGGTTCCTATGAAGTTTTCTTTCCCCCTTATCCCCCTGAAATTCAGGGGTGGGGCATATGACCTGCACTAAACCAATTAGTACATCTCTCCCATCCCCTTAATTATGATGATTGGTTCAAATTATGCACAAGATCCTAGTAAGGCTAATGAAGTCCAGCAAGATCTAATTCTAGGACTTCTGTTTAAACTTTCAGTTAAGTGTACCATTTGCATCACTTTTGTTGTTGTGATAACATGAACCTGAAGCTGTAGCTACCTGTAGCTACCAAGAGCTACCGTATGGATCCTAAAGAATGTAGCAAAAATTGTGGAAGAGATAGAAAAGAAATAGTGAAAATCCAAGACCTGACATCATTTGAGTCCTGAAGCCAAACACATGCGAAGGCCCATCCCACCACTACATGTTTTAAAATTAACATGCAATTAAATTGATTTCATTTTTGCTATATGGTTCTATGAGTTTTAATGTATATAAAGATTCATGTAATAATACTGTAGTCAGGATACAGAAACATTCCATTCCCTACTCCAAAACTCCCTTGGCCCTTTGCAGTCATGGCTAACCAACCACCCTTCTCACCTTGAGAATCTTTGTCTGTTCTCTGTCCCTGTGGTTTTATCTTTTCAAGACTATCAAACGAATGGAATCTCATAGTGTATAACTTTGTAGATTTTCTTCATTCTGCACAATGCCCTGGTGACTTGTGCTCAAGTTTAGGGATTTTCCAGAACAGAAGAGGTTCTTCTTTTATTGATTTCTATGTGATTCCATTGCAGTCAAAGAACATAATCATCATATTTCAGTCCATTCAAATGCATTGAAATTTGTTTTATGACCTAGGAAATGGCCTTCCTTGTATACTTGAAAAAAATGTCTGCTTTTACTCTTGTCGTGTAGAATGTTTTGTAAATATGATCTAAGGAAAGTTGGTTGAGTATTGTTCAATTGTTTATTCTCTTATATTCTGTTTGTCATATGAAATATTGAGAGAAGTATTAAGATTTCCAACTATAATTACATCTATTGTTTCTTTCTATTCTGTCAGGTTTTGGTTAATTAAATTTTATTGTTCACCCACCCCCAAAAAAAGAAAGGAAAAAAGTTAATTCATAGTCTGGATTCTGTTACATTCTTAAAAAAAACAACTGGGGGATTGATTGATTGATTTATTATTTTTTAATGATTTACTTATTTGAGAGAGAGGTAGAGAGGGAGAATGAGCAGGAGGGGCAGAGGAACAGGGAGAGAGACTCTCCAGCAGACTCCATGCTGAGCACAGACAGAGTCCAACTCAGTGATCCTTCTCATGACCCTGAGATCAGGGCCTGATCCGAAACGAAGAGTCACACACTTAACCGACTGTGCCACCCAGGCGCCCCAGGGGACTTTATTTAGAAAAGAGTGAATTTGCTTGGACTCAAACCCTGCAGAGGGCAGCAGCTTATATTTCTGTTCAATTCATTTAGACAACAGTTTGGCCAACGTTTTTGCTCAGATTTTGGGGTTCACCTCCTTAGTAATTCCCTTGATTATCAGTTTTCTCTTCTAAATTTCAAGCTGCTCTGCCAGCCCAATCTCTGTTTTCTGCCGTCTGGAACCCAAAGGGCTTCAGGTTTTTCCTACCCAAGGTGCACATCTGGTGGGGAATATATGCATCATCAAAGGGCAGCAAGCACGCCTCTCACCTAGTGCAGGTGTTTTTAAGGACTCTTGACTGTGATTTCAGTAGGCTCTCTGCATGTAGTTTGATGGTTAACCAGGGATCTGCACAATGTTTACACCAAGGTTTTGAATCTCATCTCCTCTCTGGGTCCCTTGCTTTAGGATGCTCCCCCGAATTTCCAGTTTCTCTGCCAACAATTCTAAACTTGGTTTGCTGCCCCCTTGAGCTGGTAGGACAGTGTTTCATTTCTTGACTTGAAGGGGTCGGGGGACACTGTTAGGCAGAAAACCACAAACTCATAATTCTTAACCGCAAATTCTGAGTACACTCAGAATTCTGAATCATTTTCCTGTGCTTTTCAGACTTCATTATCTTTCAGATCTTTTTTATTTTTTAAAATTTGACAGAGATCACAAGTAGGCAGAGAGGAAGGCACACAGAGAGAGGGAAGCAGGCTCCCTGCTGAGCAGAGAGCCTGAGGCAGGGCTCGATCCCAGGACTCTGAGATCATGACCTGAGCTGAAGGCAGAAGCTTAACCCACTGAGCCACCCAGGCGCACCTCTTTCAGATCTTTTAAAGTAATTATTATACTTTGTCTACTTCTCTTAGTTTTTAACTGCAAGTAGGTTTACTTGTCTACTTTTTGCTTGTCCATTTCTAGATGTGTTCTTGTTAATTACTTTAACATGCTAATTAAAAGATTTTCCTAAGGTATGCTTTTAAAAAAAGATTTTATGTATTTATTTGTCAGAAAGAGAAAGGGAGCGCACAAGCTGGGGGGGGGGGGGGGTGGTCAGCAGACAGAGGGAGAAGCAGGTTCCCTGCTGAGCAAGGAGCCCAATGGGGGTTCTTTTTAATCTCTAACACATATTCTCCCAGTAGACCACTATCCTGTTAGTGAGATTTGAGTTCTCTTTCTATGCAATTATACCCACATATGCACAAACACATTTACATGAGTATAAATGTAACCACAAATACACATTACTCCGCAATCACCTTCTGTCAGTTTCCCATGTCTCTACAAACGTATTTCATAATATGGATGTATTAAATTTTATGTCATTATTCCCTATTGATGCATTTTAAGATCATTTCATTAGTATACATACAGTAATATGTATTAAAGACCATGCAGCAATGAACGCTACTGTGCAAACATCCGTATACATGTAGAATTACTGGGTAACATAGTTCCCTGCTTGCGGAAAAGCCAGTTAGCACGTAGGAGCATTTTAGAATACACTTAAATAGCGCTTCTTCTTCCCGCTCTGCCTTTTTAAGAGGAGAGGGCGGAGGATCCGTGAGGGCAAGGTAAGCAGAGTAGTAAAATTCCTCGCTAGGGTGTTCGTAAAGTAACTCCGCCTCTCACACACCGTTTTATTCTCAAGAACATTCAGCATAGGACTTGCAAGAGGAGCGACGCAGGAGCTCGGTTGGTGGTGACGGAGAGGGCGTTGGCAATTCCTGCTTCTTTTTAGCGCCTGGACAGCGACCTACACCAGGACCACGCCCTCCTGTTGAGCCACTACCCCATCACTTTTACCCTTCCCAGGCTAGACTGATGGAACAACTGCCCAGGTATTAAAAATGGCCTGGGGACAACAGGGCGAAGTCAAAGGCATCGATATGGCTTGAGATGTGAAGTGAGTGGTGTCGAGGCCCAAGTCACCACGGGAGGACGCCGCGAGTGCCGCAGAAGATGTAACGGCCGCCTCTGGCCACCCCAGCCGACTCGCTTTCCCAGCAGCCCCCGCGGCTCGCTGGGGCCTTGAGCCCGGCCTGCCCTCGCGAGCGGGGGCGGGGCCCGGGCTGGGCCCGGAAGTCACGTGCCGTGACAGCAGCCGGGGTGAGGCCGCCGTGGTCGCCCGGGCTGGTTGGGGCTGTGACTGGGGGAGGTGCCGGGGTGATGGCGGTGGAGACTCTTTCCCCGGACTGGGAGTTCGACCGCGTTGACGACGGCTCACAGAGTAAGAGAGCTGCAGGGCAAGGGCTGCGGGTGGATGCTCCCCGGCCCCCCTCAGCTCCGGCAGCGCTCCTGCGGGAGGGCTCTGCGTCGTGGTCCCCGCGCAGCCCTCCGGTCCGGGACACTTGCTGCCCCTTGGGGTGCGAGAGGGACGCGCTCTCGAACGTTACTTTCGGGGTTGGGGTCCCGGTGGCGGTGCGTCAGGCCGGGCGAGGCAGGGCTTGGCGTCTGGGGCGGCGGCTCTCAGTTGGAGCCCGCGGTACCCAGAGCAGCGGCGTCCGCTGTCCACAGCCCGGGGCCGGGCGGGGCGCCCCCAGGGCCCAGTAGCCCGGGGAACCGAGGCCGGCCTTGCCTACGGCCTCACGGCGCTTTCGCCACCTGTGCTGAGCGTTCAGTTCTAGAACGGGCAGAGGTCGGGTTCCTGTTTTCGCTTTCCTGTTTTTCTACTTTTCCTCCAATCAACTTTTGGAAGTTTGAGTATTTTTTTTTTCTGCATATTCATACAACGTACAAGACAGGGAGAAAGCGCTCTTCACACGGTAAAAATAAGCAAGCGAATGTCAATTTATCTCCTCCTATGCCTTTTACTTACGATAAGTGGTGTTTTTCAGGGATGTCATAGAGCTTCCATTGCACCTAGAAAGGCTTCAAAAATTAAGTAACTTTTACTTCACAAAATCGAATTGTTTCATTTTGAACTTAGAAGTCAAAGAACCGTACCAGATTAAGTTCCATGCAGCAAAAGTTAGAGGCAAATAATTATTTTAGTGAAATTCTACTTAAGATTAATACAAGTTGGTAATCTGTCTCTTCTGTTTAAGTGATGTAGGAGAGATTGGGACCTACTGCTTGTGAATTTGTTTTTTTAAACGCAGTTTCCCAAAAGGTGGATGTAATTTTTTTTTTTTAAGAAGGTGAATGTAGTTTTTAAAAATTCCACGTGAATTTTGCTTAACTTTACAAAGAATCGTGTAAAAACTTACATGTAATTAGGTTTTAGTAGCGTCTTAGAGAAGCATGAGCTTAATTCTTAATGGTTTGCAGTTTTTCATAAAACATTCCATAAGGTATTAGCTCTTATGCAGCATTAAAAAAAATCTTGGTGGTAATAACAAATTCCTTTAACTTTTTTGTGGAGAGGACTCTGTATTTACTGTTACAGAGTGAACTGCACCTTTTCGTATATGGAGTTTATGGACAGAGTTCTCCTACTTCCGTATCTTCAAAAAATTGTAATGAAAATAAGTTGCTAGGTTTGAAAATGGTTCAGCTGAGAATAGAATGATGTGATTCAGTCAACAGACCATATCAGGAACTGTACTAGGCATTAGGGATGGAAAGATAACAAAGAATGTAGAGATGAGCCTGTAAATAGGGTTTCTGGGATTTTACTCTTGAAGAATCACTGTGGATTCCTTATTTCAAATCTTTTTATTGTAATTTTTACTATTTTTACAACTAATCATTATTTTATCAGCAAGAAACTTTAATGTTACTGCAGGTTTTCTCTTGCTTACTATTTTGTGACTTCCCAAACAGACCGAATGCCAGCATGCTTTTCTGGCATTGTCATTAAGAACTCATTTGCTGATTAAATGCAGCTTTGGTTATTTCCCATGTAAATGAGAATTAGGCATGAACTTGCGATTTCAAGAATCTCTAGCAGTTATTTAATTTGAGCTTTAGGGAAGAGAAGAATTGCCATCCATTCAGTGTGCCCGGTTTTGTTAATTTTTGTGCTATGAATCCTATCTAGACTGTCTTCCAGAATTGCTTAGATTAATGCTATAACCAGATAGCAATTTTAATAATTGATCCACCTGATAGGGAGCATTAGTGCCAAAATAAGGGTGATTGGAGAGCTAGGTCTTTATCTTTAGTCAGAATGTACTTTATCTAAGAATTGCTTTGTATTGCTGATTTGAGGAGACAATAATTTTACCTTTTTTAAGACAATGATTGAATAGTTGTTCATATCAATAAAAGAGGCTGAATTGGATTTGCTGCCTTTGCAATAGTGAATTCTTATGTATATAGAGAATGTTCCCTTTCTTTATTAACTTTGATGACTAGACATACTTCTATTGTTTAGTTTATTCCAATGACTCCTTAGAGTCATCTATTTAATGTGGAAATTTGTTAAATATTAGCACAGTATCTTTTTTCATTCTTTTTAAAAATTTAAATTAATTAACATATAATGTATTATTTGTTTCAGACATCAAGCAGATGTCTGTGATTCATCAGTCTTATATAATACCCAGTGCTCATTACAAGACATAAAGGGACACCCTCCCTGGTGTCCGTCACCACTTACCTCATCCCTCCCATCCCTCTCCCCTCTAGAAATCCTCAGTTTGTCTCTTATGGTTTGTCACCCTCTCGGTTTCCTCTTATTTCATTTTTTCCTCTCTCCCCTGTGATCCTCTGCTTTATTTCTTAAATTCCACATATCAGTGAGATCATATGATAATTGTCTTTCTCTGATTGACTTATTTTGCTTAGCATAATACCCTCTAGTTTATCCATGTCATTGGAGATGTCAAGATTTCATTTTTTGATGGCTGTGTAATATTCCATTTGTGTGTGTGTGTGTGTGTGTGTGTGTGTGTGTGTGTGTGTGTATACACACCACATCTTCTTTATCCATTCATCTGTTGATGGACATCTGCGCTCTTTCCATAAGCACAGTATTCTGTACTCAGTGTTCTTTACTGGCTTTTCCAACCCTATTATGATAGTTAAATAATTAAAATATCTTAGTAAGTTTTTGGCATTACAGAAATAACATTCATTATGATAAAGCAGATTTAAAACTGTTTTAAAAACAATATTTAGATGTATTTTTAGACAGTTTACACTATAGAGACTTAAGGATTATGTTTTTAAATTTTGCTTCTATGACAACACAGATTTTTATACTTATTCAGGTCTTATTTATTTATTTATTTTTGCAAAAAAGTTATTTATGACTAAAACATAGAATCAAGATGTTGAGTTGTCTAAGGCATTATTCAAATTGTTTAAAAGCCCCAGCTTATGGGATAAATGGGACATTAATTTTTTCATAGTGCTTTAAAGTTATGGTTTATGGTTAACCAAAGTTATGGTTATGGTTAACATCTCTAGGTTTTAAAATTATTTTATTATTTGGAAGAGATTAAAAGCTGAATTATTGTTTAACTTTAAAATTTTATTTTCAAGAAGTCCAGACATACAGAGTAGTACATTTAAAAATGCTTAGTAACTACCTTGCTGTGACTTTTGAGTTTATTTGAAATAAATGTCCTGCAATTTATTACTTGTACATCTTACATACTGTTTTAAAATTTAAATTTAGAAATTCATGCTGAAGTCCAACTTAAGAATTACGGGAAATTTCTTGAGGAGTATACATCTCAGTTGAGAAGAATTGAGGATGCACTGGATGATTCAATTGGTGATGTTTGGGATTTCAATCTTGATCCAATAGCATTAAAGGTTTGATTTTGTTATATTTTTAAATTTACGTATACATTTTCAGGATGTACTATATCTTGAAGACATAATATTAAAAAATAGAATATACATTTGGCCCTTGAATAATGTGGGGGTTAGGCGTGCTGACTTCCCAAGCAGTTGGAAATCTGCGTAGAACTTGAGACTCCCCAAACTTAACTTATAGGCTGCTGTTGACCAAAAGCCTTACCAATAACATAAACAATCAATTAACACATATTTCGTGTATGTATTATGTATTATATTCTTACAGTAAGCTAGAGAAAAGAAAATGTTATGATAAAATCACAAAGAAAATACATTTATAGTACTGTACTGTATTTATAAAAAGATAAACCTGCATCAAAGTGGACCCACGCCATTCAAACCTGTGTTGTTCAAAGGTCAACTGTATATTTTCATTATTTGGAATCTGGAGAACTAAAACTTGGAGAAAAATTGTTAATTTCCTTATCTTGAAGCCAGGCAGATGTGTGTTTTTTTGTTTGTTTGTTTTGTTTTTAATGAATGACAGACTTCTGGGGTAGCCTTTCTTTTTCATCAAGAAAATAAACAGGTTGGAATAGAATATTCAAACTTTATTTGTTCCTTATTGAGATTATTTTACATACAGTGAAATGCATGGATTTACAATATACTGTTCAGTGAATTTTTGTCAAACAGATATATCCATATCACTCATATTCTAATGAATATATAGAAGATTTCCATCATTTTCCCTTATGCTATTTAGGGTATCTTAATGTGGAAGTAATTTTTTTTTTTTAAGTTGTTATTTAAATTCAAGTTAGTTAACATGTACTGTAATACTAGTTTCAGTAGTAGAATTTTATGTAGGAGTAATTTTTTAATGTATAAAATCAGCCACTCCTGGGGCGCCTGGTTGGCTCAGTCAGTTAAGCATCTGCCTTCAGCTCAGGTCATGGTCCCAGGGTCCTGGGATCAAGCCCCATGTTGGGCTTCCTGCCCATTTTGGGAGGGAGTCTGCTTCTCCCTCTCCTCCCCTGCTTATGCTCTCTGTCTCAAGTAAATGAATAAAATCTTTAATAAAATAAAATAATTCACTCCTCTGTTCCATTTTGAGATCATTCTATCTTTTTAAAATTTTTTTTGAGATTATTCTATCTTGTTTTATCTTTGAAACTATAGCCTGTTACCACTTAAATAATAATTAACATTTACTGAACATTTATTATGTATTAGACACTGTTCTGAGTTATATATTGACTTTTTTAGTAAGAGTTTTCTTGAAATTCACATGTCTCATATTCTTTTTTTTTTTTTTTTAAGATTTTATTTATTTATTTGATAGAGAGAGATCACAAGTAGGCAGACAGAGAGGGGGAAGCAGGCTCCCTGCCAAGCAGAGCCCAGTGCAGGGCTCCATCCCAGCACTCAGATCATGACGGTAGCGGAGGGCAGAAGCTTAACCCACTGAGCCACCCAGGTGCCCCATGTGTCTCATATTCTTGAAATTCACATATCATGTAGTTCTTTGGGTTTTAGTGTATTGACAGAATTGTGCAGCAGTCATCACCAGACCCAATTGAAGAGTCTTTTCACCACCTGCAAAAGAAATCCTATACCCATTAGCCATCAGTCTCCAGTGTGTGTTAGTGCTAAGTACAGGGTCCAACACAGGTTTAAATAGAATGGAGCTAGACTCGATTCGTATATTTAAAATTTCCATGATTTTTTTCAAATTAAAAATGATTTTTTCCCTTTGTTTCTATAGCTTTTGCCTTATGAACAGTCTTCCCTATTGGAACTCATAAAGACTGAAAACAAGGTATAGATTTCTTAACCTAAAAATCTATTTTTAAAATGCTTTAGCTATCTGCTATAACTCATCTTTTTATTTTATGTTTTTATTCATGAAACTAGGTCTTGAACAAAGTCATCACTGTTTATGCTGCACTTTGTTGTGAAATCAAGAAATTAAAGTATGAGGTAATTATTTGTACTCTTAAGTTATTAAAAACATGATTTTAAAAGCAAATTTATGTTTATATGTATAGTGTACATAAAGATTTAATGCATGTTGAATTAATTTTTTATTTAATACTAATAATAGTGGTTACCATTCACTGAGTGTACTAATGGTGTGCCAGACACCATACTAACCCTGTTCATACTTAGAATGAGAGGCAGATAATGTGAGGAATAGATGAGGAAACAGGCTTAATTTTACTGGTAGTAACTGTTTGAGCCTGGGTCTATATACCTTCCAAGTCTGTGTTATTTGCCATATATACTGGCTTTCTAGATATAATTGATTTTTTACATTTTTTTTTAGTAGTCTCCACACCCAACATGGAGCTTGAACTCACAATCAGGAGTTACATGCTCTACTGACTAAGCCAGCCAGGTGTCCCTAGATATAATAAATATAACTGATTTTTTAAAAAAAAAAAAGGTTTGAATTTTTAATATGTTTTGCATTTTCTTAGCCACGGGTCATTAAAACTCTGGTAGAAGTTGGTAAACTTCCTCTTTTTTCTGTACCTTTTTGATACTTTGTGATTGCTTTCTATCTCCCATGAACTAGTGGGAAGATGTAGGACAATTAGGTTAGAAAAGACAAAAGCAGGAGTAAAGAAATTGAGAAATAACTTTGAGTATCAACGATATCTTTGGTATTCTAAAGATCATTTGAATTTACCTGTTTTGTAAGCAGTTTTTGAATTTAAATGAGTTTGTATATGTGATATAGTCCTCTGATTATTATTAAATATAGAAAACTAAGAGAGCCTAGGAATTTAAAAACAAGACAGCAATCTTTAAAATTATTTAATTTTTTTTTAACAGGCAGAAACTAAATTTTATAATGGTCTCTTGTTTTATGGAGAAGGAGGTAAGTTTTAAAATTTCATATTATAGTGTCATGATGCCTTTTTTGAGATTGAAATGAATGAAAAGTTGACTGTTCTAGGACTACCGTGATTAATTAATGTATACCTTGAGAAAATAAGCATTCAAATTTTTTGTTGGTTTATTTGTTTAATAAGCAGGTGGAATAAACCTGAGTGATGGAACAGTAGCAAATTCTCTAAAATCTATTTGTGATATTTTTGTAAGTTAAAAAGAACTGTGACTAGATAAGGATGTCCCTTGAATTTGTTAAATAGTGAAACAGATGGTTATTTTTAATTGAATGATTAATGACTGTCTTATGTTTCTTTTCAATATAAAAATTCTGTTTTTAATATTATGCAGATTAAAAGATATACTAATGAATAAAAATTGTATTTATTTTTCTTTTTGGGTCTTGACTAAGTTTAAATTAAAAAACTGAAATATGATTCTTCATGTTGCCTTTTAAAGCTACAGATTCCAGCATGGTGGAAGGTGATTGCCAAATTCAAATGGGAAGATTTATTTCATTCTTACAGGTGACTGTTTTTTACTTTCCATTGTTTTTTTTTTTTTTAAGTTTGGTAAATTACACAAAATTAAAAAGATTTCTGAAACCTTCAAATGCTAACTAAGAATAAGTACTTTGAATGGTAAAACACTCAGTAGACATTGGATTGTAGTTTAAGAGGTCATAATTCATGAAATGTTTTCATAGCATTTTATGGAAATAAGGTCTCAAAGTAAGGTTTTGATTTTGTTTTTGTTTTTTGTTTTGTAATAATTTAATTTGTGAACAATTTGTCACCATTCCTTTTAAGATAACTTAAACTTTATGCCTCGTAGGAAGATAATTTATGCCAGAAAAAGTTGTTAGTGGAGATGGTTAAGCTAGTACATGAGCAATGATAAGGTTTTTAAAAGTAGCACTTGATGCTTCTAACCAGATGTTTCAAACATTTCAAACCAGATGTTTTCGTCACTGCAGTTTTAGTTATTCTAGGTCTTTGGTTTAGTTTTGTGAAAAAAATGAAAGAACTTCCCATTTCTTCTCTCTCCATTGTAAAAACAATGCTAAAACCATATGAAAAAAGCAAAAATTGGAGATAAGGAAAAACTCCCCCTACTTCCTGATTGTTAAGTTCAAGACTTGATGTATTTCACTGAATCAAGCATACTAACATATTGTTCAGTTCACTTATATCTTTACTACCCTTTTTTGTCTCCTTGTTGTAATTGAGAGCATTTTGTTGAACTTGACCTCTATTGTGTTATGTGTCAGTCAGGGGCTAGTCCAGAAAACGAATCACAGCTTCAGAAGAGGTGATTTGATATAGAGGATTGGTTATATAAGTGTTGGAGGGTTGAAAGAAAAGAGGATAGTGAGGTCATCCAGAGGAAGGATTGGGGTTACCAGAATATGGGAGCTTGGAGCAGGAGCCCTGTGTAGTTATTGCTTATACTTGTGAACGAGGCAGTGCTGCCTGGCTGGCTGGCACCTCTGAGAGGGCAATACAAGGTCGGTTCTGGAGTTCTGAAAGAAGCTGGAGGTGGAGCAAACTGCCCTTGCTGGGGTGAACTGCTCTTGCCTGGGTTATGTTGGTAAAAACACCAAGAGTACTTATTGTGGAAGTTAAGGCTATAAGGGGAACAAACCAGAACTTTGGGAAGTTTCTAGAAGACCTGATGATTTCCCAGGTGTCAAAATGAACTATAAGGTCTTGAGTTAGATAACTGGGGGTATGATTAACATCTTTGTAGGGTCTGGAAGATATTATTTGTATGTTTTTCTGACTAAAGGTATATTGAAATTTTCCCTCATTGTTTTGATTGATGCACTTTGGAGATGGGCCAAACCTATACTGCCTTTTAGCTAATGACATTATTAAGGCATTTATTATGACATTGACACATGAATTACTAGGAATGCTTCATATTTAATGTTCAGAGCATCCTAGTGAAGTAATAATTTTTCTCTTATTTTTACACATTAATAAATGTAACCTCAGAAAGAGAGAAAAAAATTCCCACAGTCTCTGAAAGGAATTTAGACTTAGGTCTTTGTATCCCTTTCCTTCTCCACCCCTACTAGGAGTTAGGTATGTTTCATGCTTTTACTTTGTTGGAAATACAGTCCTGTATGATTTCAGGAGTGTGGGTTAGAGTTCTGCATCATTCTGTGTGGTTCTTGAATCATTTAACTGTCAATTAAATCATATACCACCTGTAAAAAAACCCCCAAAGCACCAAGAAGTAGAAAGGATGTCCTTTTCCCATCTTTAGTGTCCTTTTAGTGCCATCTGTTGGCAGTACTTAACAGGAAGCCTACTGGCAGAAGTCTAAGAAATGTAATTTGCAGGTCCCAGTGAATGTGTCAGTTTCTCCCTCTAGTTTTACCAAATTTTGCATTTCTTATTTTAAGGATATTCTATTTGGTGCATACAAGTTTAGAATTGTTCATCATTCTTTATAAATTGAATCTTTTATTATGTTGTTATAGCAGTTGACCCTGTTCAACTATAATTATGTATATAATATGCAGTTACATAAATGTATATCATATATAATAGCTGTGATGTGCTAACAATTTTGTCTGATATTCTCACTGCCTCAGCTCTGTTTTAGTTAACATTTTCTTGGTTTATCTTTCTATATTTCAACCTTTCAGTATCATTATGTTTTAGTTATGTTTTTTTTAAAACCATATGTGTCTGGATTTTGCTTTATTATGCAATCTGAAAATCCGAAAATCTCTTTTAATTGGCTAATTCATTCTATTTTTTTTTTAAGATTTTATTTATTTATTTGACATAGAGAGGTCACAAGTAGGCAGAGAGGCAGGCAGAGAGAGAGGTGGAAGCAGGCTCCCTGCTGAGCAGAAAGCCCAGTGTGGTGCTTGATCCCAGGACCCTGAGATCATGACCTGAGCCAAAGGCAGAGGCTTAACCTACTGAGCCACCCAGGCACCCCATATTTCTATCTTATGTAAATAGTCTGTTATATATCTGGACTTGTTTCTACCTTTTTTTACTTTGTGCTGTTTGTCTGCATTTTCTGCTCTTTGCTTTTATTGAACTTTTAGAAGTTTAATAAGAAAGATAAAACTAGAGTTATTTAAGTAAAATTGAAATGCATTATTTTCATTTTCAAACATTTTCGATTGTTTTTGGATCTCATTGACAGCTGCATAAAATTCCATTTTTAAACTATAAGCCTAGCATATGTTAGCAACTGTTCTTAGTGCTGGTATATAGCAGTGTACAAAACCAACAGAAATTCTTGCCCTCCTAGAACTTAAAATCTGGAATAGCCACAGGTTTAGTCACGTTTTGAATACTTTAGGATACAAACTGGTTTTTTAGGTTTAAGCATCGAGAGCTTCTGAAAGAAGTTTTCCGAAGGTGTGGGACGTAGTAGATGCGAATTAATTAATTGACAAATATATTCCTGCAATAATTAAAATTTCCCTTTCTCTGTGCCAGGCTTGTTTATAGATGAAGTTAAAAGTAATAAACATTTGAAGTTATTTCAGAGGGACTTTGGGAGAGCCTTTTTCCTCATACCATACTTTCTAAATTGGCAGTTTTTGAGCTTTTTCATTCAAATGTTCACTTCCTTATTCATTTAATAGGACAAAAATATATTGAGAAGCAGTTGAGGGTTAGCCACCATGCTGGCCAATGGATATTTAAAGAAGGCATAAGATGATCTCTGTTAATTACATGAGTAACTAAAATACAAGACTTAAAATAGAAGTGTGAATAAAATGCTATGGGAACAAACCAGTAGAAATTACTTTGACGTTCAGGAGAGGAGTTAAGAATGGATTGCTTGAAGGATGCTTGAAGTTCTCTGGCTGCAGGCTAACTGGAAACTGTTTTGCTTTTGTTTAATATGTTACCATAAAGTTGAGAAATGGTGGCATTTAAAAAGCAACTACGTAACATATACTCCAACTTGTCATTTCAGGAACTGTCTTGTTTTGTTACAAGGTGCTATGAAGTGGTGATGAACGTAGTCCATCAGCTGGCTGCTCTCTATATCAGTAACAAGTAATGGATTTTATAAATATTTTTGCATTTGTAATAGAGATGCAGGGAATATTTTCTAAAACTAGCCATTACCTGAAATAGTTTTTTGTCTCTTTGCTCATTTATTTATTCATTCTTTCATTCATTTATTCACCATCCTTTGAAGTCTCATAATGTTTCAAAAACTAGATGTGTAATACGTAGGCTAATAAGACAGTTTCTGCTGTGGTGAATGATCTGTTATCTTTCTGAATAAGAATGTTGACAGAATATACTTAAATTTGATTATATAGAAAAAGACGAATATGGAATCAGAACATGTACCAAATTCTCTCTCCATATTTCTCCTTTATAGTGACTGTTCCCTGGCTTATTAGAATCACATGAGACTTTCCTTAAACTACAGAATCTGGGGGAGTGGGACCAGGGAATCTACGGTGAAAAAATTTGGTTTTATTCAAATGATCTTCCGAGTTTGGGAACCACTGTTCTAAATCAGGAAAAATGATCAAATTTTGATAGACCTTGCTGTTCTTAATGACCACAAAGTAATATCTCACATTCAATTGATACTTTATAGTTAAAAATTTTCCCATTTACAACTTAACTGTGATCTTACAGTAACTTTGTTTAGTAACATCACAAGGGGTTCTCAATTATGAGAAGAAGTAATTGAGGCCCAGAGGAATTGTATGAGATTTCACAGCAATTTAGATGCTGTTCTTTGATCACCAGTCATTCATTGTTGTTCTTACTATATACCAGGCTGCATCTTAACTCTCTTTATAAACTGGGAGACTGTGTTAACTGCTTCTCATTTTCATGTTTTTCTCCTCAGTCAGGCGTTTATTTTGTGTTCTGTTCTTTCACTGAAGCTGTTCTCATGGCAGGAGGGAATGAGAGCATAGCTCTTCTAATCCCTGCAGTACCTGATGTGTAATTCACAGAGTACTCCCCACCACCACACCCCGCCCAAGAAAGATGAAATTTATTTGTATTTTGTATTTAATTTTAAAAATATTCTATCTTGTGGAATATGTATATGTCCTTTGATATACAAGTACTACTTTAAATTATTTACTGTTGAGTAGAAGATGTCTAGGAAGTAAAATTGAATTATCCCAGGGTTTTTGACTTTAGTACAGTGTTGGTTGATGCATTGTTTTTCAGTAGGAATGGGAACTCAGAAATAAATCTGACTAGTTTCCAAATGCCAGTTTGGGTAGGATAACAAAGATTCTGGTTGGGAATTGAGAAATTCTAACTGTTTCGAAAGAAATGAGTATCAATTTTGTTATTTCTCCGCCTCTATCCCAAACTCAGTCCTTTAGGTTTAAATGGCTAGGGTTATTCACGGGCCACATATTGTTATTTCCGTGCCCATTGAGTAAGGTGTGGGCAGGGATAGCCTTGACTCTGCATATACAAGTTAGTTAGTTCTCTTCTAGTTAGTTAGTTCTCTTTAGGCTGATGACAGCCTAAATAATGATACATAGGTGTTAAAATCCCAAGACCTTCTGCTGCTGTGTGTTTTCCTTAAAATAAAAATGGACTGTGGTGAAAAAGGAGTTTTTTAAATTGGATGTTATTTTATTACAGGATTGCACCCAAAATTATAGAGACAACTGGAGTTCATTTTCAGGTAAAAGTAATTTAGGTTGAACTGTAAAACTATAATTTTTACTATACTTTGCTGTGGAGTTTATATGATTGGGGAGTAAAAAATTATAGCGAAACTCTTAAAGAGGTTTTGTTTTGTTGTTTTTTTGCCTTTTTTCTATTTTATCTGTGAAGTTGATGAGGTATTACTGACCCACTATCAGTATAACTCTTTTTTCTTTTTTAAGATTTTATTTATTTATTTGACTGACAGAGATCACAAGTAGGCAGAGAGGCAGGCAGAGAGAGAGGGGGAAGCAGGCTCCCTGCTGAGCAGAGAGCCTGATGCGGGGCTCGATCCCAGGACCCTGAGATCATGACCTGAGCCAAAGGCAGAGACTTTAACCCGTTGAGCCACCCAGGCGCCCCAGTATAACTCTTTTTTTTTCCCCAGTTGTGGCCAGTGGAGGTTCTCTTAAATGGTCTCTTTAGAGAGTGAAACAATTCAACAATTCTGTAAAATCACAATTAAGGATGAAGTAGTGGGCAAAGTGTTTCTCTATTTAAGGCTTGTTGTTCCATCTGAGGATTAATAGTTTCATCTGTGTATTAATAAACTGATTCATCCACTGCTTTAATTCAGTAGTAATTAGCCCAGTGTGTTTAACTTTAAAAATCCATAAGAAGCTTAACCTGTAATTAGTGATTAAATGATAATCATTAAAGGTTTTTTTGACAGACTATGTATGAGCACTTGGGGGAGCTGCTAACTGTTTTGCTTACTCTGGATGAAATTATTGATAATCATGTCACATTGAAAGAGCACTGGACTATGTACAAAAGGTGAGCCAGTTAAAATGGTTAAAATAGTCTCTACTTTGTATAGTTAATATATTAGTAAAAAGGAAGTAAACGTAAATAATGCAGATCTTTTAAAAGACCTGGAGATCTGTATTTAGAAGGATCTCATGTTAAATGTTTTTATGAATACAGCAACCATTTTTTGAGAGTATGATATACTTGTATAAAGCCTTCTAATTCTTAAAGTATAGTAGAATGTTATTTTGAGTACCTTAGAACTCAGGTTTGTTTTTTCCTAGGGTTCAAGTGACCGTTGTTTTTCATGAACTTGGTTTTATCTCACTGTATATTCTTAAGACCTGTTTTAAGTTGAGGCGTCTTACGTCTGGTATCTAGAATATCTGAGTTTAGGATGATAGAAAAAGATATGATTTGAAAATTAAATATATTAGCATTGTTTTTATTCAGATTTTCAAATGTATAGAACCAAACAGGAAATACAAATATAAAATTTTGATTTCTTGAAAAATTTTCAATTGAAGACTTTATTAGGAAAATTGAAGGTCTTTCTCCTAATCTTCCATAAGGTTACTGAAATCTGTCCATCACAATCCTTCAAAATTTGGAATTCAGGAAGAAAAACTAAAGCCATTTGAAAAGTTCTTGCTGAAGCTAGAAGGGCAGTTACTTGATGGAATGATATTTCAGGTATGAGCACTTTATCAGACTATACTGAATGGGTTCCTTAGTCGAGCCAGCTCAGAACTACAGTATGACACTTTCATAGCATATTGTTGAAAGATGTGTTCTTTAAAAGTGCTGTGGCTTAAACCATTGTTAGTGTACTAAAGTATAATTATTTTAGTACCAAGTAGTAAACAAAATTAATAGTACTAGTTATATTTGGGGTGAGGTTTTTTTTTTTAATTATTTAAAAGGATAAAACTATTCAAGGATCAAGATCTAAGCAGTTATGTTAATGTTTGTTGTTAACCTCTGTATCTGGGTTTGTTATACTGCCTTTTAAATGTCTGGTTAATTCTTCCTGGGCTCAGGGAATATAATTTGGGTTTGTTCAGTCAGATAGCTTCCTACCATTTAGTAGCTTTTTAAAGCTTAAATTAATTAAAATGAAAGAAAATAAAATTTCACTTTCCCCACCACTTTCAACTGCTTACTAGCTGTATGTAATCTAATTATTGCACCATACACTTCAACTTATATATATATCAATAATATCATAATGAAGCTGGGAGAAAAATAGCCATAATTAGTTTGTGGCTAGCTATCATACTAGCACAAATGTAGAATATTTCTATGATCACAGAAAGTTCTTTTGGCTAGCACTGCTTTGGGTAATATTTATCAGAAATTGCAATATATTTATATTTAAAATCTGCTTCAGGGTTTTTTTTTTAAATATTTATTTATTGACAGGCAGAGATCACAAGTAGGCAGAGAGGCAGGCAGAGAGGGTGGGGGAAAGCAGGCTGCCTCCTGAGCAGAGAGCCCGATGCGGGGCTCGATCCCAGGACCCTGAGATCATGACCTGAGCCGAAGGCAGAGGCTTTAACCCACTGAGCCACCCAGGTGCCCCTTCAGGGTTATTTTTTAATATATTTTACATAATCACAGTTTTTTAAAAATTGATGTATAGTTGACACATAATGTTACATTAACCTCAGGTGTACAACATAGTGATTGACAAGTCTATACATCATATTATGCTCAGGATCACAGTTTTTACAGATCTATCTGAACTCTTGTTTATATCAGTTTAATGGCTAGTGTATTAGATTCAGAAGGTCTTTTTTTGTCATTGATTCTTTTTCCAGGAGATTTTTTTTTTAAAGATTTTATTTATTTATTCATTTATTTGACTGAGAGAGCACGAATCAGGGGAGGGGCAGGAGGAGGACAAGCACACTCCCCACTGAGCACACAGCCTGACACAGGCCTCTATCCCAGGACCCTAGCATCATGACCTGAGCCCAAGTCAGACACTTAACTGACTGAGCCACCCAGGTGCCCCTCCAGGAGACATTTCTATACATTCTGTAATAAAGTGCTAAGAAAGTAACTGTAATCAGAAAAAATTTACTCTTAAAAGTGCAAAGTAAAATAATAAAACATGTTTTCCAGTGTTGCATCAGACATATCTTCTATACATCATTGAATATTCCTGTGTGTCTCTTCATGTAGAATTATGGATTTGTGGGGCGCCAGGATGGCTCAGATGGTTAAGCTTCTTGCCTTTAGCTCAAGTCATGATCTCCGGGTCCTAGGATGGAGCCCTGAGTCAGGCTCCCTGCTCAGTGGGGAGTCTGCTTCTCCTTCTCCCCACACGCTGCACCTCTCATGCCCTCTCTCTCTCAAATGAATAAAAAATAACTTAAAAAAAAAAAAGAATTACAGATTTGTGGTTCTGTTTTATTGCACTAACTGGTACTCAAATATGCACATACATACATATTCTAAAGGATTTAGATATTAGATGACATTAAGGTAAAAACTTGAGCCTCATTGTTAGTAAAATTAGAATGATGAATGTAGATCACACATACTATATTTAAATCTGTTTAATATTTTATTATCCAGGGTCTAAATTTCTCTTTAAATGTTTCCTGTTTAGGCCTGTATAGAACAGCAGTTTGATTCTCTGAATGGAGGAGTATCTGTTTCAAAAAATAGCACTTTTGCTGAAGAATTTGCACATAGTATTCGCTCAATTTTTACAAATGTGGAAGCCAAACTTGGTAAAGTGCATTTTTAAATTTTTGTTGCTAAAGTTTGCATTTCCTTTAACGTAGAACTTAAGTGTTATTTGTTTCAATTTTCTCTCATGCTTTTGTTTTTATAAGGAGAACCTTCTGAAATTGACCAGAGAGACAAGTATGTTGGAATTTGTGGACTTTTTGTACTGCACTTTCAAATTTTTCGAACTATTGATAAGAAGTTTTATAAGTCTTTATTGGACATTTGTAAGAAAGTAAGAACTTGGAATTTTTATTTTTTTCAATTTCAATAGATGAAAAAGATTTTAGATAAAATTGGATATTCTAAAATGTATTTTATTCCTGCTTATAAAAGTGGCAATTCTTGTAATATTTTATAATAATTATAAAAATAATATTATAGTATTCATTTTTAAAAACCAGGCATTCCAGAAATAAGTACTATATAATTCCACATCATATAAATACCTGTTTGTGGAGGTTTTTCCAGATTTCTTCCTATAAATTAAATTCCTATTACTGTTACTACTTTTTTCTCTTCTTTTTCTTCTATTCTTCTCCTCTTCTTACCATCCCTTTTCATTATTGAAGTAGAAAAACAATTGAAATCGGTTTTACATCTTTGTTATTTCCATGATGTGACATCTGATTTCAAAATTGAAAATTTAGTTTGTGTGTAGAATCAAGTGATACATGACTATGAGTACCCAGCCATCTTGGGTCTTTTATTTTTTTCACTAATGTAGAATAAAAGTAAAAGTCATGAGGATTCAAGTTTCTGTTTGCTTTTTGCATATTTTTATCTGAAAATCTCTGTGTGTGTGTGTGCGCGCATGTGTATGTATTTAATATTTAGGCAGAATAAAATTATTTTCATGCTCCACATCAGATACTGGAATGCCTTAATTGTGCCACAGCACAATAATATGTTTCATGATCTATAGTGATTATAAATTGTCTTCCATTGCATATGATAGAATTATTAAATAGCTTATTGTTTAGCCTGTATTTATTAATTTCCCTTCCTTATGTTTACTGTTTCAGGTACCAGCCATCACTCTAACTGCTAATATTATTTGGTTTCCTGATAATTTTTTGATCCAGAAAATACCAGCAGCTGCCAAACTTCTAGACAGAAAAAGTCTTCAAGCCATTAAAGTACACAGAGATACTTTCCTACAGCAGAAAGCTCACTCACTTACCAAGTAGGTTTTATAAGTGCTCATAATGAATATATTTATATACTTCATATTCTTGGATTTTATATTGACTCAAAATATGTGGAAAACACTTGGTTATAAGAATAAATTTATTTATTACCAGAGGAAAATGTTGGACAATCTCTAGGAGACTTATTTTTTAGGATTTTTTTTTTTTGCTTTACATGATGTAGGTTTAAACTCTGTTAAAGATATAGGAAAACTATACTTTATGGAGATGTATGTGTGCGTACATACGTACCCAAATATACGTGCATTTGCACACATGGATGCGTGCACACATAACTTTATATCGATACATTAAATATTTTTAGTGTGAAGTGTAGTTCCTGTAGTAGACGCCATTTGATGACATTAAAAGTATTGTGTGTCCATGATTCAGTGACGGTTTTTCGGAGTTGATTTTAATTTGATGCACTCCTTTTTTAAAATTTTTATTTTTATGAAAGTAATATATGTACGTATTTAAAAAGTCAAGTACTAAAAGTTTAAAGGGAAAAATAATTGTCTCCAGCCCACTTTCACCCTGTATCAGATCCTAGTCACTTAAAGAACACTTTTAACTTCAGTTTCTTCTGATATTTACATCCTTATATTTTGTCTAAGTCTTACTATGTAAAATTTCAAATATGCACAAAATAGAGAAAACAGTATAATGGACCCCCATGTTCTCATCGCCTAGATTCAACATTTAAATTAACTGCACATTCTTGAGTGTGCTACCAAAAGCACATGTTGACCTGGATGAAGATTTTAAGTCAGGTGATCCAGGACTGTGCTACTGGCCCTGTGCTGGAGACAGTTTTTTTTGTGACATGGTTAAAAGATAATAGGGAAATTTATCTACTTCCTTTTGATTTCGACCATCAATGGGAAATAGGGCCACTATTGCAGAGTAGGGAAAGAAGGAGTTATGTCAGGAATGTAGGAGGTCCCCTGAAGCATCTCTTAGTACTCCCAAGTCCTGTGATTAAAGTCAGTGGAAAATAACAATTACTCAATTTAGGCAGAATTACTCACAGCAGAGATTCCTGAACTCTCTCGTACATTTTAAAACAGAACTGAGAAGGGAAAAAGACATAGTTTGGATTTAAGGAAATGAATCCAGTAAGATGGAGAGATAGGGATGAGGTTTAGTAGCAGTAATTAAACGGATATTTTGATTATCAGACGCATAATGTTCTTTAACAGTGTGATGTAGTTGCTAAAAATGCCGGTATATACTTGGATTACATTAATAACTATACCTGGGTTATGGGAACTGATAGTTATATCTATGCCATGTGAATTGGTAGTTTTGTTGAAGTTTTATTCATCAGATCATAGTCAGTATTTGGTGGTGTCACATTTTAAGAGGGACACAAATGCAGCAGCCCTAAAAGAAGCTGGTCAGGATATGTCAGAAGACCTGACTACCACGCCCTTTGAAGAATCTCTATAGAATTTGGCCTTTCAAAGAGAAATCTGAGGAATGCTCCTTAAATATTTGAGGGGCGTTCAGATAGAAGAGGGAACAGATTTGATCTCTGTGGCTCCAGAAGGTTGAACTAGAACCAAAAGATGATGACAGATCATAATAATTACCAATATTATTGAGCTCTGTAGCAGGCATTGTGCTAAAGGCTTTAAACACTTTGTCTCATACAAACTCTGTAGCAGTCTTCTCATATGGAAAATAATAAAGGTTGCATCTAATATTAACCTGGTCCTTTCTGTAAGCCAATAACTAAAATATTTCAGGAACTTCACATGTATCATCTCTTTTTTTTTGAAGATTTTATTTATTTATTTGACAGAGAGAGATCACAAGTAGACAGAGAGGCAGGCAGAGAGAGAGAGAGAGAGAGAGAGAGAGAGGGAAGCAGGCTCCCTGCCGAGCAGAGAGCCCGATGCGGGACTCGATCCCAGGACCCTGAGATCATGACCTGAGCCGAAGGCAGCGGCTTAACCCACTGAGCCACCCAGGCGCCCCTGTATCATCTCTTTTAATCATCTGAGAATTTTGTGAGGTAGATACTGTTGTTATGGCCATTTTATAGGTGAGAAAATTGAAGTAGATTAAACTTACCCAAATTTAAGCAGCTAGTAGGTGGCGGAGCTGGACAGTTCCAACTCTAGAACACAAGCTGTTACCTGCTACTCTATAGTCCTCGTTTTATCCCATTTTTAGATAAAGAAAATGAGGCTTAGAGAAGTGAACTTCACCAGATCACACAACTAAGTACATGTTAGAGAAGGCATGCAGACCTGTACCAGTCCTACTGTAGCGCGTCTGGAGCAGAGTCATACAGGCTGCTCTGAGAGCTAATGCGCTCTTTCCCTAGAGCTGAGTAGGTAGACTGTAGATGACCAGTGGTCCAAGATGCTGTAGGAAGGGAGGCTTATCAGGCGGAAGACTGAAGAAGTTGACTTTCAGTGACACCCCCCCCCCCCGATAACATTTTATGTTTCTAAATTATTTGATTCTAAAGATACACAGTCACCACTGAGTTCCAGGGAGCTAAAGTGTCCTTTCAGGGAGCTAAAAGGGATAGTGTCCTTTTCAGTCTCCTTGCAGTTCTCCCAAAGAAACCTCAGAAGAGAGGAAACACTGTGATCAGCATGAGTTTTGTCTAATATTTTAGGAAAAGTTGAGGGAGTTACTGAGAGCTCTCCCGGTAAGGTTCCAGAGTTCATTACGTAAGTGAGAAGGAAGCAGTGGGGGACAGTTTCCCTGCCCTCCCACTATGCACTAGACTCTAGCTGGCCAAGTGCCCCAGCCACGTTCTTGACTGGGGTTCAAGGTTTGTAGGTGCATTGCTACATTTTGCTTTTCCTTCACAACCATTTCGACACTGGGAACACTGACTTTAAAGGATAGAGGTATGAACCTTCGTTTCAAACCTCTGTTGACATATAAATGTTGACACCATTTTGTGTTTTATATTGGGACAGGAAATTTTTTCTCATTAGTATTTTTCCTGTTCATACTTTGAAATGAAGCTGACCATATGACAGACCTTTGGCTATTTTTGGACACCTTTTGTCAATGAACTTGCTTTTTAAGGCTTGAAGCAGTTTCATTTTTACGTATTTGCAAGAGATGAAGATCATCTGGTGTCTGGAGGGAGTAGTAATGGGTGGAGTAATAGGCAAACCTCTGCTTTGTTTTGTATAGTCTGATCTAAAACTGAGTGAGAGTGCCTTTGACTGTGTTATTAGCCTTCTTCATAATGTTATCGATTATTGTCAGGGAGCACTCCGTAATGTAGGCCTCTTCCTTCTGTCCTTGCTTGTGACTTTTCTGTTCCTTCCTGTATGTTATGTCCCTGCTGAATACTGATCACAGCCTCCTCAAAAGTGGAGGCATTGCCCTAGGACTTTACTCTTTCTCTGTGCTCCACGCTTTTAAGTTGAATAATCCATAAGTCAAATAATGTTAGCACCATTCAAGGCAAAAGCCAAAAGTGCAGCAGTTGGTGTTATTTGTTTAATGGAATCCTGGCTCAGCAGAAATTTTTCTGAGATTTGATGCTAGGCTTCACTCCTTAAAACACAGTCATTAAAAATTTTGGTGTAATCCCTCTTCAGGCTGAGTTCTTGAGATTGTCAGACAGCTTGGCAGTATTTTTTGTTTGCTTGTTTTTAAGATTTATTTACTTATTTTAGAAAGAGCAAGCTTGAGCGAGCCTGAGTAACCCCTTCAGTGGGGTTAGGTGCAGAGGGAGAGGGAGAGAGAATCCTTAAGCAGACTCCCCACTGAGTGCAGAGCCTGTTGTGGGACACCATCCCAGGACTCCGAGATCATGACCTGAGACTAAATCAAGAGTCAGCGGCTTAGCCAACTAAGCTGCCCGGGTGCCCCTGAAGGAGGTTTTTAGAAAGAGTTGGTAACATCAGATCCCACAAAGGGGAATTGTTCATTTTTTTCCCACACTTTTGGCTTCTGGGCCAAAAATTCCCATCTTGAGCAATTTGAGATGCATTGATAGAGTGATTCAGTGTTTGTAATTGGGCTGCATAGGAAAATTATGTTGCTGATTTAGTCTTTCCCGGATGGGAAATCTTTCTAGATTTGGGCTTGTATCTTGGCTCAGCTATGTACCAGTTGTTTGATCTTGGGCACGTTATTAACTTCCTTGAGTATCAGTTTCCTCTTCTGTAAAATGGAGATCATAATACCTACCTCATAAGGCTAATGTGAGGATTGAATGAGTTACTTTGTGTGAGGTTCTCAGAACAGTGGCTGACATAATAAGTATTCAGTAAATGCAGCTTTTATGACCAGATTTTGACCACTTCCAGTCTCCCGTTCTGGTTCAAGTTGTTATCCCCTTTCTTCTGTATTATCACAGTAGCTGCCTAAGTGGTTTTCCAATATTACCCTTGTTCCCTTTATAGTTTATTTTTAGCATATCAGCCAAGGTGATACTGGTCCTCTGCAAAGTTAGATTAAACACTCTGTTCAAAGTCACTCTGTTCATTAAGTCACTCTGTTGGTGGCTTTCCATTGAAATCCTCCCTAAAAGTTCTTACACAAATCCTGTTCTACTCCCCCTCTTTCCCACACCGCCCCCTCCCACTTCTCTGATTTCCTTGTTTCCTCATCCCTGCTCTCTGACCTCCAGCCAAACTGACTTCTTTGTTATTACTTGAACATGCCAGACTTACTTACTGTTTTAGAGCATTTGCATTTGTTATTCACTTTCCTAGAATTCCCTTCTCATATATTAACATGGATTACTCATTCATCTTCTTCAAATCATGGCTCAAAATCTTTTCAATGAGCCTGCTTTGATCACTGTATTTAAAATTGTATCTGTCACTCAAGTCCCTGTCTCTTTTCCCTGCTGCATTTTTTCCATAGCACATATCATCTAACATCTTATAGATTTTAATTATTGATTTCTTTATTAAGCCACTCTCCTTTCTAGAATGTAAGTTTCATTGTGGCAAGAATTTTTATCCATTTTGTTTACTGCTAACTTTTGTTTTTAGTACTGAGAAAGAGTGCTTCAGCTATATGGGCATTCTGTAAACATTTGTTGAATGAGTAAATTATAGATGTATGTAGGATGTTTATAGTTTGAAAACCGGAAAGGTGGCTGCTACAAGGAAATATTTTATCCCAACCAGTTCAAAGAAATGGAAGTAAATTTTCTTTCCTGTGCTGAGTAACTGCAATATTTTCCTTTGTTAGAGATGTACAGTCTTACTACGTCTTTGTGAGCTCATGGATGATGAAAATGGAATCTATTTTATCTAAAGAGCAGAGAATGGATAAATTTGCTGAAGACCTCACCAATAGATGTAATGTTTTTATACAGGTAGTTGCATCTTCTTACTTAGAATATTTTGGGGGTCATTTCTTTGTTAATCCAATGTATAGAAGTAACCCTTTGAAAAAACTGGAAAGGATAGGATATATTTTTGCTTTTAAAAACTGAAATTGATTTGATTGCGTTTGGATCTGTGTGATTTATTAATTTGTATATTCTAATACATGCAATTATATTCCCTTCAAAGCATGACTTTTTTGCTGTTTTGATATGTTTTATTTCCATTATCCTTTACTTCAAAATATTTAAGAAATTTTATTGTGATTTCTTTTTAGGTCTGTGAGTTACCTTGAAAGATATTTTTTAATTTCTAAAGATATGAGGATTTCCTCGTTATTTTTTATTATCGATATCTAGAAATAAGATAATTTCGGTAATTTGAAATGTGTTGAGATTGGCATTATGGCCCACCCTGTGGTCAACTTTGGTAAACTTTTCATGTGCACTTGAATATCTAATTTGCATTTGTTGGTTGTAGTGTTCTGTATATGTCAAGCAGGTCATGTTTGTTAATGATTTTGTCTGCATATTGTATCAGTTACTGAGAGAATTGGTTTAGAATCTCCCTCTGGCATTGTGGATTTGTCTGTTTATTCTTTGTCAGTTTTTTTGAGGCCAAGTGAGTGTATAACATTCACAGTTGTTTTATCTTCCTGGTGAATTGAACCTTTTATCATTGTGAAATGTCCCTTTTATCTCTAGTAGTGCTCTTTGTCATAGGTCTTGTGTGTGTGATAGTAACATAACTATACCAGTTTTCTTTCAGTTAAGGTCTACATGGTATTTTTTTTTGATCCTTTTACTCGCAATCTGTTTGAACCCTTATATTTAATGTCTGTCTCCTGAAGCAGTATAAATTTTTCTTCAGTCTGATAATCTTTGTTTTTTCATTTTTTAAAAAGATTTTATGTATTTATTTAGAGATAGATGCATGAGTGGGGGGAGGAGCAGAGGGAGAGGAACAAGCAGACTGTGCTAAGTGCAGAGCCTGATGTGGGGCTTAATCTCACAACCCTGAGATCATGACCTCAGCTGAAGCCAAGAGTCAGATGTTTAACCAACTGAGTCACTCAGGCATCCCTTTTCATTATTTTTTCTGTCATTGCTGATGTATTTGGATTTAAAGTAGCACCTGACTAATTGCTTTCTGTTTGTCTCACTTGTTCTATGTCCCTTTTTCCTTTCCTTTCTTCCTCTTTTGAATTAGTTTCATCATTTTATTTCTCCCACTATTAGGTTTTTAATTCTATATACCTTTATTGGTTTTTTTTTAATAGTTACTGTAGAGATTTTAAGATACATCATTTAACCTTCAACTCCAGAATAAATGAGTAGTTTTATCTCTTTCTAGACAGTGTAAGGATCTTAAGCCAACTTAATCATATTTATCACTTTCTCACCCCTGCTGCTATTGTTTATTTTTATTCTCTATATTAAACTTCACAAGGTGGTATTATTGCTGCTGCTGTTTTTATAGTCCATTTAGATTTACCTACATATTTATCTGTTCTGTCTTTCCTGCATCTCTCCATCCTTCTATTTGTGGAATATATGTTAGTATTTCATTTAAACTGTCTCTCTGATGATGAATTATCACCATTTTTTTGTCTGAATATGTCTTATTTCAATTCCATTTTTTTTTAAAGATTTTATTTATTTATTTGACAAAGAGATATCACAAGCAGGCAGAGAGAGAGGAGGAAGCAGGCTCCCTGCTGAGCAAAGAGCCTGATGCGGGACTCGATCCCAGGACCCTGAGATCATGACCTGAGCCGAAGGCAGCGGCTTAACCCACTGAGCCACCCAGGCGCCCCTCAATTTCATTTTTGAAGGCAGTTTTGCTACATACAGAATTCTGGGTTGGCAGGATCCCTTACCTTCCTCCCCACTTTATCGTCTTCTGTCTTCTTTTATTTTTGTTGAGAAGTCAGCTGTCAGTTTTGTTGCTTTCTCAATGTGAGTCTTTCTCTGATTGCTTGTAAGATCTTTTTAGTTTTTAGTTAATATTACTCTGAGTTACCTAGGTGTAGTTTTCTTTGTGTCAGTGCTGCTTGGGATTTGTAGAGCTTCCAGGATTTATGGAAAACTCTCAGCCATTAAGTCTTCAAGTGCTCTTTTTGTTTTATTATCTCTCTCTCTCTCTCTCTAATTTTCTCTTCAGCTATCTTTAATCTACTGTTAAACCTATCACTGAATTCTTATTTTACTTTTTAGCTTTTTGTTTTTTATAATTTCCAGTTCTGAATAAATTTTGTTTCATTTCCTTCAACATATTCAGCATAATTATTTTGAAACCCATGTCTAATAATTTCATTATCTGGCTATTTCTCTTATCTCTTGTTTCTCTGGTTTTTGGATATATCTCATTGCTTTGTATGCCTGGTTATTTTCTTATAATGTGTGGCACATTGTATATGAAAAACTGTGGATATAATTGAAAGATCTGGATATTTTTTTTTCTCCAGAGAAGATTTAATAATCTTTGCTTCTGATGTATAGCTAGTCTAGGACAACTAGCAACCTAGATCACCTCAACTCAGTCATGGATTGTGATGATTTGAAATGGGTCCTAAATTCCATGATGGCTGTTTTTTTGAGTTCACCCTTACTTTTTAGGTAGTTGTTGAGGATCCCGATCCAGAACCTAGGTTTACAGGACCTCCATCCCTCTTTGATGGGCCATGAACTCCTATTTTCATCCCCCTTTCCTTTCTGTGAGATGCTGAAAGATAACATTTGGCTTCTGTCTTTATTCTCTTTTGGAACGGGCAGATGTCTCTTAAGGGAAAGTGGCCACAAATGCCATGCTCACCTCTCTGGGTTTCTGTCTTCTAGATTTTGCCCTTATATTACCTTATTTTTGTGGTAGTTCTTTGATGCCTTCTAAGAAATTTAAAAACATATTTTGCCCAGATTTGCTAGTTGTTCTTTGTAGGAATACTGGTCCAATTTATTTATTCTGCCATTAACAGAAACAGATCTAGATCTAGATCTCTTCCCTCCCCATTTAGATTTTTAAATGACATCCTTTTAAATGATGCAAATTAATGGCCATCTGAATGGTATGATATCAACCTATGAGTTCTTTCTCCTCCATTACCCCTCAAAGAAGAAACTCCCTTTTTCTCCCTGCCTTAGAGTTACACTTTTGCTGTTCCTTGTGTCTGCTTTTTAACTTTTCTAAGTGCTGCGTTAGGGCGGAGTCTAGTGTAATAGACCTGTATCTGACAAGGTAAGACTTGGGGCTCTTTCCTGTGTGTATGTCCCAAGCTTTAGTATTATTGTCTGTCACCTTTCTTAGGATGCTACCTTTTTTCTCGTTTCTTATTCTTTAATTTAGCACATCTCTTTATCACAGAGCCATTATTGGTTCAGAGAAACTCCTCCCTCCCATCTGTATTGACTATCACTCCTTTACTGGGTCATTGTGACACTGATGCCAGAGAGTTCTGGCATATCTCTCACATATGATAGAGGAAAAGAAAGAAAGTTGAGAATCAGTACCATATCACTTCTGCCCAACTCCTTGGATATATCCACAGTAGTATAGTTTAGGTTCATCTCTAAACTGTAACATGTATCTTTTTTTTGGTCCTTGATAACCCAAAGAATCTTTATTATTATGTTTCTATGTGGTTTTTTAGATCTAAATGAAAATATATCTGAGAGATGATATTCTTTTTCCTGATTTCTTATTCCATCCCATTTCCCTGGGTTTGCAAGCACTCAGAATATTTTTTAAACCTCACAAGACCTGTGTTCTTCCTTTGTGAATACAAGGATAGGAAGAAATTTGTTCTAATTGGGCCAGGAGGAGAAAAACTCTGATTAGTACCAGTATAGGCAGGGGACACGGTAGCAGATGGACAGTGGTGATCGGCTTTGGTGAAAAGGAAAAGGGGAATTGGCTTGAAAGTGAGAAATACCTTTTGATACGTGTGCTGGCCAGAGAGCAGCTATCCTTCTCCTTCTCATTTTTCAGTTCCTAGTTCCTTGGAGTCCTTAGCTTTTGTCTGCAGCAGATAGGAGTCTTTATACTCTTGTCTGGCAGGTAAGATAAGGATGAATAGATACCTTCCAGACATTCAGATAATTTCTCTGAAGGGTTTGTGTGTGTTTTTAATGGGAAGATTCTTTAACTATAATTACATACCATAATTTTAACAGTACTAAACTTATGGTATGTAATGGGTTAAATACACTTTTAAGGGTTACTTTGAAACTTCACCATCGTATGTATATTGTATGTGGAAAAGTATTTAAAAATCTTAAGAGCAGACTTTAAAATGAACTTTACAAACAATAGTTATTGGCAAGTTGAGGAATAATTATTACATAGAGAATGAAATGTTCAAGGAATGAAAGTTTTTATCGTAATTATAATCAGTGTTTTATTTTTTTATAGGGCTTCTTATATGCATACAGTATTAGTACCATTATTAAAACCACAATGAATCTCTACATGTCAATGCAAAAGCCAATGACCAAAACCTCAGTTAAGGCGTTATGCAGGCTTGTTGAACTTCTCAAGGTATGTTTAAAATTATTTTACTTGCCATTATAATTGAAAATTGACCTGTGCTTAAATTAAGGTGCGTTTGTAATATTAGACTTATTGATTATGAGAGTAAAAAATTGTGGGAGTGTCATGGCTGCCTCGAGGGACTAGTACAAGTTTGCACCTGAGGTGGGAAGGGTCTGAAGCCCACACCGGGGAACCTAGCGAGGTAAAGTTGCGTATTGGTTGTGGAGGCAACAACTTCTCTGATTCCTTGGCGATGGTGGCGTCTGGAGGTGCTATGGCTCAGAAAACCTGGGAACTGGCCAACAACTTGCTGGAAGCCCAGAACATCGACGAAATCTACAAATACGACAAGAAACAGCAGCAAGAAATAACGGGCGGCGAAGCCCTGGACTAAGGATCACCATTACTTTAAGTACTGCAAAATCTCAGCATTGGCTCTACTGAAAATGGTGATGCATGGCAGATCGGGAGGCAACTTAGAAGTGATGGGCTTAATGCTGGGAAAGGTGAATGGTGAAACCATGATCATTATGGACAGTTTGGCTTGCTTGTAGAGGGCACTGAAACCCGAGTAAATGCTCAGGCTGCTGCATATGAGTCCATGGCTGCGTATATAGAAAATGCCAAACAGGGCGGCTGCCTTGAAAATGCAATTGGTGGGTATCACAGCCATCCTTGCTATGGCTGCTGGCTTTCTGGGATTGATACTACTGCTCAGATGCTCAGTCAGCTGTTCCAGAAACCATTCGTAGCAGTAGTAATTGACCCAAAAAGAACAGTATCAGCAGGGAAAGTGAATTTTGGAGCCTTTAGGACATACCCAAAGGGCTGCAGACCCCCTGATGAAGGACCTTCTGAGTACCAGACTATCCCACTTAATAAAATAGAAGACTTTGGTGTACATTGCAAACAATATTATGCCTTAGAAGTCTCATATTTCAAATCCTTATTGGATCACAAATTGCTTGAGCTTTTGTGCAATAAATACTGGGTGAATACACTGAGTTCCTCTAGTTTGCTTACTAACGCAGACTATACCACTGCTCAGGTCTGTGATTTGTCTGAAAAATTAGAACAGTCAGAAGCTCAGCTGAGACAAGGGAGTTACATGTTGGGTTTAGAAACACATGACAGAAAGTCAGAAGACAAACTTACCAAATTTACAAGAGACAGCTGTAAAACTACCATAGAAGCTATCCATGGATTGATGTCTCAGGTTATGAAGGATAAACTGTTTAATCAAATTAACATCTTTTAAACAATCACCAAGTAGTACTTTTGACTGAAAGCCAGTATGAGAAAAATACTCAAGTAACACTTTAAAGCCGGTTACCAAAAATCTTATTAGAAATACAGGGTGTTCTGAAGTGTCCTGAATATTAACACCATGTAATAAAACTGTTTAAAATGAAAAAAAAAAAAAAAATGGGAAAGTGTACTTATCTCTCAGTTGGCTAAAGAAACTGGCCATTGAAAGAAATTTTCTGAGTAACTTCTTATGAATTACCAATGTATTTAAACTTTATTAAAAATTAGCATTTAGTGAGAGAGAAAGGAGGACAATGACAAGGTTAGCTTAAGTATTAGTAAAGTTTTACTCAAGTTTTAAGCATGTTCCCTGAATTATGAAAGAGTATGACCTGGCCCAAAAATTGATACATAGGTCAGGGAACAAAATGGGGACTCCAGAAATAAACCCACAATTATATGGTCAGTTATGACAAAGGAGAGAAGAATATACAGTGGGGAAACAGTCTGTTTAATAAATGGTGCTGGGAAAACTGGACAGCTACATGTAAAGAATGAAACTGGACCACTTTCTGATGCCATACACAAAAATAAACTCAAACTGGATTAAAGATTTAAATATGAGACCTGAAACCATAAAAATCCTAGAAGAGAGCACAGGCAGTAATTTCTCTGGTATCAGTCATAATGTTTTTCTAGATATGTCTCCTAAGGCAAGGGACACAAAAGCAAAAAATAAACTACTGGGACTATGTCAAAATAAAAAGTTTTGCACAGCAAAGAAAACCATCAACAAAACAAAAATACTGACTGAATGGCTGAAGATATTTGGAGTTAATATCTGAAATATATAAAGAACTTACACAACTCAGCACCAAAAAAACAAAACAAAAAAACCAACCACAATTAAAACATGGGTAGAGGATCTAAGGAGACATTTCTCCAAAGAAGACATACAGATGGCCAATAGACAGTTGAAAAGATCATCAACATCACTCATCAGGAAAATGCAAATCAAATCAACAATGAGATATCCCCTTACATCAGTTAGAATGGCTAATATCAAAATGACAGGAAATAACAAGTATTGGCGAGGATGTGGAGAAAAAGGAATCCTCAGGCATTGTTGGTGGGAATGTAAATTGGTATAGCCACTGTGGAAAGTAGTATGGAGGTTCTTCAAAAGTTAAAAATATAAATATCACATGATCCAGTAATTCCACAACTGGATATTTACCCAGAGAAACTGAAAACTCTAATTCGAAAAGATACATGCCCCCCCATATTCATTGCAGTATTATTTATAATAGCTAAGATGTGGAAACAACCTAAGTGTCTTTCAGTAGACAAATGGATAAAGAAAATGTGGTATATATGTAATGGAATATTACACAGCCATAACAGGATGAGATTTGAGACAACATGGATGGACCTAGAGGGCATTATGCTAAGTGAATTAAGTCAGATGGAAAGATAAATATCATATAATTCCATTCATAAGTGGGATCTAACAACAACAATAACAAATGAGTAAAAAGTCAGAATCAGTCCTATAAATGTAGGAAACAAACTGATGATTATTGGCGGGGTGAGGTAGGTGTAGAAGGTTGGTTAAAATTGGTGAAGGGGAGAGGGCAGTACAGGTTTCCAGTTATGGAATGAGTAAGTCATGGGAATAAAAGGTGCAGCTTGAGCAATATAATCAGTGATACTGAAATAGAAATGTAATGAGGTAGTTGGTAGCTATACCTGTGGTGAACATAGCATAGTGTATAAACTGATCAAATCACTAGGTTGTACACCTGAAACTAATGTAACATTGTATGTCAACTATACTAAAAAAAAAAAAAGAGATCCATTTTGTGTTGAAATGCATATGAGGCTATCAAAATGAGGCTGTTATTATTATTTATTTATCTGAGAGAGAGAGACCGTGAGAGAGAGCATGAGGTGAGAAGGTCAGAGGGAGAAGCAGACTCCCCATGGAGCTGGGAGCCTGATGCGGGACTCGATCCTGGGACTCCAGGATCCTGACCTGAGCCCAAGACAGTTGCTTAACCAACTGAACCACCCAGGCGCCCCAAGGCTATTATTTTGTAATTCAGAGAAAGTGCTGTGATCTTGTGATTTGAATACTTTTGAAAATATGATAAAATGTTTCTTAGCATATTCTATATTAATAAATAAAACCCCTTCTAGGCAGGAGAATCCACTTAACTTTTGTAAAAATTGAAATTAAAAAATTTGCTAGCGGGGTGCCTGGGTGCTTCAGTGGGTTAAGCCCCTTTGGCTCAGGTCATGATTTCAGGGTCCTAGGATTGAGCCCCACATCTCTGCTCAGCAGGGAGCCTGCTACTTCCCCCTCTCTCACTGCCTGCCTCTCTGCCTGCTTGTGATCCCTCTCTCTCTCTGTCAAATAAATAAATAAAATCTTTAAAAAAAAGGTTGTTAGCTATTTCTGCTAATGTCTTTAGATTTACTTAAGAAATTAAAATTTGGGGCTGATTTTTAGCCTTTTTTAAAGATATAATTTATTTACTATAAATGCAGAAATGTATGTATAGGTATGTTTATACATATGTATTTAATAAACATAATTAGAAAATAGACACTTAAAAACCCACCATCCCATTTAGGAAATATTAATATTTTCACAAGCCCCCTGTGCCATCCCTTGGTGATTACATCTTATCCCGCTCCCTCAGAGGAAACCCTTGTCTTGAATTTGATGCTTACATTTCTCTTGTTTTTCTTTTTGGTTTATCAGATATGGATGAATCTATAAACCATTCATTGTTCAGTTATGTTCTTGAAGTTTATATTAATGAAGTAATACTTCATATATTTTTGACTTGTTTTTTTTTAAACTCAGAATTTTGTATTTGAACATGTTGGGATGATTTTCACTTCATTTCATTTCATTTCATTTTCATTGCTGTGTAGTTTTCCTGTGGGTGGACCTTTGGGTGGTTTCCAGTTGTTGCTCTTACAAACAAAGTTGTTGTTCTTGCATATGTTTCTTGGTGTAATTGTGCCAAGAGTTTTTCTGAAGTATTATGTGTCTACAGTGGATTGCTGGGTTGTGTGTTATGTACATGTTTAGCTTTTCAAGAGGATGCCAAATTCTTTCCTATATTCTTTCAGTTTACCTACCTTCCGATGGACTAGATTTCCCATTATTCCCTAACTGACCAACACTGATAGTATCTGGATTTTTTTTTTTTTTTCTTTTTGGTGGGAGGCAAATTTTTGGTGGTAGGTAAATGATTTGTAGTGTTTATTTCCCGGATTGTTGATGATGGGGTCTTTTTCAAGTGTTTATTGACTGTGTTTTTTCTTTTGTGAAAAATCAGTTCTTTTGTTCAGTTTTCTTTTAAATTATTTGCCATTAAAAATGTTCCATTCATTTATTTATTCTGAGTACTAAATCCTTGTGTGTGGCAAAAATTTTTTCATACTTAGGCCTTTTTATTTTTTTAAAAGTGGCTTTTGATGAACAGAAATTCTTTAATTTTAATGTAGTTGAATTTATCAATCTTATCCTATATCAAGTGCTTTTGGATCTCATTTACAAATTCCTTACTTAACCCAAGGTCTTCAAGGTATTCTGTAATTTGCCTAAAAGCTTTAAGTTGATTTTCACAATATTCCTTGTGGTTCTTTTAAGGCAATAGAGCATATGTTCTACAGAAGAAGCATGGTTGTGGCTGATTCGGTCTCACATATAACACAGCACCTTCAGCATCAGGCTCTTAATTCTATATCTGTGGCCAAGGTATGAAGTTTATTATGTATTCAACATAATTATCTTTTTAGTTTGCTATTCTGTTGTTTTATATGTGTTTTTTTAGTTTAATCTGTTTACTCCATGCCTTCAAACATATTAATTCTTGGCCCGTTTTCTCTGTGGTATTTTATGATTGTTACTTAGAGTGATCAGGGTTGTCTTAACTCTGAACTTGCAGCATGTAATATATTAACACCCCTGTATTTAAAAATGACATTGTGGGAGCACCTGGGTGGCTTAGTCCATTAAATGTCTTCCTTTGGCTCAGATCATGATCCTAGGGTCCTGGAATCGAGCCCTGTGTTCAGCTTCAGAAGGGAATCTGCTGCTTCTTCTCCCTCTACTGCTTACCTTGCTTGTGTTCTCTTGTTCTCGCTCTCTCTCTCAAATAAAAAATCTTTTTAAAAAAATTACATTGAGTATAGTTTTTTTTTTTTTTTAAGATTTTATTTATTTGTTAGAGAGAGAGAGTACGTGCAAGCAGGCAGAGTGGCAGGCAGAGGCAGCGAGAGAAGCAGGCTCCCTCCTAGCAAGGAGCCCAAAGCAGGACTCAGTCCCAGGACCCTGGGATCATGACCTGAGCTGAAGGCAGTGGCTTAACCGACTAAGCCACCCAGGCGTCCCAATATTGAGTATAGTTTTAAAATATGCCTCTTTAAAGAAATAATTTCCTTCTTAAATTAATATGGAAATTTTAGAATGTGGCCTCTGCTGTTATCTTGAACTGCCTCTCAAAAAGCCTAATATGGAAGTTTAAAAAGATGCTTAATACATTTGCTTTCCCTGACAGCACTAAATGGTAATGTTATAGAAATAAAGCATATAGGGGCGCCTGGGTGGCTCAGTGGGTTAAAGCCTCTGCCTTCCGCTCAGGTCATGATCCCAGGGTCCTGGGATCGAGCCCCACATCGGGCTCTCTGCTCAGCAGGGAGCCTGCTTCCTCCTCTCTCTCTGCCTGACTCTTTGCCTACTTGTGATCTCTCTCTGTCAAATAAATAAATAAAAATCTAAAAAAAAAAAAAAGAGAGAGAAATAAAGCATATAACATCAGAAAAAGATGAACAGGGAAAGCATTTGTCTAAGCTCTCTTAAATTGAACCCTGGAAATATTACCCTTAAGTTTTTCCTCAGAATCTTTTGTTATTGATTCAAAAATAAAACTGTTATTTCTTGTTCTCTCCTTTTATCTTTTAGAAAAGAGTAATTTCTGACAAAAAATACAGCGAACAGCGTCTTGATGTGCTCTCTGCTCTAGTTTTGGCTGAAAACACTCTTAATGGACCAAGCACAAGGCAACGACGACTTATTGTTTCTTTGGCACTAAGTGTTGGCACACAGATGGTAAGTATATTGCTATTTTGGAGGGAAAATGAAATCTGAGCTTTCACAGTTCCCTTATTACTGACCTAAGAAATCTGTCCTTACTTTTGCAACTTCTCTGTCATTCTTTCCCCTTCCTGAAAGAAAACATTTAAAGATGAAGAACTTTTTCCACTGCAAGTAGTCATGAAAAAGCTGGATCTTATCAGTGAGCTTAGAGAAAGGTAAGTAGGGATATGTAATGATATTCGAAAGAGAAGGCTAATAGAAACAGCAATTTGCTGTTCAGCATAGCAAGAGAAGAAATATAACCTAGATAGACCATTAGTTCCTCCTTGTCACTCCTTTAGCATGACTGAAATGAGACCATGACTACGGATTATATTTTAGTTTTGCTTCTACAATAAAGAGGTGGCTTCTGAAAGAACTCCCATGAGAACATGTGATACCTAGAGCATCTGCTAGACCCTGATGTAATTGTGATTGCTGTGATTGTCCACTAACCTAGTGGACTTCTAAAATTGCTGCTTTATAACAAGATTTCATCTATTTGTGAGGGTCTTAGAGATTCATGTCACATGTCACATTCTGTAATTTTGTTTTGATACATGAATTGGAATTCACTCAAATGAATTAGTATTTGGAAGCCCCTTGTAACTTTATTATTTTCTTTTTATTGAGGGAGCAGTAAGTTTCTTGAAGGGAAAATGGGTCTTCTGAATTTGATTCCCAGGTGAATTAAGGTTACAGCACAGTTTTCATTTAATGCTTACTTTTTGAAACTTAATGTTTTAACTCATTTAAAACTTACTGTTTTCTGTTCTGAGAAGCTGAGACTTTTATAGTTAGTAGCATTTAACTTTCTATCTTTGGAAGAAATAGTGACCCTACTTCATTATAAGATACTCAATGATCATTTTGTTGTCATAGAATCGTGTGAAAATGTCACTTGGCAAAGATTATAGACGGACAGGCTATGTGTAACTGGGTTTTTGGTTTTGTTTTGTATTTTGTCACAATTTTTTAAAAGTCTGCTTGTCAGCTTTGGGACAGGTAAAATGGTGCATGTGGTACAAGTATTATAAGTTCAGTCATACCAAATAATACTGAAAATTTTAACTATTTAAAAGTTATACATATTGTTTTTCAAGTATGCTTTAGAATTTTTCTGATTGAAAAATACTTATTTTGTGGCTTTTCTGTACTAATTTTGGGTTATATGATATAGGGAATAAAAAATGGGTAAGACTGAGCTCTTGCCATTATGGTATAGAATGTTGTTCCTTTCCTTATTTTTGGGGTGGGGGGGTACTTCAGTTTTGCTCCCACTAATTACTACTTTACATTGTAGAGTCCAAACACAATGTGACTGTTGTTTTTTATACTGGCATCGAGCTGTCTTCCCAATTTATTTAGATGATGTATATGAAAATGCCGTTGATGCAGCCAGATTACATGTAAGTGAAGAATAATGTAAAAAATAATCCATCATTTTTAGTCACCATACCAACCATTCTAATTAGTTTTAAATACAATCATTTGACTTAATAAATCATTTTAAAATTGACTCTAATGTTTTTACAATGCTGTACATATTTAATAAGCATTTAGTCTAGTTAAATTTGATATTAATGTTAATGAACTAACTTTTTTACTCATATTCCTGATCATTCTCATTTCGCTTGATTTTAGTTTATGTCACAATAGTCTGACATTTACCTGTCTGCAAGGTATATGTTACTGAGATCTGTTTCCTTATGGAAATAAGTATTTCAGTGCTCAAGACAAGAAAGGATAAGTGAATATGAATTTTTTTTAGTTTAAAGTATTTGCTTTAGAGAATAAAACCTGGCTCTTCTTATTTAGGAAAGTAAGACATGTCAAAAAAAAAAAAAGTCTTCAGATTGAGATTTTTGTCTTTAAAGATAGATAATTAACCTGTGTGATATTCCTTTTCTTTTTTTCCCCCCTTTGTGATATTTCTTAATTAGAGCTCTGGTTTTTCTAAATTCATGAACATTCTAATTTTCTTCTTAGTACATGTTCAGTGCTTTACGGGACTGTGTACCTGCTATGATGCATGCAAGGCATTTAGAGTCCTATGAAATACTTCTGGATTGCTATGACAAAGAAATTATGGAAATTTTAAACGAGGTAACATCCTATTCGAGATTGCATTCCAAATACATGTTATAAGTTTTTCAATATTTGGAAAAACTTCCTGGATTGAAGCAGGCTTTCATTTACATATATACTGTATATTCATTTTTATATATAAGTCATAAGTTATTTATGAATCACTGTCTAGAACAAAAGATTTCTTTTTATAGTATCACTATTGTGTTAAATTGGTCTTTACTAATTTTTTTAAAAAATATTTTTTATGTATTTATTAGAGAGAGAGTGCACACAAGCAGGGGAATGGAGAGGGACAAGTAGACTTCCCACTGAGTGTGGAGCCCAAGGCAGGGTTCAATCTCAAGACCCTGGGATCACCACCAGAGCCAAAATCAAGAGATGCTGCTCAACTGACTGAGCCACCCAGGCGCCCCAATTCCTAATTTTTAATAGAAATTCAGACGAGGAATTTGGAAAATTTTTTTCACTTTAGTAAATAGTAGATTTGAATTTATTTATTTATTTTTAAGATTTTTATTTATTTATTTGACAGGCAGAGATCACAAGTAGGCAGAGAGGCAGACAGAGAGAGGGGGGAAGCAGGCTCCCTGCTGAGCAGAGAGCCCGATGCGGGGCTTGATTCCAGGACCTTGAGATCATGACCTGAGCGGAAGGCAGAGGCTTTAACCCACTGAGCCACCCAGGCGCCCCTGTAGATTTGAATTTAAAATTCTGTTTATTAGAAGAATGCAAATGCAAAATTGGTTTGAAAATTGAGTGCTGCTAATGGAAATGTAGTTATTGCAACTTAAACTGATTTTATTAAATTATTTGAAGCGTCACTGACTAAAATTTTGTTTATTTAAATTTTCTAAATTTAAAAGATTTACTTGTGTAACAAATCAAATGCAGTGTAGTATATACCTTCTTGTTTTAATGGAATGCATATTATAAATACTGATATCTTTAAATTTTCATCTAGCAATATTATATGGAGGGAGAGATTAAGAATGAGTGAACTCACAATATAAACGATATTCAGGTTTGATAAAATTCTGAAAAATTTTATATAATTTCTTGTATTAACTATTCTTATTTAAAAATAACATACGTGGGGCACCTGGGTGGCTCAATGGGTTAAAGCCTCTGCTTTCAGCTCAGGTCATGATTCCAGGGTCCTGGGATTGAGCCCTGCATCAGGCTCTATGCTCGGCAGGGAGCCTGTTTCCCTTCCTCTCTAGCTGCCTGCCCCTCTGCCTACTCGTAATCTCTGTCTGTCAGATGAATAAATAAAATCTTTAAAAAAAAATAATAACAATAACATACGTGTCTGGCCAGTATTTAGAACTTCATGGCAGACTAGAAAAGATGATTAATTTCCTTACCTTTAGGGCAATGAATTTTGTGATTTTTAAAAAAATTATTATAATAAGGAAGCTTTTTTTTTTTTTTAAAGATTTTGTTTGAGAGAGAGAGCATTGTGGGAGGGACAGATGGAAAGTGAGAGGATCCCAAGCGGACTCCCTGCTGAGCATGGAGCCCAACATGGCACTTGATACCATGACCCCAAGATCATGACCCAAGCCAAAATCAAGAGTCAGATGCCCAACTGAGCCACCCAGGCACTCCTATAAGGAAGCTTTTAAAGAATTTCTTTTGCTAGTTCTCAGGACCTTTCTTTCTTAGTTACTGGTTTCCATAAATGTTATACTTTATATTGTATGTTCATGTTCCTTGTAATGAAGTCATCAGAGAGCTTTTGAAGTTCTTTTCAAAGGTTTTAAGTATTAATGAAAATAAAAACTTAGAATTTATCTAATTGCTCCCTGGTCAAAAAATCATTGGTTTATTTTCTTTTTAAAAAAAATTTTTTTAAAGATTTTTATTTATTCGTTTGTCAGAGAGAGAGTACAAGCAAGGGCAGCTGGTAGAGAGAGAAGCAGACTCCCCACTGAGAAGGGAGCCCCATGCAGGACTTGATCCCAGGACCCAGGGATCATGACCGGAGCCTAAAGTAGACTCTTAACCAACTGAGCTGCCCAGGCATCCCCAAAAATCATTGGTTTAATATGGAGAATAGGGGTGCCTGCCTGGCTCAGTCAGTGGCATGTGTGACTCTTGATTTCGGTGTTGTGGGTTCAAGCCCCACATTTGAGGTAAAGATTACTTAAAAATAAAAAGCTTTTAAGAAAATAAAATGGAGAACAAAGTAATTTCCATCTTGTCAATAAAAATATTTTACCATAGCTTATTTAGACTTTTAAACCAGTTTGACAAATTTTTTCATCATTGCACTGATTATAAAACTCTAATGGTCAAAGCATAGATGCCTTGGAGGAACAATGCAGTCGGAATATTATTTTGAAAAATTAACATATGAATTCTTTTGTGAATAGCATTTATTGGATAAATTATGCAAGGAGATAGAGAAGGATCTACGACTTTCTGTTCACACTCATTTAAAGCTGGATGACCGAAATCCTTTCAAAGTTGGCATGAAAGACCTGGCCCTTTTTTTCTCTTTGAATCCAATTCGATTTTTTAATCGTTTTATTGACATTCGAGGTGAGTGTTCTGCTTTCCTTCTTAAAGTCATGTTCTATATCTGTTTGCCCTTAACTATTAAAGAACAAATAAAAACAAAACTTTGAGAGTATTTTTATGTTATTCATTTATTCTTTAGTTCCTTTTTGTTTCTTCATTTTTATTTTCCTAGTACCTTATTTTAAAGGAAGAAATTTAATATTTAAAGACGTTTCCAAAAATTTTATTTCTCTTCTATTTTCATGAATCAAAAAGTTTTTTATTTATATATTTTTTGGTAGCTTACGTAACTCACTACCTAGACAAGACCTTCTACAATCTAACAACAGTAGCTCTTCATGACTGGGCCACTTACAGTGAAATGAGAAATTTAGCTACCCAGCGTTATGGATTGGTTATGACAGAGGCTCATCTTCCTAGTCAGACTTTGGAACAGGTATAGTATAAAGTGTTTTTAGCAGAGTGTGTTTGTAGCATAACAGTGTTTCTCTAAATCGTCTTTTTTTTTTTTTCTTTTTACTTTATTTAGCATGTGTTTATATCTCAAGAAAATATTTGCTATAAAAACTACATACTTGACAAGAATAAAAAATTAGATGGTGCTAATTTGCTTTATGAATAATTTACCACAGGCTTCCTGTTTACACTCTGCCTTTTGTTGAACATCTGAAAGCTGTATAGATTGAGATAGTGTTTCAGAAACATTGGATTGTGAGGTGACTTGTGCAGAATTGTACAAAGTTAAGATCACAGCTAAGGATTTTAAACGTAGGTATAACATATAAGCTTTAATGTCTTAGGAAAAAATGGTTAAATGTGTATAATTATAAATATATTCTTAAAATGACGAGTGCCTAGAAGCATTTAGCTTTGCTAATTCAGTGAGCTAATTTACAGTAAGGTAGTATCCATGAGTACAAAAGTTTATGTTTTTAGTTAATTTGCATATATTTTATCTAAGAAAACCCAGATATCATATTTATCAAAAAACAGTCATTCCCAAAATTTTAGGATCATAATTTTTCCTACATCCTACTGCATTTCCAGGATCAGTTTGTATATCCTTTCATTCATTTATACATTTAGTATTCACTGAAAAGATGCTAGGCACTGAACTATGTTTTGGGATATAGAAATAAAAAGAAACAATTTCAGCTCATGTACTTACAACCTAGTAGGAGAAAAAGTGAGTAAACAGAATTTTAGGTTGAAACATGAGAAAAACGATAATAAAAAGTTTAGTGGATATTGTGATGCTCCTTTGAGCCCTAGTTAGAAGAGCTGTGGGACAATTTATATGATGCCATTAGACATTATATTATTAACTGGAAAATGAAGGATTCTTCATAGGTAACTTGGATGTTAAAAGTGGTCTAGTGTAATTAAAAGAAGCATAAGGATTCGAAATTTGATTTTCTAAAAATTTCTGGGGTCTGCCTCTTCCTAGCCATTTGACTTTGGAGAACTCCTTTAGCTTCCTTTTTCTCAGTTGTGAAATTTATAAGACTAATACCTCATGTTTTTTGGAGACTTACATGTAAAAAACCTTGCACGGTGCCTGAAAAATAGTATGTATTTTATAAATATCACCACATATCCTGACTACTTTTTAGAATCTGGCCCTTATTTTATTTTGTAAAATGTACAGAAGATCTTTGGGAAGACAAACAAATATTCTCAAGAATGATGGTGAAATGATTGAGTAATGAATCTCTGAAATTCTGAACATAACTGTCGTCTTTCAAAAGGGGTAAGATTAACAAGCAGTCAGGTTTCTCCAAGGAGACAGTCCTGATTGTAGCAGTTAGAAGGCTCCTTAGCCTTTGGTCATACGTTTGTATAGTTGTTTTTAAAAGTAATTTAAAAATCTTGGTAGTAAGTCACTGCATTGATACAAGTCTGTCTTCAAGAATAATAGAACTGTGTGGGTTGTTTTGTAGGGCCTGGATGTTTTGGAAATTATGAGAAATATTCATATATTTGTGTCTCGGTACCTCTACAATCTCAACAATCAGGTGAGTAGGTTTTAGAATTCTTTTTAAATGTGGGTGGATGTATAGTAGGAAGGCTGAGTGGCAAAGAACTGATTCTCATTAGTGAAAACTAGTGAAATAAAGCAGAAAATAATTGTTTAGAGATCATCTTCTTATTCCTTTGCATTGATTACATTATCTTCTTGAATGACTTTCCAATTAAATTATCTCTAATGAAATAGATTGTAAAATTTTCTTTGTGTAACTGGCCAGTGTTTGCGATGGATTGTGTTGTTACTTAGCATAAGTTTGTTTCATTGCAGATTTTTATTGAACGAACAAGCAATAACAAACATTTGAACACTATTAATATTCGGCATATTGCTAATTCAATTCGAACACATGGCACAGGAATCATGAATACAACAGTAAGAAACTTTGTTGGGGGTTGGGTGGGTAATAGACTCCTATTTAATTTGGTGGTTTGGCAAATAGCTTTCTCATAGAATATTCTGGTAAACATACACTGCTGCCTATTTATATTCTACCTGAATTTCCATTCTTCTGGTTGGTGTAATTAAAATGTCTGGGGGCACCTGGCTGGCTTAGTTGGTGGAACATGCAACTCTTGATCTTGGTGTTGTGAGTTTGAGCTCCATGTTGGCTGTAGAGATTACTTAAAAATAAAATCTTAAAAAAATATCTGGCACTAAAATTGTGTTGGATGTGATGGAAGCTCAGTGGTACAAAAGGCATTTTTTAGTATCTTACCCTCTCAGGATCATCATTATAAATAGCATTGGAGATTTGAACACATTGACATAAATATATGTATCTTTGTGGATTGTCTGATATTCTTTGAAAGTTGCTTTTGCAAATGAATCATTGATAGCATTTTATTTAATATCAGTCATGCTCTTTTTTGGGGGGCTTACTAATTATTTAAAAGTAGAAATTTACTAAAAAGACTTTGAATCTTAGAAGTTGGCATCATCACTTGAGAGAATCTCTTGAATTTGTATGCTATTTTTTCTTCTGTGTACAAGAAAAGTCTTCGAATTTACCAAGTTTTCAGGGTACACTTAATTTCTCCTTGAAGAAGGCTATGAATGCTTAAATACTAAAATATTATTAAGCATGTTTGAAAGTAAGGGAATAGGGAGGAGTTATGTAACTGGAAATTACATAGGGGTCATTTTATTATTCTGTGGGGGAGCCATTAAAGTATTTGAGCTGATAGGAGATGTGATTGGAGTTCTGTTTTAGTGGTTACCAATATAGAAATGAGACGGAGTATATAATTTAAAATAAGAAGTCATCCAGGTAGAGGTCATGTCTGAACTTTTCCGGATAAGTAAACTTTTCTTTGACCTCATCTGTCAGATACTCATTCGTGTACTAGATATAATTATGTGTGTATTTTATCTGTCTGAGGCACTGTGCTGGGCACTAGGGTGAGAAAAACAGTTCCTGCTCTCATGGCAGTTACACTCTAGCATGGGGTATAGTCATTAATCGTTGGTCACACTAATGAATGTACGTTCCTGATGTCTGGTGATAACTAAGTGAGTATAAAGAGACAAGATCAGAGACTGTACCCATTATTAAGAGTGGGAAGGATAAAGAAGAGACTATTTCTACTAATATGAATAGTAATAAGGAGATCAAGAAAAAGCAGTGTTTGAGGATCATAGGGAAGGGAGGGAAAAATGAAACGAGATGAAATCAGAGAGGGAGACAAACGATAAGAGACTCTTTTTAAAAAATTTGTTTATTTGACAAAGTAGGAGAGAGAGACAGTGAGAGAGAGAACACAAGCGGTGGGGGGTGGGTGGGTGGGTGAGGGAGAAGCAGACACTCCCCACTGAGCAGGGAGCCAGGACCCTGGGATCATGACCTGAGCTGAAGGCAGGTGCTTAAAAGACTGAGCCACCCAGGCACCCTCTTAATCATAGGAAACAAACTGAGGGGTTGCTGAAAGAAAGGGAGGTGGTGGGGGAATGGGGTACCTGGGTGATGGACATTAAGGAGGGAATGTGATGTAATGAGCACTGGGTATTATATTAAGACTGATGAATCACTGAACTCCACCCCTGAAACTAATAATACACTATATATTAATTAATTGAACTTAAATAAAAAATAATAAATAAAAAGAAAGAGCAGTGTTTAAGCCACAAGAAAGGTTACAAGAAAGCACCTATTTCTAAAACTGGGTAAATGAAGACTATGGCATATATTTGCCAAAACAGTAGGCTGGAGGAGGGTGGAGGAGATGAAAATTAATACAGGACTTCCATCTCTAGGTCAGAAGTAATCCTATGTTATGGCTTTAATTTCAGCTGAAATTCAACCTTTTCAGGATTTTCTGAGTCTAGGTCAGGGCTTTTTATTATTCAATCTCAAAGTACTGGAACTTCTCATTGTATGAATTATGTAGTAGATACTTAATAATTTATTTAACATATACTTGCTTAAAATGTCTGTCACTCCTGCTAGTATATAGACTTCATGATGACAAGCACCATGTCTAGCATGAGAGCAGAGAGACGGTGCTGTGCACACAGAGGTGCTCAGAATATTCCTGGGTAAATAATTGAAAGTCTTCCTTCAGAAAAGTTCAAAGAGCACCGTGTTTCTTATCATTCTAGACATGTAGATTAGTAATAAGTAGTCTTGCAGATGGAGGAACAGAAACTTCTGATTGTGGTTGATGACTTAAAAACCAAAGTGTTGAATCTGAGTTTTTGATTCTTACTATAACTCTTATTTCTGGTAGGAAAATATTTTCCTTTTTTTCCCCCTTTTGTGTAGTTAAAATATTTAAGGGGAGCTTATAGAAAGTTTTGTAAACTTGGGCAATAAAAAAACTTTATTTTTTATTTCCAGTGTGAATTAGACTTTGTAAATATTAGACTATGAAAACTCATATAGTGTTATAGATAACAGTTATTCAGTCACATTGATTTGAGATTAATTTTTATATTAACTTTGCCCAATTTCTTGTATTTCAATTTTATAGGTTAATTTCACCTACCAATTTTTGAAAAAGAAGTTCTATATATTCAGCCAATTTATGTATGATGAACATATCAAATCTCGGTTGATTAAAGATATTCGGTTTTTCAGGGAAATCAAGGACCAAAATGATCACAAGGTATTTTCACATATTCTTTTTAAGGTAGTTTGATTCAACCATTGAGTATATAGCGGATGTTTATGCTGAAGTTCATTATGATACTCTGTAGTGGGGTTTTCATTTTTTTCAATTATTTTTTCACAATAATGTCTCCGAGATATGGTCTCCCCAGTTTCTTGTATTACCCCTTATAATTTCTTACTTTTTGCATTCTCTGTAGGCTACAGTGTAAGGATCAGTGTAACCAGGTGTTACTTTATTTTAAATAACGCAGAAGCAAAACATACTTTGAAACATTTAAACAACATAGAGTGCATAAACTGATCTCCCTCATTTCTCTTTCTCCCACTTTCATTCTCTGGAGGCAGTTACTGTTAATATTGTGATGTGATGCTTCTAGATGTCTGTGTGATAAACATAGCTATTTGCCCCTACATGTACTACTTTTTTTCCTAAAAAAATGGTGTAATACTACACAGATTATTTTGCAATATGCTTATCATAGTTCTTTACATATAGATCTGTCTCATTCTTTTTAACAGTTGATAGTAAAGATGTATACCATAACTTACTTAATCTTCCCCAACTGACAAATATTTAGGTTTTTCTTATTTTTTAGTGTTATTAACAGTGCTGCAGGTAACATCCTTACATATTTATCTCAGTGTATTTGGAGACTATTAAAATTCTGAAAGGTAAATTGATGGAAGAGAAATTTCTAGGGCATATAATATGAATATTTAAAATTCTGATACATGTTGCTACATACTCTAAAAACACTGTACCAGTTGATATTCCCATCTATAATTTATAAGAATGCTGTTTCCCCTTTATCCTCTGGGCTGAGTTTTCTAATAATGAAGAAAAATCTGAGTGGTACTAGTATAGATGCATGTAGCCATGCAGATAGAGAACCAACATGCTTATTAGATGAGTTTTATATTTGATTTGCCACATATGGAACTATTTTAATTACTCTTAAGCATTATCTAATTGCAACCTTCTAGTAAACTAGTTAGTAGTTCTCATCAGTGTCAAAGCAGTGAAATATTACTTTCTAGTAAAATAACTAATAAAATTACAGATTACAGTTATCAGTGGAGAATTTAATTGTCTCCTTTTTATTGGAATAAATTCCTAGTATTCAGAGAAATTATCATTCTGTTTGTAAGAATTGTGTCCATTTGTTATTAGTATAAAATGAGTAATTTCCTAACTTTTAATCAGCTAAGACTTGAAAAATCTTTTTTTTTATTGGTGATGGCAACTAGCTATTTTAGCTTAGCTAATGTGTATTATTTGGGAAGGAGTGTATTTATATATATATTACCTCTTCAGCCCACAGGAACTTGGTTGGACATCTCTGAAGAAATGTTTCTAAGGGGAATTGGTTTCTTTTGACTAATAGAGTAGTTGGATGTTGGGAGACTAATAATGGTGGTGGAAAACTTAAATTTGGTGACTTTAGTAATAATTATTTTCCTTAGCTAGTGGCAAAAAGAAGTTTAATTTATATTGACCTTGGATATTGGTAGTTTTTATGCTATAAATCTTTTGTCATTAGATTTGAGTGATTTTTTTTTAAAGCACAGTGGAAATAAAAAATTAGAAGCAAGTGGTATTAGCATGGTTGATTTTAGTGGTTGAATTTATAGGTAATTTATGCTTTAGGGGTCTTTATTAATAAAGGTAATCTTTAAATTATCTCTTTAGTATCCTTTTGAAAGAGCAGAAAAATTCAATCGAGGCATCAGAAAACTTGGAATTACCCCAGAGGGACAAAGCTACCTTGATCAGTTCAGGCAACTCATCAGCCAGATTGGTAAGTTATTATAAAAGAGTTGGGAAATAAAATACAAATTCCAAGAATTTTTTTGCTTAAATATCTCATACAAATAATCAACTTAATATATGAGTGCCTGAGATCAATTTTATCCCACTAGAGTGATGTTCTTACCAGAAGTTTTTCAAGTATGATTAGACTGTTGGTACAGAAATAATTGATAGACTGTGGACTAATATATGTTGAATAAAATCTCTTCAATTAAATTAAAAATATATTTAACTTATCTCAAATATCATGCTCATAATAGTCAGCCGGTAACTGTTTATTAGGTACTTAACCTTGTTCATTGGCACTGCTTTGGGCTTTAAAAACTTGTTCCCTGGGTGCCTTGGTGGCTCAGTTGGTTAAGCAGCTGCCTTCAGCTCAGGTCATGATCCTAGTGTCCTGGGATCAAGTCCTGCATTGGGTCTCCTTGCTTAGTGGGGGGCCTGCTTCTCCCTCTCCTTCTGCCTGCTCCCCCTGCTTGTGCTCTCTCTCTCTCTATCTCTGTCAAATAAATAACTAAAATCTTAAAAAAAAAAAAAAAAAAAGAAAAGAAAAATTGGTTCCCTGAAGTTATAGCCTAAGTGCAAAGGTATAAAATAATTTATATAGAAAGTTAATTAATATAAGTAAGTCACATTACTTATGGATCAGTTTAATTAAAGATGAAATATTAAATATTATAATTTTCTGTGTTACATCCTTTCATATGTGTATATAATTTGAGCTGTCCTGCCTCACAGGTAGAACGTGTCTTTCTGAAATGTGTTACATTATATTTAAAAGCAGGAACTACATTTAGTAATCAGAGATTAACAAAACTATACTTATTTGAGCTTTCCACACACATTATCTCTGGTAATGTCCTCACAAAAACCCTAAGTGAGAGGCATGTAATCATCATTTTAAAGATGAAAAAAGAGAAGCTCAGAGAAATAGTGTTGCTTGGACTTAAGCCGGGTTTTTTTTTAGCTTAAATCCAAAGGTGTTTAATATTCTTCACAGTTACAGATTTCAAGCAGTTGGTGAATTCTTATTGACAACAGTTTGGTAAAATCGTGCTCTTATAGATGCCGAAAATAGAGATAGCCTTCGTTCTCACAGGGCTTTAAATTTACTGGTGGGGAAGATACTGGAAAGATTTAGTTCTGGAGTGAAATCACTGAAAACTAGCTTAAATTTTATAATTTAATTGGTTTACATAGTAGACATTTCTATTATATATTAGTACAAGAACTTAGAGAATTTAACATTTGTAGTTTTTTAAATTTTAAACAATTTAATAATGAGGTATTATTCCACAAGTACAGTTTTCTTCATAGAGACATTTGATGTCATATTAGATTGTAAACTTCTGGAGCAATAGATCTTAATGCTTTTTGAGAATCTGATGAAAACTCTGATTTGGTTTCCTCCAGAACCATGTACTATGCATACAGTTTTGCATGTTATTATACCAGAGTTCAGGTGCTTAAAGTTAGAGTCCATGGGCCTCAGATGAAGAGCTGTTTTTCTAAAGCATTGTTGCTTAAAACTTCATTTACTTGCATACCAATGTCAGAGGTTTTTTCCCACATGTGAGTACTGCTTGCATTATTATTTAGTTAATATTTTTATATTTTTTAAGGTATAATTTTTTCTTATGAAATAGTCCTTAAATTATGAGCTTACTATGCTAGTCATTTTCCCACAGTACACATCAAAATAATTCCCCCCAACTCACAAAAAATAGTGTCACCTCAGTTGCCACCAGGATGCATTCAACGTATCGTGAATATTATCCTTTTCAGTTTGTTCTGGGGTTTCGTGAATATTATCCTTTTCACTTTGTTCCAGGGTTTTATTCTTTATTCTCTTCTTAGAAAATATAAATTCTTCTTCTTAGAAATTCTTCTCTTCTTAGAAAATATAAATTCTTGTAATATAATATATAATTATATAAGTATAGTATAAATAGAAATAGAAATGCTTGTAAAGCATAGTGATGTGTTTTTGAGTCTGTTATATATCTTGAGTCTGTTAAATATCTTGAGAAAAAGAGTAAGAAATCTCAGAGTTGGGAGCAAAAGGAAAAGTCACTTAGTCTAATAACCTGCCTGCTGACATAATCACCCCACCACTAACATTTATTGAGCACTTACTGTGTGCCAAAGTGTTCTGAGTGCTCTCACAATGCTATTGGCATTCTACACATTCATTCTACAGGTATTTATTGAGGACAACAAATGTTTCTAGGTACTTGTGATATATATGGCACTGAACAAAATTTCTGCCCTATAGAACTTAAACAGATGAGATTTATGATTTTCTTAATAACATTTTCTTTTCTCTGGTTTTATTATAAAAACACAGTATATAATACACCTAACATACAAAAAAATGTGTTAATTGACTATGTCACTAATTAAAGCTTTTGGTTAATTGTAGGCTATTAGTAGTTAAATTTAGGGGAGTCAGAAGTTAAATGCAGATTTTCAACTATGCAGGGATGGGGGTTTGGCGCCCCTAACTCCCATGTTGTCCAAGGGTCAACTGTACTAGTGAATTCCTACCATGTGCCAGGATATGTTGGCTCTAGGGATGGAGCAGTAAGAACAGAAGCTGTGTCATGGATTTTGCATGCCAGTTGGGAGAGACAAAAAAAGATACAGAATGTGTCAGTGTTAAGTGCTGGGTAAGGAGATGTAATGGTTCTGCACAGTGCTGTTCAGTGATGTTCAGGGAAAGCTCTAAGGAGGTGATATTTGAGCAGGGACCTAAATAACATCAGGGAATAAGCCATGTGCATATTCAGGGAAGGAAAGAGCGTATCTGAGAGAGGTGACAGTAAGTGCCAAAGTCCTGAGTCTGTTTAGCATTTTTGGGAAATAAGGGCCAGAATGGAAGGGTTAGTAAAGTCCTGAGTTGTAGGGCAGGACATCAGAACAGCAGCAAGGGGCAAGATCACACAGGGCTTTGTTGACCACATAAGAAATTTGAATTTTATAGAGATGGAAAGCCATTGTAGAGTTTTCAGAAAAGAAAGGATATGTTCCAGCTTAGTTTGAAAAGAACCACCAGCACTGCTGCTATGTAGATAAGAGATTAGGAAGCAGGATGCTAAAGGTAGAAGGAGGGAAGTCAGGGAGTCTTTGCATATTACAGAGGTGTAAGCAAGAGATATGGTGCTTTGGAATAAGGTCATAGCTATGAACGTTCTGAAAGTGGACCTATTATAATTTGCCCATTGATTAGATGTGAAGTATGAAAGAAAGAAAGGAGTCAGGAATGACTTCAGGACATTTTGCCTGAGCAGTTGAAAGGATGGAAATGTCAGTTTCTGAGATAGGGAATATAACAGGGTGATTTTGATTTAAACATATTAAATTAAAAATTCTTCTTAGTCATGTGGGCATAGGCATTGGATCAAAAAACCTGGAGGAGTAGTCCAAGCTTGGAGATGTAATTTGGAAGCATCAAGTAAAGATTTCTTGATATCATTTCCCTTTGCATGTATGGGGGTGGCAAGGGAGGAAAGGGAGAGGGAGGCACTCAATGTGATGAGGAAGAAATTATTGACATAGAAATTTCAAATTATTTGGCTTTTTTTAAAAAAGATTTTATTTATTTATTTATTTGACAGATCACTAGTAGGCAGAGAGGCAGGCAGAGAGAGAAGGAGAAGCGGCTCCCTGCTGAGCAGAGAGAGCCCAATGTGGTGCTCGATCCCAGGATCCCGAGATCATGACCCGAGCCGAAGGCAGAGGCCTAACCCACCAAGCCACCCAGGCGCCCCATTTGTTTTTTTAAAAAGTAGTCAACATTTAATGAATTTGTTCATCAAATGTCATTCACATATAATTTTTGACATAGCTGTGTTTAAGTATATGTATTTATATTTTAGGCACACAAATAATGTTAAGTTTTACTTTTATAGAGTAAGAACTAAAGTAAAACAGACAAGAATCCTTTGGTACTTAAGAGTGGTAAAGCCATGCTGTGAATGACTGTATTCCTGACTTTTGGAGTTTAGAATTATTTGTATAAATATCTGATTTGTATGTGTGTGTCATTTTTAAGGTAATGCTATGGGCTATATACGGATGATAAGATCTGGCGGCCTTCACTGTAGCAGCAATGCCATTAGGTATGGATGCAAACATCACTTTTGCCTTGCTTATGCCATATAAAAATTTTATGTCCTTTAATTTATCTTTATTGTGGATGATATTGTGAAGAAGTTTTTCTTATTGATATATTTTGATTTAAAATATGGGAGAAAACCATTAATTCTACTGGTTAAATTTTTTTCTTGAATTTTAAGACTATAGCAGATCTTGGAAAATCTTTATTTCTCTTAAAGTTATGGTTAACTTATCAGTACAGTTTCTGAATGGTTCTAAAGATTACATGACTTTAAGGATTAAAATTTGGTTATTCATATCTGAAAGTCAATTTTGGAATTAAATTGGTTATATTAATAATATAACTAAAACGGAAAGTTCTTTCCAAATATATGGTTGAAAAATTTAGAGTCTTACAATACCACTTTCATATCTATGTCAGTTGTACATATTTAACTTAATAAAATTATTTCCCAAATTCTTAGATTTGTGCCTGATCTCGAAGATATTGTAAATTTTGAAGAATTAGTGAAAGAAGAAGGTCTTGCAGAAGAAACATTAAAAGCAGCAAGGTACTCTAATTTTGAAATAATCTAAATTTGGAGATTTAAAAAGTATATATATATATATATATATATATGTATATATATATATATATTTTTTTTTTTAAGATTTTATTTATTTATTTGACAGAGATCACAAGCAGCAGAGAGGCAGGTGGGGTGGGGGAAAGCAGGCTCCCCGCTGAGCAGAGAGCCCGGATGCAGGGCTTGATCCCAGGACCCTGAGATCATGACCCAAGCTGAAGGCAGAGGCTTAACCCACTGAACCACTCAGGTGTCCCTAAAAAGTATATTTTTATAATAAAAACATTTTAAAGGGAAGATTAGACGGTAATATACATATGCTTATATTTTTGTGTTTTTATTATACAAGTTATGGTCTCAGTTTATGAGATACAATTTTTTTAAGACTACAGTATTATGAGATTTTTCCAACTTCATTAAAAAGGAATCTTCTAGAACATGGTAATATGGTAGCCTCTAGCCACTGTGGCTATTGAGCACCTGAAATGTGACTAGTCCAAATTGAACTGTCTTGAAGTATAAAGTATATAACTAATTTTGAGGATTTAGTGTTAAAAAAAAAAAAAGGCAAATATCTCATTAATAAAATTTATTTCACTGTTTAACTTTTTTTATATGTGTTTGCCCGCACAGTTCTAGAATACCAGTCCTTCATTTCATGTAATCCTGAGTAGTGTTGTCCAGTACAGTAGCCACTACCACATATAGCTGTTGAACACTTGAAATGGGGCTAATGGGATGAGGGAACTGAATTTAAAATTTTATTTCATTTAAATTTAAATAACTGATGGCTATCTTATTGGACAGTGCAGACCTACACACTTGAGTAGTGAGTTTGGAACTCAATTTAAAAGTTGAGAGAGGCATGTAGAATTGTTAAGAAATTATTTAGAAAACTGTAAATTTCATTATTAATAATTGTAACAGTTTTTTGACTCAGGCAGGAAAGGGCACCCCTGGACAAAGTGGAGACAGTTTGAATCTCAAAAAGAATAATGGCAGGGGTGTCTGGGTGACTTAGTTGAATGTCCAACTCTTGACTCAAGTTATGATCTCAGGGTTGTGGGATCGAGCCCCTTGTCAGGCTCTGAGCTCAGTGGAGAGTCTGTGTAAGATTCTCTCTCTTCCTCTGCTGCTCCCCGACTTGTGCACTTGCATGCTGTCTCTCAAAAAATAAGCTAATAAAAAAATAATGATAGAAATTGATTATAATACATTGTATAAAAAAATCATGAGCCCTAGTGGTAGTAAGAAAGGTGAAGAGCAGAACTTTTTGTAAAAAAGTTCGTTTTTTTACAGAAGAATGCCAGCTAATAGGTGCAGAGGGGATGAGAAAATCTAGGGAGAAGTCATTGTTTTGCAACCACCACTATAATGCTTGAAACCAGATAAAAATCATCAATGAAACAGTGTTGGAGAACAGAGTATTCATTCACTATCAGAAGATTATCCCACAAATTGCTTAATAACCATCCACAAAAGGGAAAACTATCTTTAGAGAGATTGATGTATTGCGCCAAGCGATCAAACATGGCATCACCAGTTAACAAGACACACTGATATTATGGAGTCTCCTGATGAGTGTAATAGCAAGCACCTATGTTGTGTTCTTGCCAGAAAGGTTTACTCTGAATTTATTATGAGGAGACCATCTGAGACATTCAGAGTGTGGGGTATTCTATGAAACACCTGGCCTAGACTCTTAAAAAATATCACATGTCGTAAAGGACAAAAAAAGCCAAGAGACTCTTCTAGATTAAGAAACTAAAGAGACCAGATGACCAAATGCAGTGGCTAATCCTTAGTCATATCTTAGATAGGAAAAAAAAAAAAGAACATTTGGGGGATAATTGGGGAAATTGCAGTTTGTGTACATTAGGTAATACTGTATTTTACTTTGGGATGTAATGATACATTGTGGCTTTGTAAGAAAATGTCTTGGTTTTTAACAGATTCATATTAAGACATTTGTGGGCTTAATGACATGAAATCTGCCAACCTGAAATGTTTGGGGCAAAAGAAAATGTGGCAGATGTTAAATTGTGAATCTAGGTGAGGGGTAAATAGGTGTCTAGTACACTATATTTTAACTTTTCAGTAGGCCTAAAACTTTTTTAAATGAAAAGAAATGGAAAATGTGTGTCCATATTTATGAGAATAAGACCCCAACACAAGATTTGGTTTGAAATAGTCTATTAGATAGCTTAGTTTTTTACCAAATTAAATAAGTCATGTACAGTTAATAATATATTTAAAGTTCTGTGCCCTGAAATTATTAGTTTGTGGCTTGTATGTCAAAGAAGAAAATCAGACTTTTCTCTTATTAAATGATGTCATTCATTTAAAAGTCGATGACCTTTTAAAAATATTTTTGAAGCAGTTGCAAGAGGTCAGAGAGGTGGGATATTGTCTTAAGATCTCTAGGGTACTTACACTGTTGGGAATGCAAGTTGGTACAGCCACTTTGGAAAACAATGTGGAGATTCCTTAAGAAATTAAAAATAGAGCTTCCCTATGACCCTGCAATTGCACTACTGGGTATTTACCCCAAAGATACTGATGTAGTGAAAAGAAGGGCCATCTGTACCCCAATGTTCATAGCAGCAATGGCCACAGTCGCCAAACTGGAAAGAGCCAAGATGCCCTTCAATAGATGAATGGATAAAGAAGATATAGTCCATATACATAATGGAGTATTATGCCTCCATCAGAAAGGATGAATACCCAACTTTTGTGTCAACATGGAGGGGACCGGAGGAGATTATGCTGAGTGAAATAAGTCAAGCAGAGAAAGTCAAGTATCATATGGTTTCACTTACTTGTGGAGCATAAGGAATAACACTGAGGGCATGGGGAGATGGAGAGGAGAAGTGAGTTGGGGGAAATCAAAGAGGGAGACAAAGCATGAGAGACTGTGGACTCTGAGAAACTGAAGGTTTTGGAGGGAAGGGGTTAGGGGTATGGGTGAGCCTGGCGGGTATTAAGGAGGCCACGTATTGCATGGAGCACTGGGTATGGTATATAAACAATGAATTCTGGAACACTGAAAAGAAATTTAAATATATAAATTAATATTACTGAATTCTCATTAAAAAAAAAAAAAAAGATGTGTAGGGTAAAGCTGTCTGGTAATAGCAAGGTCCAGATCCGTACAAAGGAGTGGAAGACTGACATCATGTGAAGGAGAGTGCATGGCAGGTGAAGTCAAGAAGTTGTGGGATTATGATCATGAGTCGATTATCTAAATGGGCAATGAAGCCTTCCAGAATAATGGAGAACAAAAATACTTATCGTAGTCTAAGATAAAGAAAGGGAAGTGGTTTAAATTTTTTTTTTTTAAATTTATTTATTTGACAGACAGAGATCACAAGCAGGCAGAGAAGCAGACAGAGAGAGAGGAGGAAGCAGGCTCCCCACTGAGCAGAGAGCCCGATATGGGGCTCGATTCCAGGACCCTGGGATCATGACCTGAGCCGAAGGCAGAGGCTTTAACCCACTGAGCCACCCAGGTGCCCCAGGGAAGTGGTTTAAAAGGTTAATTAGTAGATGCCTGCTTTCAGGAAGGAGTAGTTAGGTAGTTGGATATAATGGGATCGTTTGAGTCTCAAAGGAGAGATTCCTACCTTTTGGTGGTGGGGGAATAATTTGAAAGTGGTGGTAGGTATAAATGATGGATGAAGGAGAAAAAGCAGCTAATCATTCTGAACGTTAAGTGGGAAGCTAAGTTCTTAAAAAGGGGCCAGGTTCCAGTTGAGGTAGGGAGGTACAGATGAAGCGTTAGTGAAGACAGTTAAAATGAAGAGGAATTTATTTACAATGAAATGGAATTCTATAGGACTTAACTGTGGGAAGAAGAGATACAAAACTATTTAAGTTCTAAGATGCCCTATGTATTTTATTTTGGGGACTAAGTTAATAAGCAATAGCAATCAGCTTTTTTTATATGAAAATGAATTCATTCTGAACTCCAAGGAAACTGACTTAAAAATGTCTTTTATAATGTTTTATACTTTTGAGCATTCTCATCTAAGATGGTAAGAGATGGATTTAAAAAGCCTTACCTTTTCGGGACACCTGGGTGGCGCAGTTGGTTAAATGTCTGATTCTTTTTTTTTTTTTAAGATTTATTTATTTGAGAGAGAGAGAAAGAGTGCACATGCTTGTGTGTGTGGGGGGGAAGAGCAGTGGGAGAGGAAGAGAATCTCAAGCAGACTCCCTGCTGAGCATGGGGCCTGAGGTGTGGAGCTGGATCTCACAGCCCTGAGATACCATGACCTGAGCTGAAATCAAGAATTGGGAGACTTGAGGCATCTGGGTGGTTCAGTTGGTCTGACTCTTGATTTCGGCTCAAGTCTTGATCTCAGGGTTATGAGATTGCATCCCACATGTCAAGCTCTGTGCTGGGTGTGGAGCCTGCTTGAGATTCTCTCGTCCCTCTGTCCCACCTCCCCACCCTCGCGCATTTGTATACGTGCTCTCTCTGTGTCTCTCGCCAGATAGATGGATAGATAGCCAGCCAGCCAGCCATATCTGCTTTTTGAGAAAGGAACCAGTAAATAATGTTTTTTGTATTTTAGGCATTTGGATTCAGTCCTCAGTGATCACACACGAAATTCTGCTGAAGGCACGGAGTATTTCAAAATGCTTGTAGATGTTTTTGCTCCAGAATTTCGAAGGCCAAAGAATATACATCTTCGAAATTTCTACATCATTGTTCCCCCTCTGGTGAGTATTTTTAGTGATTTTTTTTTTTTTTTTTAAGTTAGAAAATAGATCCAGTTTCTTTATAGCAGGAAATGCATATAGACTTTGTTACTTAAATGTGATCTCAGTGAATGCGGCCTAGGAATTTTACTTAACAAGCTATGCAGAATGAAACTTATTTTACAGTTGAGATGGACTTTTGTTGGTAACTGCTGGAAAAATTTAGTGTTATTTAAATTGAGTGTACTCCAGTTTACATATATATACACACACACACACACACACACACACACACACACACAGACACACACACACACACATACATATATACACACACACACACACCGTAATATCTTTGGGCTAATTATACTATGTAATCATTTTAAGTGATGAACGCAGACTAATTTCTAATTGTTAAAATATGTAGTTATTTCTCACACATCTCTTAAAAGTATTACTGTTTAAGGACAAGTTCTTTCTATACAGTAGTAAATACTAACATTTAGATGAAATTTTAAGTGCTGCTTCATAGTATAATAGTGTGCACTGCTCTAATTCTATATAGTTGCCGTCTAAGTACAGCTCAGGTTACTCCAAATCACGTTGTAGAGTTGTTGCAATGGGGAAAATGGAGTCAGGAGATTAGAGCGGCATACTAGCAGTAAGAGTAATGTTTCCCTAAAGATTTCTATAATGAAACTGTTTTTTAAAAAATTTGTAAATGGGTAGCTCTAAAATCTAAATATCACTAGGCAAATGTAGCTTTTGATTACATCTACTTTGATCAAGAGTAATAAATTTTCATATTGCTGCCTGACTTGTTAACATAGTTTCTTACATATTACTATCAGTTTTGTCCTTTGAAAGCAGTCGATGATCTGTGGACAGCTTTTTTCTTTGTAAATGTTCTTTTCTACTGTTTTTTAATATGTTTATTGTTAATGCTCTAGCATAATTGTTAATGCTTTATCATAATTATATGTTGTAACTGTGATGTAGCAAATATTATCTTTTCATCCTAAAATAGTGTCAAACTGGAGGCAACTCTGTCTTGGTTATACTTTTATAACAGTGTATTTAACTTAGGGTGACTTGTCATTGTATTTCCTTAAGCTGAAGGACAGTGTACTGAAACAATAGTAAACAGCAAATGGGGCATTAATGGAAGAGCGGAGTGTTGCAGGACAGCTGTCCGAGTTCCATCAGTGATGGGTGGGTGGACAGCACTACAGGGAAGTACAGGACACAGTTCTTGTGCTTGAGTTTGTCATCTGATTCCAGAAAAAAGACAAACATAAGTGAGCTATCCCAAAAAAAGATTTAAGTAATAGTTGGTAGAGATTTCACAAATCTAATTAATTTCCCAGTGAGTTTTTCAGGCAAAAAAACTGAGACTTGATATTATGTTTCCAGCATAGGCTATTATAGTATCTTTCACAGTGTATCACAATTATTCCTAAACATGTCTCTCTTTACCCTTCTAGAGCTGTGCTATCCATATATAGCCATAAGTGGCTACTTAAATTAATTCAAATTTTATAAAATAAAAAAAATCTAGTTCCCCTGTTTTGCTAGCCATATTTCAAGCACTCAGTGACCATATATGGCTAGTGGCTTAGTGTGTTGGACAATACAGATACACAGTATTTCTGTCATTGATGAGAAAGCTGCTCTAGAGTATGGACTCTTTGATGGTATGCCATTTCCATTTTTTTAAATCATAATTACTTAATTTAGCCTGGAATATAGTAATCTTTAGTAAATCTTTGTTGAATAGATGATAAGGTATTTTGTAGGAGTTGAATTTTTAGGGAAGCATTTTTTGGGGGAATTCATTTATCCAAATGACTACTAATTCTTTTTAACCATAAAGAATATGATAAATAGTATTTTAGAATGAAGTGGCTCCAGCTTTCACTTAAAGTATGACTTTGGACAAATTACTCAGCCTCTTAAACCTCAGTGTCCTCATATATGAGACACCGTGCTTGGGGTACCTGGTGATTGGTGATTAGGGGAGTGCTTGTTAAAGGACTCAAACAAGAGCCATTAAAAGATACTGGTACAGATTGTGATCTCCCGGGAGTCTATTTATATGAGGAAGATGTCTAAAGTCAAAAGGACAGGGACCTAGAAAAGATCCTGTTTATAATTTTTGAAATGTCTGTTTTAAGAACTAAATTCTGAAGATACTTCAGCACAGTTGTTTCTCTAATATATCTTTTCAGACCCTCAACTTTGTAGAGCATTCCATTAGCTGCAAGGAGAAATTGAATAAAAAAAATAAAATTGGAGCTGCTTTTACTGATGATGGCTTTGCCATGGGTAAGCTTAATGGAATTGTTTTTCCATTAATTTTGTGTTCACCTATTATAATGGATTTTTAGAAACATTTGCTTAATAAGACTGTGTGCCCTTTGTAGATTTGTTTTTCCTGAGCAGTGTTTACTCTTTATTTTTTAACTGGGTCATCTGATTAGTAGTACCTGTTTTCCATTATTTTATAACTATCATTCCTTCCCCCTTGGTATTGCTAATCACTTAGTCTGTTAGACCTAATATTTAGACTGTGTCGTTGTGTTGGTTTTAAGAGTTTTCTCATCTTGTGTTGAGTTTCCCTGTAGCTTCCTCAGCTGCTGGCTATTTAGCAATGGAAGTCTTTCCCCAACCTTCCATCCATGTTCTCTCTAAGTGATCTTCATAGCCTGTTTTGTTTTGTTTTTTTCCTTGATTGGCTTATTTTTAGTTCTTTATACTTTTGTATCTTTTTTTTCTTTAAAGGAGTAGAATACAACTTTTGAACTCTTTATAATTTAGCTTTGGTTTTGCTAATCACTTAGGTGTGGCTTACATATTGAAGCTTTTGGATCAGTACCAGGAATTTGACTCACTTCACTGGTTCCAGTCTGTTAGAGAGAAGTACCTGAAGGAGATAAGAGCAGTTGCTAAGCAACAGAATGTGCAGTCAGCTAGTCAAGATGAAAAACTACTACAGACCATGAATCTCACTCAGAAGCGCCTGGATGTCTGTCTACAGGTAGAGGAGAGTAATAGTCAAATCTGCTTGATATCTGAAAAAACAAATCCTAAACCCCCTTTTAAACAAGTGAGATGAATAGTGGTAATTATATTTTTTAAAAAATGGCATTTGGAAGCCATTTGATTCCATATTAAAAATGGATGGGATTACTTCATTGAGTTTCTTTTTCTTTCTTTTTTTAATATTTTATTTGAGAGAAAGAGAGCAGGAGCCAGGGGGAGGGAGGGAGAAACAGACTCCCTGCTGAGCAGGGAGCCTGACCTGGGGGTCTGTGCCAGACCCAGAGACCATGACCTGAGTCGAATGAGCCGCTTAACCAACTGAGCCACCCAGGCGCCCCAGCTCAGTTTCTGTATTTATGATTTACACTAAAGCTCTTTAGAAGTTATATAGGTCTCTAATAATTTTAATATCTTGCTATAATGTTTTTAGCTTTTATTTTACTTTTTTTTAATTTATTTAGGAATTTGAATTGCTCTATTTTTCACTGAGCAGTGCAAGAATTTTCTTCAGAGCAGACAAGACTGCAGCTGAAGAAAACCAAGAAAAGAAAGAGAAAGGTCAGTGAGTGGCTTAAATTTGGAAAGGCAGTAAATCTTTCTTTAATAATAGCCACAAATGTGGTAGTCAGAATCCCAGCTTCCTTTTCTTTTTGGAAAATAAGAAATACCTTAAAAAAAAAAAAAAAAAGTACAGCCTACATGGATAATTTGTGAAACCAACAAGAAATTTACATTGTTTTTACATTTCATTCTGGGGTAACTTTTTATTCATTTTCATCTTTTCTTAATTTAAATAAAATTTAGCAAGTTTAGATTTTCTTTCACCCTTCAACTTGTGTCTGACAAGAAGGAACCGATTAGGAGGAACACTTAAGTGTTTTCTGAAGGCAGAGCTGTTGATAACTAGACACAGACTGAATGAGATGGGACAGGTGACTGAGGAGGTAGTAAAGCACTTGGGGCTCTGTGTGGTTTCGTGGTTCAAGGCCTCCCGCCCTCCACCATAGCCAGAATCAGAGCGCAGTGTAGTCCTGATAACTGATTGTCATATCCATGAACTGGGTCGTTACAGAAAGGATTCTACCCATTGTATTCTTTGTAGGATGATGTAAATTGCTTATTTCATACTTAAGGACTCACATGATACATTTCTCTCAGATAAAAAATTTAGGAACAGTTGTCTTCCCTGAAGAATGGATATTTCTTCTTTTCTGTTCCAGAAATTATTTAACTTAGGTTTTCCTCTTTACTCGGAAGCTCAAAATTAGGTACAGCAACTGAGTTGAGTTTTCATGTTTGCCCTTTTTCCTGTTCTCTTGTATTTCATAAATCAAGGCGTAAAACTTAATATTTCATAAAATGTTTTATTAATCTTATTTTGTTAAATTTTAAAATATGTATATATTTTACACTAAATAGAGGTGATTCTCTTGGGTAGACCATTTATATCATTTAACGTATTCCCTGATAATGTTGCATAAATTAAATATTATGTTAATAATTAGGATATGCAAGCATTTTTGGAGTCTAGACTAAGTAATAATCATGTGCTTGAAAGTGATTTCATGCTGGTACCTGGAAGATGTTCAGTATTTCTTACATGAAAAAAAATATATATATATATTCTGTTTAGGTCATTTTCTAAAGCTAAGGTAAATTGGAAGAATTTGAGTGAGCTTGATTTAAATTTTGAGGAAAGTCAGTTATTGCTTAGGTTCTGCTTAGGTGTTTTCCTGCCAGAAGCTTATCTCCAGCTGAGCTTACTGGGAAGACTCTGCAGGTGGCTTAGATCTTTACTTTCAGGCCTCAGGCATTAAGACAAACCTTTCCGTCTCAGTGGAACTCCTTGCTTTGGACTATTTTTAATGAACTCTGTGATCCTGGTTGATGCATTTCACCCGTATGTTTGGGTTCTTCTGTTTTAGGACTCTATCTTAGCTAAAGTTGCTCAGATGTGTACTCAGAGTTGCAGGAGACATGAGATAGTTTTCCTCTGTTAATGAAGTATATGCATGTGACATTATGCACAAAAAAACCCAGGAGTTCATTTTATATAATTATTGTAAAAACCTGCTTTAAAAAATAAGCTATAAACCCAAATGGAAAGTTATTTATTCTGGACAATTTTTTTTTATTATTTACTTATTTGACAGACAGATATCACAAGTAGGCAGAGAGGCAGGCAGAGAGAGAGAGAGGAGGAGGAAGTAGGCTCCCCGCTGAGCAGAGAGCCCAATGCAGGGCCTGATCCCAGGACCCTGGGATCATGACCTGAGCCAAAGGCAGAGGCTTTACACTGAGCCACCCAGGCGCCCCTATTCTGGACAATTTTATATGTGAATTTGCAGCAGTGTTTCTATCAGTAACAGCAGTGCACTGTAACAGTGATTTGTTGGCCTGACTGGGTGAACCAGCCAAGAGGCAGCATGCCTTCAGATGTGTGTGACTCCACCCCAGAGGCAGTTGTGATTTCTCACAATTCTGTACCCTTAGTAAGTACTGGTCAGAACATTACATTTGCAATAGTTACCTTAGATTTCTAAAAAATTAAGGTAAATAACTCAATATACTTTAGGGAACTACTATCAGGGAACTATTTGGTAGGTGCCCATTTTCTTAATTTTGAAATTTAGCAATGCAGTCCTTCTCAATTTTACTTAATTCATTTAAAAAAAATAAACATAAATCTGTCCGTTGTTATTTTTATCCATGCTTCCAGAAGAGACAAAAACAAGCAATGGAGACCTGTCCGAGAGCACTGTGTCTGCAGATCCTGTTGTCAAATGATATTGATGGTATGTGTTGCCCGTCTGAGATCATCAGGATCGTGTCAGTACTATTACGGGTGAAATGATGTTAATGAGTTAATGAAGAAGTGTTTCTTGGGCCACATCTCTGGTAATCGGTGGATGTTGCAACTCTTTAAAGCAGTTCTCCAAAGTTAAGTCTATTCTTCTTCCAAAGGCTCTCTTTACATTTCACAAGTGGAGAATGAGGTTTTAAATGCGATTTTTGCCTGGACTTTAGGCTGGCAGATGTGCCTGTGGAGAGTTATCTGAAGTGAAGCCATGGAAGGGCCACTCTGCATTCCTGAACGGCTGCCTCAGATCTCTTGTAATCTGTGTGAGGGTTTTTCATTTGTATTTGCATAGGTCTTGGATCAATTTTTGTCTTAGTAATTGGAAATTCAATGCATACACTATGTACAGCCAGCAAATACATGTTTAAACAAAATGAATGAAGTCTGAAATTTATGAAGCATACATACCAATATTCTTACAGCTGGAATATTTGAAGATGGTTTTGATAATAGAGGTGAGGCACAAGTATGTTATGTACCTTCAGAGTACAGTGTAAAGTTGATTCATTGTTAATTTCATGTGACTTACAAGAGCTGTTATTGTTTTGATAAGACATTTTATAACTAGTTTACATTGCTTTGAGAACAGGTAACCTCCAACAACTGCTTTAAATGGAAGATTTACTTAATACTCAAAATGAAAGAAAATTCAGAGAAAGCCATAGAGTCCTGCTTGAAGCTTCAATTTTGGTTGAAGGCGCTACATATGATATCAGAGAGAATTATATGGATTTTTATTTCTACATCCAAACTCAGGTTTCTTCTACATTAGGTTGAATTGAAATCTTGGTGATGGTTTGGGCAGACTTTTTCTTTAAACCAAGCATAATCTAAGACACCAGATTAAGCACTGTGCAGGCTTTTAAAAAATTACCACTGTGATAATAAAGTTCTAATAAATTAAATCATTTACTGATTTAAAAAGTACAGTAAGATTTTGAATAAATTTAGTTCCTGGCAGGCTACTAGCTTTATTTTTGTAAAGATTACGTCAGTTAATAATTATATGGTTAATCATGACCTATAATCTTTTAATATGATACAGTGATACTTTTAGAATGGAAACAAAGTACACGTAATACATCATTTGGGAAAACTTGATTTTTCCATTGCACTTGCCTGTTAAGCATTTCTTCGGGTATATCCTGCAAGATTCTAGCATTTGATTTCCAGCTTTTGGAATAGGTGTACAGTGCCCTATCTGTATTAATTGGTTACTGGCAGGATAGCTTTCCCAGCCCAAGATAAACACTTTCACTGTTCTGAGTCAGAAGAAACAGAATAGGTAGGAAATGTTTTTTGTTTATTATGTAAACATGACTTAACAGAATTCTGTACAATGGATGGATTAAAGGCATTTAATATTTCTAATTCATACTAACTGTAGAAATGGCCCTAAAGCATGCTGCATAATTAGTAATTTATATTTTCATTATTATAAATGTTTATATTAATGATCTTGCTTTGATTGCATCAAATTCGTCACCATTTCATAGCAACGATATTGTTCTTTGTTTTTTTTTCTCTGACTTCCCTAAAATAATCTCCTTTAATATGGATAGAAATTGCCATTGGAAGAGAATCCAGTGTCTGTATTCATTATCCCCACATATCAGTTATTTTCGATTTTATGAATACCATATAGAGTTCATATGCTAACTCCATGGATATGTACAATTAAGAAGAAAATGATAGATAATTATTTTGCCATTCACTCAAAATAATGTCACTGCAGTCTGCATAAGTTACACATATTTGAAATAAAATCTCTGGAAAGATTAAGCATACTTAAATGTTATTTAAGTGCAGAGCAATAGGGCTTGAGTGTTTCACACCAGTCAATCCACACATTTAGATGATGGTTTTCTTTGCTAACATATTATTGTTAAATATTGTTTTCAGACATATTGTAATTTAAAATTAGTTTGAACATTTGTTGTAAATTCACAAAAAAATTCAATATTCAAATCCTCAGGAATTAAGGACTAACCATAACTTTGTCAGTTCTAATTAAGTTTTGTAAAGGATGGCAAGTTTGTTACCTCACTTGAGTGGGGCTTCCCCCTCCCCTAATTCTAAGAAAATATGTATAATAAAACATTAATAAATACAATTTCAAAAATTTACTTCCCCTGGATGTTTATGTTCAAAATTGAATGTCTTATACCAGTACTTCTTAACATTAACCTTTTTGGAGTTCCCTTTAATAAAATATAGGGAATCTATTTCTAAAAAAAATCCTTGCATGTACATAGCCAGAAATTTCAAGTATAAAATTGGTATTGGTTCCTCTTCGTGTATCCCAGGTGAAGAACTCATACTTTCCTTTGTACATTTTTGATTCTTCTGGTGCTTGCTATTTTCAAATAAAAAGAACCCATATGAATGTTTAATCTTAAATCCTTATCCTGGGAAGGGATCCTTGGTTTACAGTGTTTAATGTTAGAAATAACTAGTGCCATTTGCAAAACATGAGTTGAATTGAAATGGCAATAATAAATGGGAGCCTTTTAAATATTATACTGGAGATAGGAGACACAAGCCTTTTAAATACGGTTGACCCTTGAACAGTCTGGGTTTAAACTGTGTGGGTCTGCTTACATGCAGTTTTCAAAAATAAATACAGTATAGTATGATAAATGTGTATTCTCTTCCTTAATATTTTAATAGCATTTTCTCTAGCTTACTTTATTGTATGAACATAGGATGTGATACAGATAACATATACAATATGTGTTCATTGTAAGGCTTCCATCAACAGTAGGCTCTTAGTTAAGTTTTTGGGGAGTCAAAAGTTACATACAGATATTTGACTGCCTGAGGGGTTGGTGCCCCTCACCTCCGTGTTGTTCAAGGATCAGCTGTACTACACTGGAGAAATTGTTCTTGGTAAAGTCTGATTGCTGCTCCTTTACTCTTCTGAGGTAATAAATCTGTAAGACTGGGGGAATGATGGGATGATACCATCACATATATCATGTTACTCTTTGATGGATAAATGCAAAAAGATAGATTTTAACTAATTTTAATAATTCTATGTTTTTTTCCCAGCTAAAGTTTGAAGTTTCATACTGATGTATTCCTTTTAAGAAAGATTTTTTAACACTACAATTTCAAGTTTTTAGATGTTAGGAAGACTTAAACATGTTATTAGAGATTTCAGATTAAAAAAAAAAAGGAATCCAGAATAAGTGGACATCTTTAGAGATTAAAGGACCATCATGCTGTGAACTCAGACAGTGATGGCAAAGTTAATGCTTAGTTTATACAAAAAGTTCTTATGTATAGTGTATACCAAGTCGATTTGGGCAAATATATGGCTACTCTGTTTGCCTGTCTTTACTGTAAAGCCCAGTTTACCTGATAGTCTAGTTGTTCCCATTAATGGAGTTACCTTCATCAGTGGAGTTGAAATTTATCTTCTGATCAGTGTAGATGTGATGTCATAATTCTGGGATCATTTTAAAGGGCTATACATTCTCTGTGTAAGGTCTTTGTGTAGTAAAACATTCTTTAGTAATGCCTCATCTTTTTTTTTTTTTTTTTTAAGCAATGCCTCATCATTAAGGTGAGGGGGGGAGGTTAACACTTTTATATCCAGAAACACCTATCTATATTATAGTATTTAATCATTTCAGAATGGGCACAAAAGGTTAACAAGGCATTAGAGATGCTAACTTTAAGTTGATACAATTACTGAATATCAGAATAATCTTCGAAGGTTTATATACTTGATGAGAAAAGCACTTGCAGTCTCTGGTTTGTGCTGTATGTCACAGAACCGATAGAAGCATAGACTTTGGAGCCAGACTGATTCATATCCTGATTTGGTGCCTACCAGCAGGTTCTTAGCCTCTCTGTGCTTCATTTTCTAAGGCATAAAGTAGCCTAATAGTATAAAGCTCATAGACTGAGAGTTAATTTGTGTAAAGCACTTTATAGGTCAGGAAACAGTAACTACTGAAAATGCTAGCTATTAGCATTACTCATAGACAGAAATGCACTTGGCATATAATTAACTTTACTCTTATTACTTTTAGGTGGAAAAGTTTGAAGATAAACAGTATGTGACTCTGAGTGGGTCTCATAAAAACTATTCCTTTTTAAATGGCCCAGCTAAGTGTAGCCAGTGGAAGTCTTACACTTCATTTTTTTCTTAATTTTTTAATTTTTATTTTTTTATTAACATAATGATATACTGTTTGTTTCAGGGGTAGAGGTCTGTGATTCATCAGTCTTACACAATTCACAGTGCTGACCATAGCACATACCCTCCCCAATGTCTGTCATCCAGCCATCCCATTCCTCCCACCCTTCCCCACTCCAGCAACCCTCAGTTTGTTTCCTGAGATTGAGTCTCTTATGGTTTGTCTCCCTCTCTGGTTTTGTCTTCTTTCATTTTTCCTTCCCTTCCCCTATGATCCTCTGCCTTGTTTCTCAAATTCCACATTGACTTAATTTTGCTTAGCATAATACCCTCTGCTTCCATCCATCTCATTGCAAATGGCAAGATTTCATTTTTTGATGGCTGCATAATATTCCATGGTGTGTGTGTGTGTGTGTGTGTGTGTGTGTGTGTGTGTGTGTGTGTACCCCACATCTTCTGTATCTGTTAATGGACATCTAGGCTCTTTCCATAGTTTGGCTGTTTTGGGCATTGTGGGGTCATTGTGAGGTGGTATCTCGTGGTTTTGATTTTTATTTCCCTGAAGCCAGAGTGATGTTCAGCACTTTTTCATGTGTCTGTTGGCCATTTGGATGTCTTCTTTGCAGAAATGTCTGCTCATGCCTTCTGCCTATTTCTTGATTGGATTATTTGTTGCTTGGGTGTTGAGTTTGGTAAGTTCTTCATATTTGGATACTAGCCTTTTATCTGATAGGTCAGTTGCAAATATCTTCTCCCATTTTGTCTGTTATCTTTTGGTTTTGTTGACTGTTTCTTTTGCTGTGCAAAAACTTTATCTTAAGTCCCAGTAGTTCATTTTTACCTTGCTTCTCTTGCCTTTGGCCATGTATCTAGGAAGAAATTGCCGTGGCTGAGGTCAAAGAGGTTGCTGCCTGTGTTCTCAAGGATTTTGATGGATTCCTTTCTCACATTTAGGTCTTTCATCCATTTTGAGTCTATTTTTGTGTATAAGGAAATGGTCCAGTTTCATTCTTCTGCATATAGCTGTCCAATTTTCCCAACACCATTTGTGGAAGACACTTTTTTCCACTGGATATTTTTTCCTCCTTTGTCGAGGATAAGTTGACCATAGGTCAACGGGTCCATTTCTGTGTTCTCTGTTCTGTTCCACTGATCTATGTGTCTGTTCTTGTGCCAGTACCATACTGTCTTGGTGATTACAGCTTTGTAATAGAGCTTGAAGTCTGGAATTGTGATGCCACCAGCTTTGCTTTTCTTTTTCAGCATCCTTTGGCTATTCGGGGTCTTTTGGGGTTCCATACAAATTTTAGGATTATTTCTCCCAGCTCTCTGAAAAATGTTGATGGTATTTTGATAGGGATTCCATTAAATGTGTAGATTGCTCTAGGTAGCATAGACATTTTCACAATATTTGTTCTTCTAGTCCATGAGCTTGGAATGTTTTTCCATTTCTTTGTGTCTTCCTCAGTTTCTTTCATGAGTATTCCATAGTTTTCTGAGTACAGATTCTTTGCCTCTTTGGTTAGATTTATTCCTCGGTATCTTATGGTTTTGGGTGCATTTGTAAATGGGATTGACTCCTTAATTTCTCTTTCTTCTCATTGCTGTTATATAGAAATGAACCTGATTTCTGTGCATTGATTTTTTTTATTTTAATACCACAGGATTTTATTTTTATTAATTTCTTTTTTAAAATTTTTAATTTTTTATTAACATATAATGTAATATTAGCCCCAGGGTACAGGTCTGTGAATCGCCAGGTTTACATACTTCACAGCACTCACCATATGTGCATTGATTTTATATCCCGACACTACTGAATTCCTGTATGAGTTCTCACAGTTTTGGGGTGGAGTGTCTTGCATTTTCTACATAAAGTATATAATCTGCAAAGAGTGAGAGTTTGACTTCTTCTTTGCTGATTCGGATGCCTTTTATTTCTTTCTGTTGTCTGCTGAGGTTAGGACTTCTAGTACTATGTGAACAGCAGTGGTGATAGTGGACATCCCTGCCGTGTTCCTCACCTTAGGGAAATAGCTCTCAGTTTTTCTCCACTGAGAAGATATTCGCTGTGGGTTTTTCATAGATGGCTTTTATGATATTGAGGCATGTATCCTCTATCCCTATACTGCGAGGAGTTTCAATTCAGAAAGGATGCTGTACTTTGTCAAATGCTTTTTCTGCATCTATTGAGAGTATTGCTGCATGTGGCTGCAAAAGGAGAATTACAGAATCAATCCCACTTGGTCGTGGTGAATAATCCTTTTAAGGTACTGTTGAATCCTATTGGCTAGTATTTTGGTGAGAATTTTTGCATCCATGTTCATCAGGGATATTGGTGTACTATTCTTTTTGATGGGGTCTTTAACTGGTTTTGGGATCAAGGGAATGCTGGCCTCATAAAACGAGTTTGGACGTTTTCCTTCCATTTCTCTTTTTTGGAACAGTTTCAGAAGAATAGGTATTCTTTAAACGTCTGGTAGAATTCCACTGGGAAGCCATCTGGCCCTGGGCTCTTGTTTTTTTGGGAGATTTTTGATTATTGCTTCAATTTCCTTTCTGGTTTTGGGTCTGTTCAGGTTTTCATTTCTTCCTGGTTCAGTTTTGGTAGTTTATATGTCTCTAGGAATGCATCCATTTCTTCCAGATTGTCTAATTTGTTGGCATATAGTTGTTCATAATGTTGTATAATTGTATTTCTTTGGTGTTGGTTGTGATCTCTCCTTTCTTTTCTTTTTGATAAAGTCTGGCCAGGTGTTTACCAGTCTTACTATTAATTCTTTCAAAGAACCAATTCCTAGTTTCATTGATCTGTTCTACTGTTATTTTGGTTTCTGTTTCATTGATTTCTGCTCTGATCTTTATGATTTCCCTTCTCCTGCTGGGTTTAGGCTTTATTTGCTGTTCTTTCTCCAGCTCCTTTAGGTATAGGGTTTGGTTGTGCGTATTTGAGACTTCTTGTTTCTTGAGAAGGGCTTGTATTGCTATATACTTTTGTCTTAGGACCATTTTTGCTGCATCCCAAAGATTTTGAAGTTATGTTTTCATTTTCATTTGTTTACATGAATTTTTAAAGTTATTTAGTTTCCTGGTTGACCCATTCATTCCTTAGTAGGATGCTCTTTAGCGTCCACATATTCGAGTTCTTTCCAACTTTACTCTTGTGATTGAGTTCAAGTTTCAAAGCATTTTGGTCCAAAAATATTCAGGAAATGATCCCAGTCTTTTGGTACTGGTTGAGACCTGATTTGTGACCCAGGATGTGATCTATTCTGGAGAATGTTCCATGTGCACTAGAAAAGAATGTGTATTCTGTTGCTTTGGGATGAAATGTTCTGAATATATCTGTGAAGTTGATAGACTTCACAGTCCAGTGAACACTGGTCCAGCGTGTCATTTAAAGCCCTTATTTCCTTGTTGATCTTTTTTCTTTTCAGTGTTCCAGAATTGTTTATGCACCACACCCAGTGCTCCATGCAATACGTGCCCTGCATAATACCCACCACCAGGCTCACCCCCCCAAAACCCTCAGTTTGTTTCTCAGAGTCCACGTCTCTCATGCTTTGTCTCCCCCTCCAATTTCTCCCAGCTCATTTCTCTCCATCTCCCAATGCCCTCCATGTTATTCCTTATGCTCCACAAGTAGGTAAAACCATATAATTGACTCTCTCTGCTTGACTTATTTCACTCAGCATAATCTCTTACAGTCCTGTCCATGTTGATAACAAAAGTTGGGTATTCATCCTTTCTGATGGAGGCATAATACTCCATTGTATATACGGACCATTTCTTCTTTATCCATTTGTCTGTTGAAGGGCATCTTGGCTCTTTCCACCGTTTGGTGACTGTGACCATTGCTGCTATGAACATTGAGGTACAGATGGCCCTTCTTTTCACTACATCTGTATCTTTGGGGTAAATACCCAGTAGTGCAATTGCAGGGTCATAGGGAAGCTCCATTTTTAATTTCTTAAGGAATCTCCACACTGTTTTCCAGAGTGGCTGCACCAACTTGTCCTTGTTGATCTTTTTGATGATCTGTCCACTTCAGTGAGGGGGTTGCTAAGTCCCCTATTATTATTATTGATGTGTTTGATTTTTTTAAATTAACTGGCTTATATAATTCGCTGCTCTTATGTTAGGGGCATAAGTATTTATAATTGTTAAATCTTCTTGTTGGATAGACCCTTTAAGTATGATACATCTCTTATTATAATCTTTGGTTTCCTATCTAATTTGTCTGATAAAAGGATTGCCACCACAGCTTCCTTTTGATGCCCATTAGCATGGTAAATGGTTTTCCCACCCTCTCACTTTAAATCTGGAGGTGTCTTTGGGTTTAAAATGAGTTTCTTGCAGACAGCATAATGATGTGTCTTGTTTTTTTATCCATTCTGATACCCTGTGTCTTTTGATTGGGACATTTAGCCCATTTACATTCAGTGTAACTATTAAAAGATACGAATTTAGTGTCACTGTATTGCCTGCAAGGTGACTGTTACTGTATATTGTCTCTGTTCCTTTCTGATCTGTGTTACTTTTAGGGCCTCTCTCTGGTTAGAGGACCCCTTTCGGTATTTCTTGTAGGGCTGGTTTGGTGGTTGCAAATTCTTTGTTTCTGTTTATTCTGAAAGCTTTTTATTTCTTTCTATTTTTAATGACAGCCTAGCTGGATATAGTATTCTTGGCTGCATATTTTTCTCATTTAGTATCCTAAGTCTTGCACTTCTTAAAAAAAGGTAGTCTGACAGGTAGCTAACAGCCAGAGGCAATGCTGGGAAATGAAAATTGGTGTGAATAGCTGGCTAAGAAAAAGGTCCCGTTTTTCCACCCTCCCACGTTTCATTTATAGGACACTTAATTTTTCATTGTGCTTTCGTTTGGTAAATTTAAAGAAAGGGGAAGTTATCTACTTTTTCTAAATTTTAAAATTACTTAAAAATACATAACATGCAAAAGAGTATATAATATGTATGTACTATATGGAGAATAAAAACAGAACAATTCAGTAGCCACCATGTAGGTTCAAAGCCAGTTGCTCCCACCTCAGATGCTCCCATTGTTCCTCCTCAGCTCTCAGCTCCCCTTTCCACTCCAGAGGAAGCCATAATATGCAGAGTTTTGGTGGTAACTATTCCTTCCTTTTCTCTAGTGTCATAACCTCTCTGTATTTTTCTAAACAACATGGTGGTGGTTTGCCTGTTTTTAAATAATTAATATAAAAGGATTCTTACTGTGTAGTTTGTAGGACTTGTTTCTGAAATCCATCCATGTTGATGCATGATAGCTATAGTTCATTTAGTTTTACTTCTCTAATATTCGGTTGATACATGTGGGTCATTTCCAAATTTGGTATACTATGAACAGGGCTACTGTAACTTATTGTATATGTGTTAAGAATTTCTCCATGTTTTTACCCACAAGTGAATCTGCTAGGTAGCAGGGCCAAGTACAAGAGCAATGGCTACAATACCCGGCTTCTTCCATCCCAGCAGTGGAGGAGGTTCCCCATCACTCCATCCCCACCAACAGCCACATTTCTACCATCTGGTGAATATATAATATTGCAGTGGTTTTAATATGCATTTCCTTGATTATAATAGGAAATTGAATATATTTCCGTTCAGAAATCCTTTTATTTTTATTCTATGAAATGCTTTTCTGACTTTTTCTGTTTTGTTTTTAATGTATTTTATATATTCTGGGTAGCATTTTTTATTGGTCATCTGTGCTTGCTTAATAAGCTCAGTTAATTTTGTGTTTTCATTCTCTATGATGTTTTTCTCCCCTATGGTTTTTTAAGTAGTTTCAATGTACTGGATTTCAGGCTTTTTTTTTTCCCCTTATCATTTGCATGCTTTGTGGCTTAACTAAGCCACAAGTTTTTTAAAAGTTACGTTAATGAAAAAGTAGTTTCTAACAATATTGTTCATGATTAGATTCTTCCCTCCCACCATGAACAATGCTAAACAAGAAAAAAATTCAGGGGACTATGCCTCTTGCCACCTATCAGAGAACTTACTAATTTAATGTAGTTATGATATACAAATTTTTGTAAGGTATTAGCTAACACTGAACTAATAATTTCATGGTATTTCTCCTGCTGGCTTAGATCAGTTCACTTTGTCTCTAATGGTGTATACATAGTATAGATGACCCTATAGCAATTTTGGATTAGAAAATTGTTCTATTAATCCAGAAAATAACCATTCAAAGAAAAAAAACGAGAGAAACAGAATGATAGTTTTTACTTGCTAGCATTTATTGCTAGGTTAATTTATTACAAAGACAGTGATACTCTGTTGAACTTGGTTATAATTAAACACACTGTGCCAATTCAAGACCATTATACTTATTTCATAGGTAGAGGTGGAAACAGGAACTTTGTACCAAGCCCCACAACCAGCCGTGCTTCAAGTGAGTTTTAAAATTAATTGGTCCCTTCCTTGAGGAGGGTCTGGCTCAGAGGAATCAGGAACTGGTAGAGCTTCACTCTGTCCACCACTAAAAATATCTAAAGGCCTGTAAACTTGTGAATGCTGGTTCTTAAGTTTCCAATGTAAAATCGAACATCTTTTGTGGTACTCATCTGCTAGTCTTTTTATTGCATGTCTGGAAAAATTATCCAAACTAGACCTGCATTTTTGCTAGTGCTCAGGCCTCAAAGCAGGGCATGTCACCTAACTGCACAAATTAATGCTATTAGGTCCAAATGTGAGATAAGTTTGATTATAAATACACAATTTCCAGAGTGACAGGCACTTAAAGCTCATTAAGTAAAATACAAAAATAGATTATATTAATAGGAAATATTTAGTGTTTATCAAATTATAAATCTAGGTTTTTGCCATTTTTAAAAAAGGGTACTGGAAACTGAAGAGATGACATTTGAATAAAGTGAACAATGCATTTTTTCATTAATTTTCATTCTGAGCGCTGAACAACACAATCTAAGAAAAAGACTTACCACAAAGCACCTAAAATAACATTTGTAGATGGGTAGGAATGTTGTCAACCATTTCGAACTGTTTCCCTCCCATCTCTCAGTATCAAGGCATCCAGAGGACATTCCACAAGCGATTGTCAGCATTCTGAAACCAGGTCATGGGCCTGTATATCAGAGAAGTTGAAAACCCTTAAGGAGGTAGCTCTCCTTCCTGGGTGCTCTTCCCCCAAAGGCCCAAGAGAGTTATGCTTCAGATTCTGCGCCTCTATTTTCACTTGGACTTCCATCATCTGGTTGCTCGTTTAACAGTACATATTTTCCGTCATTGGTTAGTGGTATGGACAGCATTAACTGAGCCAACGCTTCTGGATCCTGAAGTTAGGGGAGTTTAAGAAGGAGAAAAGAAAATGCTTAAAATGCACTTAAGAACCCCTGTGGGCTTGGCATTCGTGATGTCCTGTAATCTAGCCTCACTCCTTCTGTTATGTGTGCCTTCAGGTTAGTCTCCTTGCTTCTCCGAAAAAACTCAATTGTATTATTTCTAGAATCTAGAGCAAGGTTTTCTTTTCAGCCAAAATATTGTTCACACAAATCATAACTGTCTTTCCAGAAAGAATCCAGAGAGGAACTTATAAGACCTTTGTCTTCTAGGTCTTTAGCTTTTCTCTCTCTTTCACGCTATACCAAGAGTTGTCAAATTATGGTCATCTGGGCTCATTGCCTGTTTTTATAAGTAAAATTTTATTGGAACACAGCCATTCATTTACATACTTTATTTGGTTGCTTTTGTGTTACAATTGCTGAGGAGTAGCTGCAACAGATGTAAGCGTAAAAGCTTTACTATCTTGCCCTTTATAGAAACCCCTGAAATATATCGTAAAATACTCACTTGTGCTTCTTGCTACTCTTTCATGTATATTGGTGTTAGTCCTCGGCCTTCCTACCCTCCCGCAACAGACTGGAACTGCTCATACAGTACTAACTGTATGTTACTGCTTAAATTAAAACTTAAAAATCCAGTTCCTCAGTCACATTAGCTACATTCAGTCTGCATATTAAACAGTGCAGGTATAGGTCATTTCCATTATTAAAGTTCTGGACAATGCTAAACTAGAAGCCTTCTGGGGAGGAACCAGAACTGTCTTAATTACAGCTGTAATTCCAAGGTTTTTTTTGTCCAAACATGGCTCTCAAAATTTGTTTGGTGAATGAAAGACTGTAAGTAGCTGACAGACTGGGACGTGTGGGAATCTTCATGTCTAGTACATTTTCAGGTGAGATCTGTCCGTGCTCTCAGGGACAAGACCCTTGAGCATATGGTAGATACTTAAAGTTTCTACCATCTTAATTTGAAAGAAAGAATATCTAGACAACAGTAGCAAGCACAAAACTGATAATATAAAGCAGGATTGTAGCAGTGATTATTAAGAACTCCACATGGGTTACCAGTGACATTGGACCTCTAGCAAGTCTGGTGGTCAGAATGCTTAAAAGGAAATCTCAAATTTGGCCACACTGCCTAGTGAACATCCTTGCTCTTTTTGAGAGAAATCTTAGTATGTAGAGAGATTTGGAGCAGTTGTTAAAAACAGCACTAAAAGGCACCTTACCTTCTGAACCTCAATGATTTCTTTTCCCAAATTAATAGCATAACATATCTGCAAGACAAGAAGAGTAGTGTTTGGCAAAGGTAGAAAAGGATAAAGAACTTTAGGGGGAAAATGTGACTGTGGAAGTACAGTGAGGTCACTGCTCCTTTCAGTGTGGGGACCGAGGACTTGGCTGTAGGCGACTCATCACATGGGGTTCTGAACATTAGTGTCCACCTCTCCTGGTCTCCTGTTGCCCATTTGTGCACAACAAAAATGTCCAGGTTCAGTGGCAACTGAAGTCACTCCGATGCTTAAAATTCTTAATGGAATACTTTATTCCTTTCTCTCGAAATCACACTCAGCTACCACATGTTCATGCACACAGTAGCAAATAGGTGTTTGCTGAAAGAAGAGCTGATTAATTTTGATTAATACTAAGTAGCAAATACCATCATAAAATTTTTCATACCAAAGGCGAAGAGTTTCCTGATGTCTGTTTCCTTGGTTTGCTCTGAGACTAGATTTTCTCCATTGTAACTTTTGCTTTAATTTTTTTAAAAGAAAGAACAAACTTGAAGGCAATTGCTTTTTTAACATTTCCTGATATCTCTTCTAAACAACTGTATCCCACCACTAACATTCTTCATCACTCTGTTGAGGACGACATGCATTTTCCACAGGGAAACTGTATTCTAGCTGGTTTTCTTTCAGTGGGGCCTTCCTAGAGGTATCCTCTAACCTCCTCAGTAGGAAACAAGGAACAGTCAACTAAATATCCAGGGGATGGTGCAAAAACCCCTGTAAGTATCTGGACAGAGAGGTTAGGGAATCTTAAGATGAAAAAAATGAGACCTTTTCGCCTTCTGAGTTGCTTTCAAAAACGTATGTGCTCAGAGCCTCTCCACCGGTGGATTCAGGCGTGCGGACCACGAAGCCAACCAGTCTTTTGTTCTCTTGATGAGCCGCGAACTGGGTAATGCTGGTGAGTTCAAACTGGAAATAACAGGAACAGACCGAATATCGCACAACTGTTACGCAAAACCAAACCAGTCGTTCTCCGGGGAAAACATCATGGGAAGAGCGCACTACTAGAAGACAGGCATTAAATTTGGCAAGATCGGTGAAGTGCCTACTTTGAATTAAGGAATAACTGCTAAAGTCAGTGAGCACGTGGTACTTACATTGGCTCTCGTTACTTGAGTCTGAGGATCTATCAACCTGAAATTTGAAGAGAGTCATTATATCACACAAGCTGGATACGCTTATATTCTTAGAAGCATCTACAGACGTTCAGAATGAAATCACACAAGTACACTTCAAATATGAAAACAGAAGGCCTGGCTGAGGGCAAGGCGACACGGCTCCATGTGACTGTCCAAAGGGAGGACGTGCCATGGTTCCTGGCTCTGTGGAACCTGAGTAGTTAAAGCTCAGTGTGTATCTTCATGGAAAAAGATAATAGAAAATTTCCCATTTTTTTTTTTTTAAAGATTTTATTTCTCGGAGAGAGCACAAGCAGGTGGAGCGGCACGCAGAGGGAGAAGCAGGCTCCCGCTGAGCAAGGACCCTGATGCAGGACTCGATCCCAGGACCCTGAGATCGTGATCCGAGTGGAAGGCAGATCTGCTTAACCAACTAGCCACCCAGGTGCCCCGACAATTTCACATTTCAGTGCTTATCCAGAAAGGCAGCATTATAGTTCCCTATATGCATGGGCCATATCCTGTACAGTCGGCTGCTCAACAGCCATTTACTGACTACGGGTTTTCCTTTGAAGTGTTTGATATACATCTTTTTTTTTTTTTTTTTTTTAAATATGGGGTAAGAGAATAGTGAATAGATTTTAACAAAACTATTCTATGTCAGTTTGGGTGTGGGAAGTACTATTTATGGAGCTGTTCTAGATGTATCTTGAATGGCACTCGCAGCACCTAATAATCAGGTTGATGTAGCTAGGAAAATACACTAGATTACAGAATCTATTGCTATCATATATATATATACACGAATTTCTACTTTCTAAATGTGGTATTATCTATTGCTAATAGGCTATAAATTCTGTGCGTAAAAGCAAAAAAAATGTATTGTGTTAAAAAAAAAGTTACGATTCCATTTATATGAAATGTTCCAAATAGGCAAATCTATAGACACAGAAGATGAGCGGCTAATGGCTGCTGCAGGCTTGGGGGGTTTCAAGGTAAAGGGAACGGGTGCTAATGGCTATGGTTTTCTTTGGGGATAATGAAGATGTCGAAACTGTGGTGATGGCTGCACAATTATGAATATATTAAAAACACTCTGAATGGGTGAACTGTATTGGGAGTTCTACCTCAGCAAAGCGGTTCTCTCCCCCACTGGTTACAGTCGGAAATATATGCAGTTACACTTGTGAAAGCATCAGCTTTATAATCAGGTCTCTAACCTGGCTGCTCAGCCGTGGTCTTGTGCAGGTCACCCTGACTTCTCAGAACTGCCTCAGCTGTAAAATGGGGATAAGAACCCCCCCACTTGAAAGAGGTGGTGAAGGCAAGGAGAAAATGTGTATGGAATTTGTAGTAATCTACAAAGCTAAATAAATGTTATTTTTTATTTATGTCCCTATTAATGAACATGAATTTAAAGATTTAAAAAATATACATCATAAACAAGTTCCCTCAAATTGGGCTAAGTTCCCTTACTTAGGTATTTTGTAAAATTTTTTCATAAATAGAAACTTAAAACATATTTTCTGAGTAACTTAAAGAGATTGCTGTCTAAATCAGGTAACATGGATTTGCCTTTTAGTATCAGATTTTCTGGGTGCCTGGGTGGCTCAGTCGTTAAGCGTCTGCCTTTAGCTTGGGTCATGGTCCCAGGGTCCTGGGATTGAGCCCCGCATCAGGCTCCCTGCTCTGCTGGAAGCCTGCTTCTCCCTCTCCCACTCCCTCTGCTTGTGTTGCCTCTCTCGCTGTCTCGCTCTCTGTGAAATAAATAAATAAAATCTTAAAAAAAAAAAAATCAGATTTTCTGTGGGACTTCTAAATTGTCTCAAAACATGAATTCCAGTTCAGGGATATGTGTGCGTATACTGCGGTAAAATATACCCGACATAAAACTGACCACTGTTGACATTTCGTCCGTTTACCACACTGTACAACCATTACCGCTCTCAGGCTCCTAAACCATCTTCATCACCTCACGAGGAGGCTCCAAACCCATTAAGGAGTCCCCCTCCTCCATTCCTTCCCTCTCGGCTTCTGGCAACCAGTAACCTGCTTTCTGTCTTTGGATTTGCCTACCGCGGACCTTTCATGTAAATGTTCATACAAAACAGCTGACCCTCACGTCTGACTTCTTTCACTTAGCAGAATGTTTTCAGGGTTCAACAATGTTGTACCACGTGTCATGACTTCATTCTTCTTTAAGCCTGAATCATACTCGACTATATGTAAAATACCACATTTTGGGTAAAAATTTGTTGACAGACATCTGGATTGTTTCTACTTTATTAGCTATCATGAATTGCAAACATGCATACATATTTTTATCTGAACACTTGTTTTCAGTTCTTTTGGGTATCTGCCAGGAGTGGAATTCTAGGTTTAACTCATGGAGGAACTGCCAGACTTTTCCCCGGAATGGCTGAACTGTCTTAACAATTCCCACCAGCGACAGATTCCGATTTTTTCACATCCTTACTAATACCTGTTATTTTCCTTTAAAAAAAAAAAAATTACAGCCATCCTAGTGAGTATGAAGTGATGCCTCCTTGTGGACCTGATTTGCATTTCCCTAATAACTAATGACACAGCATCTTTTTATGTGCTTGTTGGCCATTTGTATATCTCCTCTGGAGAAATGTCTATTCAGGTCCTTTGTCCATTTTTTGTTTTTTGGTCTTTTTGTTGATTCTTATAAGGGTTCCTTATATATTCTGAACATATACTTCTATTAAATACATGACTTGCAAATATTTTCTCCCATTCTGTGGATTGTCCTTGTACTTTGATAGTGTTCTTGGATGTACTGTCATTTTTCACAATGCTTTTACATGTATTTACTCTTGACATTTTTGGTGAAGATTATAAGAACAGTAAGCCAGTGCCCATAAAAAGTGCAGGACACACTTGGAGAAAAGTTCTAAATAAGGAAATACAAGGTTTTATTTGTAAGAAACTTATTCTCAGTATAAGGTTTTTAATAAATGAAAAGGACTGATTTTAATGAATGGAAGACACTATATTCTGATATTTAACAAAGTCCCAGTTAACTTTTTTGAAGCTAACATTTAACTGAGAACTTTCCATAATGTCAGTTGTGGTTGTAAATATTTTATGTGTATTAACTCATTTACTCCTCATGACAACATAATGAGGTATAGATATGGTTATTTTCATCTTATAGCTGAAGAAACCAATGCACAGAGAGGAAAACTTGCCCAGGTCATACAACTAACAAACACCAAAGCCAGAGGTAAACCTAGAAATTCTGGCTCTAAAGCAGTGCTGTCGTCTCAGAGAAATCAAATGTAAGCTTCATACATAATATAAAATTTTCTAGCAGCCACATCAAAGAGTGAAACAGGTGAAATAATGTACTTTATTTAATCTACAAGGTCTAAACTCATACTAGCTAGACATGTTATTAATATAAAAGTTGAGATATTTTGCATTTTGGGAGGGTTTGTATGAGGTCTTAGAAATTTATTGTTTTTTACATTTAAAACATTCAGCTCAAACTTCAATTCTGTTTCAAGTGATGCATGTGGACACGATAGTGGACGGTGCGGCTCGTGCGGAAGCTGATGCGAACCATGGTGTGGCTGTCCTCTGCTGTTGCTCGTATCCATCTTACCACCTGAGACCCCGAGTAATGTTGGTAACAGCACTTGGTATCTTTATTTTCCCCCCAACAGATACTCATCAGACTGTATTTGTGGTGGTCTAGTCATTTCGGGCAGGTTCGTGTTCTGTTTTCACTGTTAACTTTTATAAACAGTATATTCAGAAAGGAGCAAACTCTTTCTTTTCCAAGCCCTGAGATACACGGAGCAACTCCTGAGTGACGACGTCTTTATGAACAGTAGGATTCAGTCACCACTAAATTTCGGAAGGGATCAGTTACTTAGGGGAGCACCTTCTACCCAACGTGTCTTATAAAATCCAACTGTAAAAACGAGTAGGGCAGAAACGAGAGTGACATCCTCACATACTCCGATCAAATACTCTTAGTGTGAACATTCTAGATGAGTAAATGTGCCTTGCGTGGGCAATCGGATAAAGTTGTGAGAAGTCTGAAACGAAACAACATACCTCAGAGTCTGACTGGTGACCATCAGGTGGGACTCCGTCGTGCGGAAGATGTTGTGAATAGCCCGAGCGGCCAGTACTTGTCTCATTGCTTCATAAATCACTTCGGTAGTGTTGTCTGTTTTAACTGCCATTGATCCCAGAAACCGAACTATAAACATCTGTTGCAAAAGGGAATCTGCAAGACAGCATTTTCTGCTCAGGAGCACACTCGCTTCCTGCTGGGTGCACCCCTCAGAGGGGCGGGTTGGAGAACCCGCTGGAAACCTCCCACACACAGCTTCCCACCCAGCTTCTCAACAAACCCGCACTGCCAAAGCCCAGAGCCTCCTGCTGTCCGCATCTGGTCTCTCTGGAATTACTTCATCCGACTAGACAAGCACCTCTTACTGCATCTACACAATGAGACGGCAGAACCACAAGAACATCCTTCCGGCACGAAAACTTAGGTGACTAACGTAGGTGTCACTAGATGCATCTTTTCTCTGAAAATACGAGTGTCTCCACTCAGACAACAGAAAATGCAGTACTTTGGCCCTTGATAAAGTCCTCTTAAAGGAGAAAATCTAAAGAACGGAAGACCTGATGCTGGGACTCAGTCGGTTCACGCACATCGTGTGTTACTGAAGGGCTGTGAGGACGTCCCATCCGCTACTTCCTTTGACTCTAATAACCAGGACTGGCTTCCTGATAGTGGGACGAAACCTGACAAACTGAGTAACCGCAGCCATAACTGGAAGATCACAAGGTTTAAAGGTTTGTGGGTTTTTTTCCTATAAGAACAGTAATTCGCTTATCCACCATTTTACACGAAGAGGACTACTTTTTCCTCACTTGCCTTATTAATGTCTTTGCCCTTAAAAATAACTTAAGTAACAAAAGACTAGGAAAATATAACTGATATAAAACTGTAAGTAGTTACTCCCATATGAAGATACTTTTTATAAGTTTGAAAGTTTAGTTTTATAGAGTTACAGTGTGGAGTATACGGAAGGTCAGCCAGAGACCAGCGGGCAGATCTGAGCAGACCTGTTAGCTTCCTTCCTCTCCCCCCTCCCGCCCCAACCCTCTTCTGCCTAATTCTGTAAGGAGAACCGACTCTCAAGTGCTACTTCTACATTTAAGGAAGTGGCAAGTCTAGTGATATTCTTCGGCTCCAGTCATGGGGTGTCAGAACGAGGTCTCGCCGGCACCTGTAGCTCCTAAGTTGCCTCGGCTGGGACCCAAGTGCTGCTCTCTGGGGCACAAGGTTACGTCAGCTCCACTGTAAGAATGCACGTCACGTAACAAATATCTGAACTTGAACAAAGTAAATACCATTCACCCATGTCCTCCTCAAATTCAAGAATAAATTGTGTGTCTTTGGCTAAAATGGAACCGCCTATTTGTGACTCACCCGGACTGCATTTTGCTGCGGCCCTTTCATCCCCTATCAGTCCGTTCTGTAGTCACCTGACACCTGATTTAGCCTCAGCAGCTTTCTTCGCAAGAGCTACCAAGAGGATGTGCGTGAGGCCAACAGTACAACACCTGTAGAAAGTCTGTCTACTTCCCTTCAGTTTTTATCGAAGACCTGCCTTCGCTGCACATGCCCTACTGAGTTTCCAGGGAGCAACAAATCTGTGGGTCATAATTTTGCTTCACAGTCCAAGTCCTGGCTCCCTGGAACGTGACTTCATGTCTCACTTCAAGGACTCGTCATTCTGAGGGGAAAGAGTGAGAACACCAAACCAGCCACTCACCTTCTGCTTCTGGAAATGTCTCGTCCTCGGTCTCACCAAAAGGGTTGATGCGCCTAGGGGAATGGTCAGAGTCCAACAATCAAGACCTTTTCGGCTAAAAGGACACTAACTCTCCAACTAGAAGTCAGAACAGCAACAGTCTTGGCAGATGGGTGCCGACACGAGAGATCCCAAGTGTACCTTCATTTCTCCCAGAGACAGCCTCCCTTAGCCCGTACCTGCTGCCTCTGTTCTGATCCAGGAATTCGGTGGCAGGAAGGACGATATCGAATTGGATGGGTGTTCCAGGTGCGATGAGCTCATCAGCGTCAGGGACATGGACTGCTGCTTTGGGAACAATCTTGTCATTCTCCAGCTCTACATTTCTCGGGTTCTGGCTGCGGTATAAAAGAGGGAGGGAAAAATCAAATCCCATTTAGCGTTATTTATGCCTTTACAATCAAGTGAACATGTGTTGAATGCCGATACGACTTTTACAGATGGACAAGGGGATGATTTCAGTCAATCCTTCAACTCGTTCTACAAATAAATCTTCACAGAACATCATTCGAGTCCTCGGTAAACAGCCTGAGGACCACCCCTCCCCCCAGTTAGCTCTGCCGCACAGCATTCTGTGTTATGTTCTGTTACTTAACACGTTACCTACTGCTCTAGGTCTTTCTTCCTGTCAGACAGGTTTTTGAGAGCAGGGGCTGTAGCTAAATCCCATTTATTACATGGTACATAGAAGGCGCTCAAAAATGTTAACAGACTGAATACATCTTGGCCCAGCATTCACGACGTGGCTCTAACTTTCTCCTCCATGCACCCTCCCTTGGAGCTACCCCACACTTTGCTTAGTTTCCTTGTCCATCCCAATCCCCCCTGTCCAACACCAGCTCCAATTCCTATTCCTCTACTAAGGCTTTCAAGCCAGCCCCGACCCACCGTGTGTTCCCGTGCTGTTCTCTGAGAGTTCCAGGGGCAGCTTGCACGTCTGCGTGCCCCCGAGCTCTGCTCTGTGCACACACACGCGTCTGACACGTCTGACAGGACAGAGGAGGACCGTCGCTACGGCGACTGGTCACATGCCACCGCGACTCCTCCCTTCCGGTGTCAGGCTGTTGTAATTTAGCTTTTCACATCTTCATGATCCTTTCTTCCCAGCTCAAGGGTAAGCTTCTTTGAGGGACAAAGAATGTCAAAATATTTTGATTTCTTACGCTATTTGGAGCACAGGAAGGCTCTTGATACCTCTGTTCATTTCTCTCGAATATGTCAATAACTGAATATACTGTGTGAAATGACCTTAAATTAGCCACCTGACAGGTGAGCACGCGGACCGGGAAGTGGCTAGAAATACAACATGGGTGTGGAGACCATCGCTGCAAGGAGAGACCCTGCTTCACCGTGACCAGGACAGGGAAGCACGGTCTCTAGGGAAGAAATTCTGAGGGCTCCTCACTGCCAGCTCCCTCAGTCTCTAAGGCAGGGCAGGAGTTCGTACGTGGTGAGCACTGGAGGAAGGGAGGAGTAGAAGCTTAAAGAGAGAAAAGTAAGTCCAAGATTTTGGCTCCCCAGAGAGTCTACGGGGAGAGAACACAGTGACAACAGCATGCGGCCACGTGTGGAGGGCAGTGACCCCATGGGGTGGGATCTGCCCTTGAGTCTACAGCATTGGGAGCCACGAGAGACCCTGAATATAGGAGTGACACGTGGGAGCATCACCTGTGACCTCCATGTCACCCACTCTGATGTACACGTGCTTCCTGAGAGTGTCCTGCTTCAAACACCCCGCATCAAAGCAGCTCGCAGAGTTGAGCTCTCCTCCTTTCTCGGTTCCTACTGACACCACTTTCCTTGATGTTTCTTGGTGGCTTTGTAGGTTCCTTCCCTTCTACGACAAATGCTGGAGTTCTTCAGGAATCTGTCCAAGGCTCCTGTCTTCTCCTTCTACACTCCCTCCCTCGACGATCTCTTCCACGGCCACATCCGTTCCGTGGAGTTCCTGATTCGTATACTGTACTCAGCCCTGGGATTACCCATGTGCTCCAGAAGTGTGTCATCCGTTGACCACGTGACACTTGCTGGGCTATGTCGCGGGTCCCTCAATCTTGTGTCCAGAAGTGAACACTACCAACTCCTTTCACTCCCTGAATATGCCACCTTCTGCCCAAGTGCTCAACCCAGACTATGGCTGTCGTTTGATTTGTCCCATCCCTTCCACTCACATCTCACTATACCACAAGTCCAGTAGATTTCCCCTCCAAAACAAGTCCCCGAGCTAGCTACTTTTTATGTCCTCTGCCACGATCCTGGTTAAGACACCATCGCCGTCACCCGGACTGCTGCCACGGGTCCCTGACTCTACCTACTTGCCCAGCTCTGTGTCCCATGTCCTCCACCGCAGCCAGAGCTGCCCTCAGATCACACACAACGGATCCACTCTCTCTGACACGCCCATGTCTGCCTCTCTGCACCCTTTGACAACTCCCCAGGGTCCTGACCATGACTTCGCGATCCGTTCTGCCTGCCTCCCTCCCTCCCCAACCCCACCTTGCCCTGCGATCCCCCCGCGCCCACACTGTGGTTACAGTGGCCTCCTTTCAGTTCCTCAAACACACTAAGCTCTCTCCTGCCTTCCAGCCTCCAGACTGCTACTGGGAATGCATGAGTCTGGCTCTTTGCAAGAGTGGCCACTTCTCGTCGTTCACTTCTCAGTCTGATACTGTCTCCACAGGCAGGCCTCTCCGTGACAGCACCTTCGCCTCTAACACCAGAGCGCTTTCCTCCATTTTAACTAAGTATTTACCTTCTGCTGGTCTTTACCAACAAGACTCAGCTTTCTGACCTGGCCCAGGGCCTGGGGCACAGAGCAGACACTCCACGAATGAACTGGTACTGGACCAGCTGGAGGAAAGAATGCACATCAGAGCTGTGTTATCCGCAGAGTGAGGGAAGGCCACACATGGTGTTTGCTTAGGAGTGAGTGGCAGTTTCTTCCCACAAACAGTTTCTCTGCTGCTTTCCCGTCATCAAAACATTTCTTTATTCCTAATGAGCTGGCCCTGAGAGGGACAGGAGCCCTCCCCCACCGTCTCCACAGCTCTGGGCCGCCTGGCAGCCACATCCATCACCCTCCCAGTCTCTTTGTTGATTCGGCTGCCTGGCTAGAGATCTTTTTTGTTTCAGGATTCTTCTGTGTGATTTACTTATTCTACAACAGGGAGAAAAATCAGTTACTGAATAATTAAATCTCAGCTACAAACTTTGTAGCTACAGACTACAAACCCAAACACAGTCTCGGTTGACTTTTTTTTAGAAAACCAGTCACACCTTTAATTACTAATACTAGTCAAATGATACATCGGCACCCTAGATAGTGTTAGAAGTACAAAGGGACTGGGGAGGTCACCTAGTTTCGCATCTTCTTGTGTCACAAATTGAAGGAGACAGAGGCCCAGAGAACTGAGCCACGTCAGGCCATCTAGCCGCGTTGAAGGCAGAGCCACCAGAAACTCTCAGATTTCCAGGCCAGCGTTCTCCAGCGTACCCAGCTCGCTGTGCAGCTCACGGCTTTACAGAGAGGAGGCCAGCATGTTCACCCACGATGAGGCTCATGGCCTAGCCCTCTGGCCCGATCAGTATTTCCACTTCCATCAGAGCGCCCTCATTAGAGCTGCCCTTCACGAACATGCTGTCTGTGTCAACTATGAAACCCAGCATTCAAGTGTCACCTGTTGCCCCTTGCCCATTTTTACTACCTCTGCTTAGCTTCTCCTGTTCTGTCTTAAGATACTCCAGCAGCAGCCTATCGGGCGTCCCCGCCCTGTCCTTTGCCCCACCACGCCCCAGATCCAATATGCCCTATGTGCAGAGAGCCGCAGGACAGCCTGTCCACACTGGCTGCGACACGCCACTCGCCTCAGTCTGCAGTTCTGCTCTATGGCCCAGAGCCTAAGCAGGGTCCCCAATCCACTGACATCAGACTCATGGCCACTTTCTGGCCTTTTCTTCTGCTCCTTCCCGCACACCAAGGTCTCCGCGTATGCACCCTGGCAACCTGCCACACAGGCCCAAGGCCCCGGGAACTGAACTCTTAGCTTTCTGATGACATCTGTCTGGACTCAGGAGATATCTGTGAAACATTTATTTAATGGGTTCTTTCTACCATGCCACAGAAAAACGGACACCACATACAGTCATAATCGTAACCCACCTTTGGTGTGACCAATAATGCAGTTCTCTATTAGTTAACCAATTGGAAACTCCCATTAAGACAAAAGGTGAGATTCTTGGAATAAACCTTAAGGCTGTATTCAAAACAAGAGCGAAGCTAGGTGCATGAAAGTGTTCACTGTACATGATAGTGCAGAGGAAAGGGAGGCCACCAAAATATTCAACAGCTAATAAAAATAAATCACGGAAGAGTGTGTAGACTTACTAAAAGGAACAATTATAAGAAATGTAAAAACATGAAAAATATATGTGAAAATAAAAATTTAACAAAATACATGCGAAAGTATCTGTATACGTACAGGTAAGGCCTGGGCAGTAAAACAGATGCAGAAAAGCTAATTTTGTTCCTTATTTAAGTTTCCTTTTGGTTCCAGAACTTTGTTGATGCTGACAGAAAAATGCAAGAAGCCCTGACCAGCAGACCCTCGATGCAAGTCCTGTTTGCTCGGGCTGTGGCTGCACAGTCCAGGGGAAGGATGGTGGCAGGGTCACCCAGGGTCCCGCGGCCGTGGCTCCCGGTTCTTCCCCTCACAGGTGGTGTCACCGTGCGCAAACACCCCACCTCTCCCGGTAGCCTGAGCTCCACCCCTAGGTGGTACGTGAAGAGAAATAACTGCTATCCAATTCCTAACTCATAAGTATACGCAAGCCGCTTTCCCACTGTCCTCTAATTACCTGGGACACGGGCTTTCTTGCTTTTTTCCGAAACTTGTAATGGGAGTCACTGCTTGGAGAGCCGTCTGATTCAACTTGATGGCGACTGCCTACAAATGCGCGGGAGGACAGGCTCAGTCCCGGGAGGGGCGCTCACCCTTCAGACTGAGCGAGGGCCGGGGAAGGCAGCGCGAGTTACCTCTGGGTTGTCGGTCAGGTAGATCTGTCTGGAGATGTTGTTTATGGCACATATCCACTGTGGAGAGAGGACATTACAAAATCTGCTGGACCCCGGTCACCGCTAGACTAGGACAGAAGTGGAAGAACAAACCATACCTCCTCATTCTCCTTTCTGCTTTCTGCCTGGAGGATGATTCCCCTGCAATAAAGCACATCTATGTCAGTGACTCCCAGGCCTCTGGCTGAGGCTTAGTCCACATACGCTGAACTCAGCTGGGTCCCAAAGGGAAGGGCCGGGAAGGCAGGATGACAGGAAGAGAAGAAAATGGGGTTTAGGCTCCCTGCTCATTTGCTGTGTGATCCTGGACAGATACTTCCTGAGGGAAGTGAGCAGCCGGGCTCGGATCTACTAGTTCGAGGCTGGCGGTTCACAAGCCTGGACATCCTGTTGGCTTCTCAGGTGACTGGGGCCACCAGGAGTCTGGCCCAGAGGCGTTGGCAGACCCCCCCCCCCCCGCCCCCAAATCCATGGAAGGGAGAGGGGAACTGGACACAAATACCACTGCTCTTCCTCTGGGGAGGGCTCCACCCTATCCCGGGACCCCACGGCGGTGGGAGGGGGGAGCATGGCTCTTATCCTGTTTTACAGAGAAGACCAAGGAGTTAGGTAACCGGGACCGGGATCCCAGGCCACTCCTGTCACCCAGGAGGGAGGACAAGGTCTGAAACAGCTCTGCCAACCAAACAGACGGTCTGCACTGTACTGACTTGGCCGGACACACTCCTGTCAACACAGGAGCTCAGCTCAGAGCCCCACATGGAAGCAAATGGAAGCAGAGCAGCCACAACTGAAGGGCAGGCGGTCCCTGCGGATGACCCCAAGTGACCTCTTCTGGGCCCCTGTAGTACATGGGGGTCTGCGGGCCAGTATGGGGGCTGAGTGCACCAGCCATCTCGGGTTTTGGCTGGAGCAGAGAGCTCCACGCAGGCAGGTCTGGGGGCCCTCCTCCCACGCACCCCCTCTCCCCAAGGAGGCCCCTGGCAGGGGCAGAGTCACTAGACCCCCGCCCAGCCTACGATTTCCCGTTGGGCGTGGTGATCTGGAAGCAGTAGCGGCGGTCTTCACAGTCCACGGCCATCACCGAGCAGTTGTCCAGGTCCTGGATCAGGCCTCCGGCCACAGCGCCCCTCGGCTGACACATGAGGTTCCCGCCTTGCGTGAAGAAGTAAAGCCGCTCCCAGGTGGTGGTGACCAGCCCTGTTTTACTGGAAGAACTGTGGTTTTAGAACACCCGCCAGTACGAGGAAGCCCGCGCAGCACCTCAAAGTCTGGCTGCCTCTCCCTGAGTACTGGTGACATTCTAGAGATAATATTTCTTTACATCAGAGCAAAACTGCTTTGGAAAGAATCCAAATGCAGAGGGGCAGACGAGGCACAATGCAGCCTGGGTGACCCGGAAGTTAGGGGCTCTGCTCACACAGGAGATGCAGCCCGGGGCCAGCCCTGTGTGCAGGCGGCAGTCACCGCCCCCACCCGCCCAACGGCAGTGACACTGGCTTCTTGCAGGATCTGGAAACAGAATGAGTCCATCCCCGTTAGGAACTGAAAACCTAGATGCTCCTTCCTCTAAGACATGGACCTGAACTGCTGAGTCCAGCGAGAGTCACCAGGATCCCCTCGGCTCCCGGCACCTGGAATCCTGGGGGCGTTTACCACACTGAGTTTTGCTCTTACTGGATGTTTTGTGCGCTGCTTCCAAGAGAAGTATCCAGTAACTGGCAAACACCACCAACCCTGTAGGGTTTTCTAGCCACACAGACTGACAGATATTTAACTTGTGATCTCAACGAGCTGGAAGAGCTTTGAGGAGCTCCACCTTGGTAAGAAAACGGCTGGCCGTTCCTCTCTGTAGATCCTCCATTTGAGAAATATCTGGGACATTTACCTGATCAGTGTTTATCAAGAAGCAGCTTTGTGCAAGGCACGAGGCATCCTGCCTCAATAATTAGTTATTTCCAAAAACTGGTAATAGCTAGCATCCGAGTGCTTCCGACCTACTGGAAATGGCCTCATTCGGTCCTTGTAACAACTTTATTCAGTAGGTGTGATGATCGGCTCCATTTTGCACATGACGTGACTGAGGCCCAGCTGAGGCGGGGGTGACTGAACCAAGTCAGGGTCCTCACCACACCGAACGGCCTCAGTCTGCTCCTGGACACAAGGAAGCCTGAGCCTCCTCCCTTCAAGCCAAATGGCCCCGAGTGTTACAGCGTGATTCTGTGTGTGAGAACCTGGAGGACACTGAGGCTGGCTGGCCCTCGGACTCCGGCCTCAGTGGCAGGCTTGAGCACATGGCTCTCACCTGTCAGGGGCCGGGGCCAAGGGCGGGATGGGACAGAAACTCCCTACAGTCCAGGATGATGATGGTTAAGAACAGGCTATCTGCATATAGTCCCCTCGACCAGGGACAGGGACGGCCCAGCGCTCGGAGTCGACGCACTGGGTTCTTCTGAGACTGGTTCAAGCCCACCTCTCGGTGACCAGGGCCCTGAGGTGGGAAGGGCGGCATGGCGGCCACCACCCCAGCACCACCCAGCACCACCCACTCTCCCGACAACGCTGTCTAGCCACCTGAGGGAAAACAGACTTCAGAAAGAGAGGCACGCAGTGACATTCTCACCTTCTGAGATTAAGGTAACCAGCCTTCTGGATGAGGTTTCTATTGATCTGTGGCGCGGCCACGTCAAAGTCTGGGGCGTAAACAGACTCATCAACAGAGAGCAGCTCCTGCTGGGACGCGCGCATCTTCTCCGCTTCGGCTTCTAGTTCCACCTGAATGCTTAAGACAGAAGGCGTCAGGTCAGCTGCTTCTCACGCAGACCCAGCACGGCGGAGCAGCCCACGGCGGAACTGTGCCAGGCCTTCCTGCCCCATGGGGCTTCCTGCCCCGGAAGCTGGACATGGTGGGACTCGAGTCTGCTCTGCTAGAAGTGGTCCTATATGGCCGCTGTTTTAGAACAGAACATGAGGAATAAATACCACCGGACGACGCCTGAACCCAGCGAAACAATTTCTCTGCGACAAAGTGGTATCCAGGCTTAGAACTGTTGATGCAATTTTCTTTTAAAAGACTCATTCATCCATTTTAGAGAGGGAAGGAGGGGGAGAGAAAGAGACTGCGCACACAAGGAGGGCGGAGCCTGACATGGGGCTCAACCCCATCACCCCGAAATCACCACCCAAGCCAAAACCAAGAATCGGAGTCTTAACTGACTGAGCCACCAAGGCGCCCCATGCTGATGCAAACTTTAGGAGAAAAGCTTTGATGAGCCCATCCTCAGGGCTGCCATGCAGGCTGCCTACGAAAGAGCTGGAAGAGAAGGAAGGTGGGAGGGAGGGAAGGAAACAGCAGTCACTCCTACCCCCCTTTCTACTCCCCAGGCTCCCCTAAGGTGAAAAAGGGCCACTGGAGATTGGTCCCACCTCCTGGATTTTTCTTTTTTTTCTTTTTTTTTTTTAAGATTTTATTTATTTATTTGACAGACAGAGATCACAAGTAGGTAGAGAGGCAGGCAGAGAGGGAGAGAGGAGGAAGCAGGCTCCCCGCTGAGCAGAGAGCCCGATGTGGGGCTCAATCCCAGGACCCTAGGATCATGACCTGAGCCGAAGGCAGAGGCTTTAACCCACTGAGCCACCCAGTGTCCCCCTCCTGGTCATTTTCCTAAGTGCAATGACAAAGACAAAGGCAATGCTTTTCCTTTTATGTCAGCCCTGCCAATGAGCCTGGGCGGCTCAGCCGGTTAAGCATTTGACTCTTCCTTTCAGTTCAGGTCATGATCCCAGGGTCGAGTCCTGAGATCCAGCCCCGCATCGGGCTCTGTGCGGAGTCTGCTAAAGTTACTCTCTGCCTCCCTCTGCCCCTCCCTGCACTTGCTCACTTGCTCTAAAACAAATTTTATTTTAAAGGTATCTTGAAATACAACTTCCTCAAGAAAAGGAGCAACCTTCCTCTGTTTTTCCACACGAAATAAAATCCCACACTCCTACTTCCATTTAGTCTATCTGCTTCTCAGCTGCTCTCTCCCTCGCCCATGCTCCAGAAATCACGGAGTACTCCCGCAACCAGATCTGCGGTGTGAATGAAGCAAGCCTCCTTGGGGCTCGCTGTCGTGCACGCTGGCAATGGAGGCAAGCCTGGCAGGACAGCCTGAAGAGAGGATGGTGTATTTTTTTTTTTGAGGATGGTGTATTTTTAAAAAAATAAGCATTTGAGGGGCGCCTGGGTGGCTCAGTGGATTAAAGCCTCTGCCTTCAGCTCAGGTCATGATCCCAGGGTCCTGGGATGGAGCCCCACATTGGGCTCTCTGCTCAGCGGGGAGCCTGCTTCCTCCCCTCTCTCTCTCTGCCTGCCTCTCTGCCTACTTGTGATCTCTCTCTGTCAAATAAATAAATAAAATCTTAAAAAATATAAGCATTTGCGAGGCTGAAGTGCGATTTGTTAAATTAATTCCAAAAAGGCATAAAGCCCCATGATCGGTCATAAATGGCCGTGATGACCAGTTTCCTAAAGAGTCACAGCACTTCTGGCTGTGAGCCCCTTGGTTCCAAAGGGGAAACGAGGCCACGTCTAAATCCACAGCCAGCCTACGCCGGGCCCACGGGCTGTGGAGGCCACTGTGACACAGGGAAGACCTCCCTCAGCACGGGCACTGGAATTTGACGGGAAAGTCCCCTCACAGACGCTTCATCTTTTCTTTAAGCTATATAATCTGTTCACATGGTGGGCACAGCTCTGGGCTCCCCACACAGTTGGGGGGGCGGTACGCAGAAGGCATTACTTTCCAACCTCAGTATTCCCGAATACCGGCAGCTAAGAAGGGGCCCACTGCCCGGAGTCCCCATGGTGGCGGGGCTCCGTCCCTCCCACCTGCCAGAGGGATGGATTCGGCAGGAAAGGCAGAGGCCCCTGGACCCAGAGTGGAGTGCAGCCTTACCTCTGGACCATGTCCGCAACTGAGGATAAAAAGCTGTTCATATTTTGGGAAAACATCTCTGCTCCCTTCTTAAAGAAGTTAATCTGAAAGACAGAATGGTGATGTTCTGAAGGTCACCTAGGAAAGGTGATCAGTGAGCGCATCCAGCATGGGACTGACAGCGTTGGGGGGGGACCCTGGCTGGCCTGCCGAGTCCCTGGCTGGACTCCCACGCCCACGGAGTTCCTCCCGACCCAGTGCACTGCAGACTGGGGACACTGGGAGCTCTTACGGACAGGCAGGGGGACATCAGGGATAATGTGAGTTCACTGCCTGGCACATACTAGATGACGTGCGTCGGTAGCTCCTATTGACAATTATTTCTGATGGTCTCATCGTCAGCTCTTCACTGTGAATTCTGTGAATTTTGGACAGAAAGCTTCTAGGGGGGCAAGGAGCAGGTCTACATCTTGGCATCCCCAGGGGCTTCCATCAGCATGTGACAGCTGACGTGCACGGCCAGAACCAGACGAGCACTGGGTGGAGCGCGGCGGGAGGTGCTCAGAGGAGCAGACCCCGGAGTCTGCCATGACCCCAGTCAGCGAGTCATGTGCGGCTTGAAACACGGGCTGGACAGAGGATGCGGCTGGGATGCTGCCCTTCCAACCCTGACGTCAACCCAGAGGGGACTGTGGGTGTGAAGGAGGCAGCACAGCCCTGGGCCTGAACAGCTCCTCGGCCGGGTGAGCTCCCTTCCGGCCCCCAGTGTTCTGGGATGCGGGCTCTCTGCGCTCAGCGGAGGGTGGCCCGAGGAGGGCTCCGTCTCCTTTGAAAATAAAACTTCAATTGCTGGCTTTTGGGGAACAAACAGAAAGGAAGTCCTTACTTCCTGTGGTTCCAGGGTATTCACTTTCCTGAAAGGCTGGGTTGCCTCACAAACCCTGACAGGCAGGGCACAGGGAGGGGCCTGCTTCTGCGGATTACTGAGATCTATCACCATCCCACCCCAAAGCTCAAGTCTCCATTTCTTCCCATGGCCAAGGCTTTAAAAAATCCGAATACTGGGGGTGATCTGTTCCATCTTACGTGCCTGATCACAGAAAGGTAAGAGTTGCAAGCCTGAGTAACGAGAAAAGGGAGAAAATGCTTAGCTTTGGACATGGGACTTCTCTCACATTCTGGGCTGGCTCAGGAGTCTGATCTGGAAGCAGCCCCTGCCCTGTGCGGTGGGTAGGGAACTCGACCACGCACCCTCGTGAGGCTGGCAGGCTTCACATGCTCACATCCTGGGGAAGGAGGCACCCCCACGCCCTTAGTTTTCACAGGATAAGAACAGGATGATCACGATTATCCTAATGTAAGGTAATCATGTGGGGCGCTGCTCTGGCCCCGTGATCTTTTAATCATGCGGAGATGAAAACAGCAAATGCCGTTCTGAATCTATGAAACCTGCAACATCAAAGTCTGCTCCGGGGCCTCCTGCAGTTCTGAGGACACAGCCCCCCAGTGGCCTTCCCCTCTTCCTCTCCCTGAACTCCCTGGAATTGATACTCCAAATTCCATGGCTTAGCTCCTCTGTTATTCTTTACGTGGCAGGGGAGTGGGGGTTGCTCCTGCAATCCCTCAAGCAGTCTGGTCTGAAGGGATGGAAGGGTGGGAGGGATGAGATCCTGGCTTCTCTAGCCAGCTTCCATCAGATCTACCCTGCGACCACTATCCTGGACTTGATTTCTGGGATCTTGTAAACCTGTACACAGTCTGCAAAACCTGTTTCAGGCATGATGACTGAATTGTGATCTCAGTGCAAATCTGTTCAACAAGGGCCAGGGGAGGCAGAAATGAAGTCAAACAGCCCGCACTGAAGCGGGTGGTGCCGTGAAGCCTGGCTCAGTGCCGCATTATCCAGAGACCCAGATTCTCAGGCCTTCGGAGCCGCAGGAAGTACAGTGGTCTGACGGCCATCAGCCAAAAAGGTGGACGCTTAGTCAACGTGGATTTAAAACAGCTGATGACGTGGGAGGAGAGCAAATGCTTTGGGATCATCCAAAAGATTTATGGGTTAGACAACAACCGGTCTAAGCAAAGGAGCTATAGTTTTCTGCAGGATGTGAAGTCTGCAGCGGGAGGGACTACCTGGTCTTGGTCTTGAAATTTGGGTACTTTGCACATGAAAGGGAAACATGCTGTCCTCAGTCCTCAAGGCTGCTGCTGCAGCCACCCATCATGACTGCGGCATGTTCTGCTCTGTGTCCCCAGGCTGGGGGTGAGGGGGAGGCGGGGGGGGGACGGTTTGCTAGCCCCCCTGAGGGGTACAGTGAGGGGGCTGCATTCACTTAGCTGAGCCCCAGCTCTTAAGAGGCCAGGACTCGTGCTCCACAGGCCACCACTGTCAATCCAGGGAGGACAGACAGGACAGGAGGCATTAATGAGAGAGCAAAGGCAGCACCGGCGCTCTCCAGCACGGCCAGGCCCTCCGCTGGGCAGAGGTGCGAGAACTAAGGAGAGAGGCGGCACCAGCACCCACCGCGAGAAGGTGGACGCTGCAGGGGTCTGCCGTGGAACGGAGCCCAGGGCTGGACAGGGCCAGCTCTGGGTTCAACCCAGCTTTACCCAGATGACACAGACAGATTATAGCACTCTGCTTAAATATCACCCCTGAAGACAGAAGCCATCTTGAGTAACCTCGCCTTTCAACGTCACAACCACATAAAAAGACGGATCTCTGAGCTTGAATGCCTAAAGATCCTCCCTTGCTCCCCTTTCCCAAACTGAAGGATACTGATGCTGTTTTCTGAAATACACGTATTTTTTTAACATGTATTTAAAAAGAATAGATGCTCACACATGTGGTGTTTTAAAAAGTTGCTGTTTTCTTCTCAAAATTCTGCTTCCTGACATCCCCTTCTATTCCTAGGCTGTCAACTGAAAGAAGATTCCCGGATGTGTTTCCTGCATGCTGGGGTGCGGTGCTAGAGTCCATGTTAAATGGGCTCCAGCAAGACAGGGATGGAGGGGAGGGGTGGTGCCATTCACCATGAATGGACACTCACTCCTGTCCCTGCCAGGCTGGTGCTGCCCAGCCAGGGCCCCGCCCTGCCACTGGAGAATCCGGACAGACGAGTGTTCAAGAGACCACTAATGGCGGAAAAAGCTACATACATCCCGGAGAGACTTCAGCGAGCGCCAGCAGTATTTTGCCATGGCCCAGATGCCAAGGTGCCGGCCATGACCTCAGCAGTGAGAACAGCCCAGCTGAGGGTGAGCCTCGCCACAGAGAGCAGCAGGGGACCGTGTGTGGGTCTTAAGCTGTAGGCCCAGCTCTACCAATCTGAGCAGTTCTCCTTCTCAGAACATTAGACCAGGCCTGACTCTCACTTGGCTCAGAGACAAAGGGCCATGCCAGCACCCCCTCCGGCCCCTTGGGAGGCTTGGGACGGAGGCCGTCACTGCCTGCACGTCCAGCCTAACAATCCGTCCCCCCTGGAAGCTTTCCACGTGCTGAACCTAAGGAAAGTTCCAGGGAGGTGGTGCGTTCGTGTTTCTTTCTCTGAAACATGCTTCAGTTTCTCCTAAACGCTAGCTCAGCAGGCACACTGAGCTGTTCTCCCCAGCTGGCTCAGGGCTCAGCCCTCAGGGGACGGGCATGGCCTACCTGTCCGTGGGCAAAGCCTATCATGGGCTCCATCATGGCCACGCGCTTCCTGTCCTGCAGCGCATTGAGGGCGCAGTAGTACTGGAGGGAAGAGAGGTGCTGTTTCCGTCGCGCGGCCGCCACCTCTTTCACGACATCCGTCTTCACCTGGGTGAGAGGCGAAGGCAAACGTCAGGCTGTCTGAAGGACGTGGCCGTTCTGTAAGAGCATGAAGCTTCAACGGTGTGTGTTTACTCATGAGACCCATTTCTGTGACCAATACAATAAAACTCAGATAAGGTTCCCCTTTATGTTTTAAAAACTCCCAATTAAAAATACCGAAGTATTAGCATCTCCGTGCTTATGAGGCTGCCCCAGGGTAAAGCCAAGTACTCCCCGAGCCTTTAGGAGAACAACTCAGGGGCCTGCACTGAGAGCCACAAACATTTTAGTTCACTCCTAAGACTGTATTCCAAGAAGTAATTTAGCTCAAGGAAATCATGCAACAGAAGTAGGAATTTAGATGCATTCAAATGGGCAATATCATCTACAGCAGCAAAAAAGCACGAATTAGAGAAGCAGAGCCAACACCCAGGGCAAGAAATTCAAGTGACCTGAATACGTATGCGGCAGACAAGCACAAGGTACCGAGGTAATCTGAAATCACTGTGCAAATGTAATTATACAATGGTTCCAAGTTGCTGTCTAATAAACCACGTTGAAAAGCCAGAATAGGGAGGTAGAAGTCTACTTATGAGATTCAGAATAATTAAAAATCTACGTATATCAAAGAAGAAAAAGAATTCATCAAGGTACCCTCAATGCCATGAATTCACAGCAGGAACGTAGAAAAGGAGCTTAAGTAAGTGAGGCGGAAAACACCATGTCAGGTAGGTATTCTTACCTTCTCATTCTCCTTTTTTTTAGGAAGCCTGCTATATTTTGCCATTGAGAGGTCATGCTCTAAAAATAAAGAGGCATTTTAGCACCCAGATGGGTTGAAAGGCAAGAACATTCATTCAGCATCTCCACCCACACACATACTAAACCCACGCGCCAAGAACAGAGAGGATGCCTACCATTACTGGCGAGTCCAAAAAGATCCTTTAAAGTGCTAACCTCTGAACAAGAGAGAAAAAAAAAAAATCTTAGAGCAAAGGAAAGTAAAATATGCCAAACCAGAGCTCTATGCTTCCCCAAGAAATAAAAGTCCACGTGTGGAAGGAGGACGGCTCTGTGAGCCCCTCCTCCGAGCCTCTGCCCTCACATAGCTCTGGCCTCCTGGTGTGACTGGAGTTTGTGGCTTCAGCTGCATCCCAAACTTGGGACCCTGACTGACCCTGACCACCCACTCCTTGTTGACAGCATTTGGGGGGGTCCATGAAGCAGAGGGTCCCTGGGGGAAGTGGGCTGGAGTGTGTGGTGGACAGGTGCTCTTCAGGGAGACCTGGAGTATACAGCTAAGCTCGGACTCTCCTGCCCCCCAAAAAGAGTGTTCTAATACCTCTTTCCTAACAATATCTGGACCATACTTAGAACCTAGAAAGGCCCTTTGGCTAGCCATTTTTAACGTCTGGCAAAGCCACCACTAACAAAGGAATATGGGGGTGCTCATTTGCGAGAGCAAGTGCACAAGCAGGGGGGGAAGGGCAGAGGTGGAAGGAGAAGCAGGCTCCCCGCTGAGGGACTCCCGGGATCACGACCTGAGCCGACGGCAGCCGCTTAACCAACTGAGCCACCCAGGCGCCCAGGGTATTTGTTTTAATGACAAAGTCTGAAGCCATCTAGCACAGGGTACCTGCGACAAGCCAACACACACCACTATATCCTCCTGTGGGTGCCACGCGCCTCACGCGTGAGGACATATAACAAAGTCCAAGACTGAGAAATAAAAAACGACGAGGTCAGTGAGGGTGATGGCTGTCCAAGGTTAAAAAAAAACAAAAACACAGAGACATCTAGAAGAAAGCGATACTTTCTACAACTCTGCCACAATCAGTTTTGCTTCATCAAACAAAGGAAAGCATTTTCATACCTTTCATGCCTTTTTCTGTTTGCCTCAAAACTGCCTCCAGCTTTCCAATCTCTCTTCATGTTATTCTTACGCTTTCTGGTATCGGGCTGCTTTCTGCATTTCCCTTTCTTCCCCTCTCCCTTTCACTTCCTACTGGAGCACTCTCAGGGGTTTTCCCTTCTCGGGTCAAATAGCTTCCTTAATCGGTTTGTGTTCTCTTCATTTAGATAGGTACTTGGATCGGTGCATAAATGGAAAAGGAGGCGAAACATCAGGTAAAAACCATCACGTGGAGGGGAGGCCAGATTCTAAGCTGGTTCTCGAGCTGACTCAAGCATGACCTGGGCCAAACGCTTCACACTTGCATGCTGGTGTCGTCAGAGAAGGTTACTGTGATTCACTGTTTCCAAAGATACCGAAGAGGCTTCTCTTTTTACTATTACCACATAGTTTTATTCTCTTTAAAAAAAAAATCGCCATCCTAGGCAAATACTACTAATCCACACTTGAGTCCTACAGGACCGACAAGGCCTGGTCATTACCACTGCCGGGACCCTCAGGCCCGGGCTTCCTCCCACCACAAAGCTGAAAGACACAAATCTGACAACGTAGGTCGGGGTGCGGGGAGGGGGGGTGATTATTTTCTGTCTAAAAGACTTGGAGTTTGTTCTTAAAACAATATCCCCACACATTTCTATGATTTTATTTAGAGAAAATCTTTATGAAAAAATGCACTAAGACTCTCAGTTCGCACTGGATAATCAGCACGGGACTACATGCAGCTTTGGGATTTGCATGCTATTACAGACGAGCAACACACAAAACCACTAAAACTCCTGCTCAAGCAAGGTTTCTCCTCACACAAGCTGACCTATCATTTATTGTTCTTTGTCAGGTTTCAGTGCTGTCACACCGCCCCTGGCAAATGTTCAGGTCTACCCCTGCTCCCTAGAGCCTCAGGTGACGTGATCACAGGGAATCTCCATATGGGTGGGTGTGGGGAGAAGACCATCTTTAAGATGTGCTGTGTCTTTCCTGCCTGAATAAATTTTACATTTTTTTTTATATTTTATTTATTTGTCAGAGAGAGAGAGAGAGAGAGAGAGAGAGAGAGTGAGCACTGGCAGACAGAGGCAGAGGGAGAAGCAGGCTCCCTGCCGAGCAAGGAGCCCGATGTGGGACTCAATCCCAGGACGCTGGGATCATGACCCGAGCCGAAGGCAGCTGCTTAACCAACTGAGCCACCCAGGCGCCCCTAAATTTTACATTTTAAGGTGAGTATATATATATGGATATATATATATGTGTGTGTGTGTATATATATATGTATATATATATATGATTTCATTTAAGGTGAAAATATATATGTGTGTATATATGACTTCATTTAAGGTGAATAAATATATATATATATATATATATATATATATATATATATATATGAATATGACTTCAGTTCAGAGCAAGAGAGCAGGAGAGCGAGCACGAGGCAGGTGGGGGAAGAAGACAGAGGGAGAAGCTGAATTCCCAGTGAGCAGGGATTCTGATGCGGGGGTCGATCCCAGGACCCCAGGATCATGACCTGAGTCGAAGACAGACGCTTAACCAACTCAGCCATCCAGCCACCCCCGAAGAGGCAGCACTATACTGAACAGATCTCTGAGTACTTGGTTTAGATTTCTTTGGCCAGCAATTTTTATATCGGTGCTCTAGAAAATACAATTCTTCCATCTCTAAGCAGTGAATATTTTCAGTGACATAAAGAACAAAAAGACTAGAAAGTTTGGGTTCCCTTTTGTATTATCAACTACTTTTTTTCAAGATTTTTGGTTCTTTTTTTATTCATGTTTTGACTACCTTGATTTCCAAGAGATAGAAAATTACTCTAAAGTTTTGTTTTGCTTTTTCATTGAAGAACCAAAAATAGTCTAGAAGGGCAACCAGGCTCTCTGAACCAGTCCCAGATCTACCGACCCACTAAAATGTGAGCTCCAGGAGAAGAGGGAGCTTGTCTGCCTTGTTCATGGCTGCGGCTCAGGGTCTAGCACAGGTAAAGCATGGTCCCTGCCCCTCTGTCCCTCTCTAAGCCACCCACGTTACATTCCAAAGCATTCATGGCTCCCCCCAAAACAGCATGACTCCTATAAATGCTCCAAACCAGTAATACAAACCTTGCCATCTTTGTCTCCTTGGTAAACACTTACTCATCTTTCAAAACCCAGCACAGAGATCACCTTCTCCAGGAAGCCCTCTCTGGCATTCTAACTTCAAAAGGGTAATCACACCTTTCCGAGTGCTGTTTTTATTCCTTGTACCTCTCTCTCCGGCTGCCCTCATCACATAATGTTATGATTGTTTCCAAGTTAGTTTTCTCATTAGCCTGTAACCTTCCTTTAGGGGAGCCAAGAACATAGTGGAGATTCAGTGAAAGGTAGCTAAACTGAAGTGCTTGAAAAAGAAAGGCATTTCTCAATGAGGCACATATTTAAAGAAATTAATGCAGTCAGAACAATTATGAAATGAATTGATGTTTTGCAGGTAACTGGCACCGAACTCAGTAACTTTACCTGTGAGATCCTTTTCTCGAAATTGTATAATAGGTAGAATCATTGTGTCTGCCAACTGTTTAGCCAACTCTGTATGGAGAACATTAAGCTGAAAAAAGAGAGAAATCTTATTGAAAAAAATTAAACCCACTATAAAGGACACTGCTTTCCACACAGGATCACACTGGACAATTCTGTGTGTTTCAAGAGTTCTGCTACATTTCCTCGGCAAATAAACAACATTTCATGAAGCTACAAATGATACAGGCCCAGAGGTACTCAAAACTAAATGCAAGGTTCTGAGCTGGCCTCAGTTAGGTTTGCTAAAGCAGTCTCTGAGCCCACGGCTACAGTCTGTGTACGGTGCAAACCAGGCTGAGCCACACCAACTGGAGGAGAACACGTTCATGTCCTTGCAGTGAGCATAGCTCGCTGGGAGCATTCACCTCAGGTCACACGTTACCAGCCACCGTGCGCGCGCTCCCTCTCAGAAGGGCTGAGGTCACACTTGCAAGACGGGCCCTCTGGGAGCCTACTAACCCTAAAACCACAGCAGCTGCAGGCCTGGGAGTTACTCTGGAGAGTTACATGCTTTGTATGCCTTGGTTCTCATCCACTCTGGGAGTCCGGTCTTACTGACTGTACCCATGTACCAGGTGGACAAACAACTCTCCACATCCAGACAGCAAAGAGGCAGAACGGTTGGGATTTTCATCCTGGGCTACTGGAATCCGAACTCCAGGTTTTTCCCCTTATACCGTGTTGGATAGAGAGTCTTATGCTCACGAAGTTGCCCAAACTTCAAATGTCTGGTAGTCCAGACATCAGCAACGAAAACATATTACTAAAGATGTTTTGGGATTCCTGCTTGGGGAACAAAGGGAAGACACCCAGCAGTCTTTTTGGCAGTGTGCATCTGGCCAAGCTTCTTTCAGCGACGACAGCAGTCACACACGACGCCCCTCTGTACCCACAGCTCGCCCACCAACAGATCTGGTCCTTCAGGGCTGTACTTCCAGAACTGCTCTGAAAAGCTTACAGACAATCATTTGCCAGGCAGGGGAGCTGGAGGCCAAGCAGTTAATGTCCTATCCTTCAATCATCAAGACAAAGCACGGCAGCTTTGTTCTGCTGAGAACACAGGAGGACAGACATGCCAACAAATGCCACCAAGACAGAATGTGTTAACTACTTTTCCTGAATAACTTCAGTGAGAAATGTGCTGTTTTTTTTTTTACTAACAGTTAAGTGAATGAAAGTCAACCAGTGTACCTACTATGTGTCTGGCTGTGTGTTCAATGCCCTGATACACATTATCTCATTTAATCTCTACAACAGCCCAGTTAGGTGGGCTTTCTCGCTGCTGCCACTTACAGATGAAGACACCAAAAATCAGGGTGATTAGGTGGCTTTCCAGGCATCATTCACTTTTGGAATGGTAAATATCCTATCTACTCATTGTCTTCCTTATTTCTTAAGGATTAAGGGGTTTGGCACCAACTTTTTGCCCTGGGGTTTTGAGAAGTATGGGACAATCACTTCTAAACACTGTGCCTTAGCTCAAGAGAGTGGAAAGAGATTACCTCTTGGCACTTCAATATCGTCATCCTGAAAATAAGGAGAATACCACCTTCCCTGCATGGTTACTATGACAACAAAACAGTAACCTGAATAGAAAACACTCAGAGTAGAGGGCCTGACGCACACTCGTTGGCATATCCATAATGATGGTGAATTCCTATTTCGGGTGCACTCAGCAGAAGTGATCTAGGAACCCTGCCTTTGGGGACATCAACAAGGACAGAAATTTCTATATGCATACAACATGGAGTGTCTGGTTCCTAGGGATTCCATTAAAAATATAAGCCACACAAAATCTCTACTTTTAGTTGTTTTTTTTTTCTGAGTCAAGTTACTTGTCTTGAAAATTTTCCAACCTGATACAGGCCCTGGTAGAGAAAACAACCTGAAAATCTACTCAGAAGCCTCCCACCTGAGCTAACAGCTTTCATGCACATAGGTCTCCACACCAAGAGGCTTGTTTGAGAAGCTCCGACAGGGCCAAGCTTCTGGGACGCCGTCATACCACCTGTAACATCACATTCCCAGCCGTCCAGCCTTTGGGAATGATTCACTCCCCACCAAAAGCATCATCATTCCTGCCCATGAAAGGAGGGTTATAAGTAAGTATCTTAAACTGGAAATATCAGTTCTGGGTGTCTGACAACTAACCACATTTCCTTAGCAACTGGCTCTGGTCAAGAAAAGACCTGACTTCAGAGGGTGTAGTCCGCTGCTTCTCCCCCTGGGCTCCTTATTCATGGCTAATTAGGAAACATTTGTCTCCTCACTTCCAAAAAAATTACTTATTACTCCTCTCTAGTTACTTTTTTCCATTCATGCTCCTCCTCTTCTGGAAAAGACATGTATCCATTTTAAACATACACTGTGAAAAGAGTCAGAGTCGTGGAGAAAGTATGAAGCTGAAAAAGAACTGGACGACAGTTCTTTTATATCCTGTTATATCTCCCTTTACAACCTTTTATATCTGTTATATCCCCAGTGCCTACAACAGTACAGGTGGTCAATGCGTGTTTGCTGAACGAGTATCAGCTTGTTGGGTTGACTTGTTGACTGAATGACCCTGCAATGTTAGTTTCACATTCTATAAACTTAAGACGGTATCTCTTCTACACCAGCACCTGGACAGTGAAACGGCACCTGCATATTCTTTTGCTGCTTTATCATCATTTTCTGCTGTGAGAACTACGAGCTCCTTGAAAGATGAAATACGATTTCGTACTGACCCAGTTCTGCAGAGGGTTCTGCTCAGCACCAGGAGCATCTGAGCTGCAGTGTTTATCACAACTGGGATTTATGTACTTCTAACAATTACCCGTTTTTCGCAAATGTTCCCAATGTATTATGCAGTACAGCTACAACAACGGTTGCATGAAACCCTCTGTGGTGGGGTGAACCCTGCCCACCCTCATCCTCCCCCAAAGAAAAGTCCAAGCAGAACATGTGAATCTTTAGAAACAAGATCTTCACAGATGTGATGACGGACCTCCAAATGAGACCATCCTCAGTTATCCACGTAGGCCTTAATTCAATGACAAGTGTCCTTATACGAAGAGAAGACACAGAGGGAAGGAGTGAAGTGGGGTTGGGAGGAGGCCATGGCAAGGTGGAGACTGGAGGGATGCAGCCACATGCCATGGGACAGTCAGGGGCAACAGAAGCCGGAAGAGGCCACAAAAGATTCCCCCTCGGGCCTCTGGAGGGAGCCTGGCCTTGCCAACAACTTGATTTCATACTTCTGGCCTCCAGAACTGGGAGAAAATAAATGTCTACTGTTTTAAGCCACCTACTTGTAATTTATTACAAGCAGTTAGAGAAACCAGTACACCCTTCTTAGGAAATTGAATTCTCAGAAATCTCTCTTGGTCCATTGTTCACGTATAACAAAGCCTTTCTCCTCACACCAGGAACAAACATAATCGCATACAACCTGTCTTATGAAGTGAGCCTTGGAAGAGCAGCAAGTTGAGATATACTCTGAGATATTTAAGGAGATATCTAAAATGGAAAGTGGGCCAACACAAAGATGAAATAAAGTTCAAGAAGGAATAAAATCAAATTTTGCCATGTTGTGATCTTACCTCATCTACCACTTTGGCAAAATAGTGGAGTGTAGAAATTACTTCTTCATCGCCTTTGCCAAGAGCAAAATTCTAAGACCAGAGAATAAAAGACCCCGGTGTTAAGGCTTGGGGAGTCAGCGCTACCACCCCACCCACGTCCCACCGCCCTCCACACCAGTCCCCACTCTGCTCCCAAGCGCACAGGGTGTCACAGTGTCTGGCTGCAGAAAATGAGTGCGCTAGCCTCGTCCTGCCCTGCAATGCTCTCAGTCGCCCCTCCCTGACTATCCCTTTGTTGGCCATCACCCTTCTTCTGTCTGGACATAACGTCATCTTTGAGTTTAGTTCCTGGAACTGGGTTATTTCCTGGAATTTGATTCCGCAGATCACGAACCCTCAAGGCAGTGGGTGACTTCTGTAGGCTAATTAGAATATACCATAAAGACTTTGGGATAATCACCAATTAGAATTTATCAGGGGAAAGGAAAAGGCAAGACAAGAGAAAAAACAGGAGTGGACCACAAGCAAAAAGAAAGAAGGAAATCAAAGCCTCTCAAGGATGCCCTTGGAGAATTCCTTACAAGACCGTCAACTCACGAGGGCCCCGAGCACAGCTTCACGTGCCAGGTGAATCCCCAGTTACCTGTTTCTCATATGCCAGCAGCTGCTTCGAGAGCTGGTGGGTGGCCAGGCACATCTCATTCTGCAGGGAGAGGAGAAAAGCAGGTAAGATGTGTCCAACACACACACAGGCACCAGAGAAACGTCACCTCAGAGAATCCCCTAAAAAAATGTATGTGTGTGTCTGTGAAATAATAGTTTGTTCAGAAATTATTTGGAAAAACAAGAGCAAAACAAATTAAAAGGGGTAAAGCTTGTTTCCCCGCACCCACCCCCCAATTTACAAATTACTGCTCCTTCTGGTCAGTCAGTACAAAAATGTAGTGAGCAATTACGCTGTGCCCAACATCCAAGAAAGACGCTGTCCCTGTTCTCACAAGATTTACTGGGGAAGCAGACATCAAAAAATGGTTACAAGTATGAAGAGAACTGCAAAGGAAATCGCAGACATGTTAGGGCTCTAGTAGGAGCACGCAGATGGTCTCTAAGGAAGAGGTTCTAAGCGGACCCCTGAAGACAGACGAGGACTTAGCCATGAGAACCAGCTTTCCAGAAGGAGGGACTCGCATGTGGAAAGCAGCACAGGCTGTCTGAACGGCGACAGAGCAGAGTGTAGCTGGAGCAGGGGTGCAGGTGTGCAGGCGAGACGAGGCTGGCTGTGCGGGCAGAGGGCACACAAACTCCAGGGTCCACATCTGGCCTGGATTCTAAGTGCAGTGGGAATTTCAGCAGCACTGGGACCTGATCAGATCCAGCAAACCCAAGAGGGCTAGGTCAGTCCTGCTGGATAGGAACACAGAAGCACAGCTGCCCTGTCCTGGGAGGCCCATTTTGTGCCACTTTTCACTGGCCCATATTGTTCATCTTCCTCTTCTCCGATTTATCCCTCTAATCTCTGACTGTGGGGCAGTTTTCCACCATTAGCCTCCCACAGTCGATGCCCTCCGTCTAGAACACGTGTTTTCCATCTCTAAAGCTCACTGAAAGCTTCTCTTCAGATTCAGGACTCACTCCTAGCAGAGGAGAGAGCCACAGGGTCTGACTGGAGAGGAGGGGAGGGCACTGGCTGGCCTTGGCCTTCGCTTACTTTCTAATTCTAGGCTTGCTGTTCCTTTAGGGGCAAGGCCCGAACTCTGCAGGGGCTTGTTTTCTTTACCTTGGTTTTCCTTTGCAAGACCCATCGGAGTCCTAATCCTACTTTTTTCAGCCCTCTTTGCTGACAACCAGCCAACCTGTTCCCCGACTTCCTTCACTGGCCCCAAGGAATAGGCACTAATTGGCCCTGAAACATGGCTATCTCCCTTTTTCCCCAGAATAAAACAAGCACATATAATAAAAGTTCCCGGCTTTGGCATCCTACCAGGGTGCCCCTCCTTTCAAAACAAACCAGACCTGGTGGCCACAGAGCCAAGAGGAAGCAGGTGAACAGATGCACAAGCACTAGCCCCACACCGGGGGAGGGGATGCGATGGCTCCCAGCACATGGCAGCCTCTCAACAAATGTGTTGATGAGTGAGTGAGCAAACAAGGTCAGAGGACTCATCGAAATTCCCGGTTTAACACAACACTTGGAATCAGAGGTCAGGGGAAAATACCTCCTAACCCCACAAGGTGACATCACAATGGGGGGGGGGGCAGGTACAATAAAATACCAAGAATGGACACGCATGAAACAATCTGCCAAGAAACAGTGCCTGTCGATCATCTCCAGCAGTGCCGTTTGGAAGGTCAGACAGAGTGCACGGGCACGAGGGTCTTGGCCCACTCACTGGGCTGATCGCCTGTTGTGTCAGAAAATCCCTTGCTCCTCTTCTCAGAGTTAGTGACGGAGGGTTTAAGGTGGATTTGCTCAAGCTACTTTGGCTTTGCCTGGGGGCAGCGCCATGTGGACTATGATTTGCAGACCTACAGACTTACCCTAACAGTAGCAGCTAACACGGAGAGCATTTAATCCATGACAGATGCCACACCAAGTGTACTCCATGCATTACCTCATTTAGTTCTGACAACCCTGTAGGTTAGGTTCTGATTACTAACTCAATTTTACAGATGAAGTAACTGTGGCACAGAGAGGTTAAGACACTTGCCGAAGGTCACACAGCTAGTTCACAGCAGGGTTGGGATGTGAGCCCACGTCTGTTTCATTCTAAGATCTACGCACTTAAACACTACCCTCCAGGATCCCAAGTCTTGCTAAGAGCTGAGGCCGCCTATGCTTTAGCCTGAAGTTGACAAACTTTTCCTCTAAGGGCCGGGACAGACATTATTTTTGGACATTGTCTCTCACAACTACTCACTCTGCTGCTGGAACACGAAACAGCCATAACAAGACAGAAATGAATGAGTGTGCCTTCCTTGTTTAAACATTATTTACAAAAACAGGAAGCCAGCCCAAGGGTGTAAATTGTTGATCCTGCTTTAGACACTAAATGTCTCTAGAAACCCACCCTTGGGATGCTCTCCATTAAGCCACAGTATTTCAAATTCAAGGAACATATTCTATTTTTTTAAAGATTTTATTTATTTATTTGAGAGAGAGAAAGCACAAGCGGGGGAGGGGTGGGCATAGGCAGAGGGAGAAGCAGGCTCCAGCTGAGTAAGCAGCGTGATGTGGGGCTCAGTCCTAGGACCCCGGGATCGTGACCTAAGCCAAAGGCAGACACTTAACCAACTGAGCCACCGAGGTCCCCTGTTTTCTACTCTGTTAAGTCATTCTTTATCTTAGCTAAACCTAAAATATTACTGCCCTATATCTGTATCCTTTAGCAATTGGTTAACAGGCATGATACCTACCATGCATACCTTCAAACTAAGCAAGAAGCACCAGCTACCTGAATTCTTCTTGACCACTTAGGGGCAAATGTCCCCAATGGAATGGAAAAAAACCTGTCAGAGCGCTGCCTGGGTAGGACTGCACCCTGGCTCCCAGGGGGGGCGCTCCTGGGCTCCCTGCTCAAAGCAAAGAAGGGGGCACAACATTCACCGCTGCACTGCTTCCCGCAACTACTGCGTACAGCTGGACTCTGCCAGGTCTCACTCAGAAAGCCCTTGTGAAAATGCTGCACCTTTTTCAGATGTGTGTGATTTCAGGCTGCACAATTCTGCTCTGCCAGTGTGATCTCACTGGGAACAAACGACAGGTCCAAAACGACCTGTCACCTGCCCTGAAAAGAAGTGAACTTCTGGGCGGAGTACATGCCGTGAAAAATCTTTTGAACTAGACCAACTCTAATCTTACTCACACTTAATCTATTGTACACAGAGGTTTTATGAAACGTTTTGCCAACATCAGCCAATTACCCCACACCCTGTGAGGTCGGCCCACACGATTATCTCTGCGGCAAGGCTTGCAGCCCTGGAGCTGGGGTGCAGAGTAAGAAATACCAGTAACACAGACACCCGCAAACGTGCAGTCAGTCTTTTCTAGGTACTTGATGGAGCTGTTAAGTGCTTGTCGTATTTTATCACATTTAATCCTTTCAATGCTCCTACAGGTGAGGACTATCGCCATCCTCATTTTACAGATGAGGAGACAAAGACTCAGAAAGGGTAGTAACTTGGGGCACCTAGGTGGCTCAGTGGGTTAAAGCCTCTGCCTTCGGCTCAGGTCGTGATCCCAGGTTTCTGGGATAGAGCCCCACATCGGGCTCTCTGCTCAGCAGGGAACCTGCTTCCTCCTCTCTCTCTCTCTGCCTGCCTCTCTGCCTACTTGTGATCTCTGTCAAATAAATAAATAAAATCTTTAAAAAAAAAAAAAAAAGGGTAGTAACTTTCTAAAATCACAACCAATATCCAGCAAGGCAAAGACCCAATGCAGATCTGCTGCACCTAAAATCTACACGCCGCGTTTTTAACACCATGCTATTTCCAATCTAAAGGGCAAACCTGTTATCTGGCTGGCACTCAGTGGGCATGTCTCGCGGGGCCCAGGGACAGGAACATAAATCCCGCACTTTTTTTTAGCTGTGGTTCAACAACAGAAGTGGCCTAAAATTCCGACTCTAAATGGAGTTCCACGAGTAAGATTTTCTGTGACATTCTGGAACCGCTCTGGCTATTAACGACGCTATTCAGTGTCTCCTAAGAATCCTTAAAAAAAGACCACTTCATGAAGTGTTCGCGGACGGCGTCTCCTGTATCCCACAGCCCCTCCGTGGCTCCTGCCAAGGCAGCAACATCAGTGGTCAGCAAACCCGAAAGGAAAACCAAGGTTTTAGCAGGACTGTTTATCTCGGGGCGGCACAGAGAGCCCGCGGCACTGTCACTGTCGCCCAAACCACCCAAACGCCCCTGCGGGCGGCACATCCACGCCGGATGGCTACGGTGAGGCTGGGAGCAGGGGCAGAGGAAACCCCCCGGGGGTCAAAGTCACCAAGCGCTTGCTTCCATCCCAGCAATGTCACCTCGAGCCCATCGTGGAAAGTCTCAGTCACCATGTGCTTACCACCAAGCCGGGGTCCAGGAGCCCGCAGGCTGGGCCGCGCACAGGAGTAGCGAGGGGCGCGAGGAACGGAAGCAGGATGCGGTGCTGGGTGAGGGGTGGCCATGAGGGGTGCCCACTGGGGACGGGGACGTTACCCGGGAGGCAATGGGGAAGCCCTGAGCAACGTGGGCAGGAGAGTGACAAGACCTGACAGGAGCAGAGGAGAGCTCAAGAGCGGCTGTGGTGGAGAGGCGCGCTGCAGGGGCCAGGGCAGGAGGGTGGCAGGACCACCTGGAGAGGTCGGGTGAGGGGAGAGAGCAGTCGGAGCCTGACGCAGAAAGCGCAGAAGGCGGTGGGGACCTGTGACGAATTTCTGAGGCAAAAACAGCATGCAGTGCGTGAGCGAGGAGGAGAAATCAAGGAAAACCGACCTCCGGTCAGATGACTGAGGGAAGACGGCACCCCAGCGAGGACGCAGAGGACCTGCGGGGATTCGGGAACGACGACAAAGCACACAGCTGGGCTGTGCTGGCGTTCAGCTGCAGATGTCCCCAGCCTGGTCCTTCACCCCACACCTGCAACACCTACAGCTCTAACACTCAGAGGGGCCAGGCCTGGTGCGAGCACTGGAGGCGGAGAGTCTGCTCTGCATCTCCCGG